CCTCCCCCCACCACTCCCCCCACTAACACTAACACCCCACTCCAGCCTCTCAGCCAGCATCTCCCACGCCCTCTCCCCTCCCGCACGGCTCACGCCCCGCAGCCCCGCAACCACAAACCCCAGCAGCTGCCCGAACTGCGCGCGCATCTGGGCCAAGCTCTCCGGCCGCGCCGCCTCCGCGCTCTCGGAGCTAGTCGCGCGCCTCGCGCGCTCTTTGCCGGCGTCAGCATCCTCGTCCCCATCCTCAGCCTCGTTTTCATCCTCGTCCGTGTCCTCGTCCGTGTCCTCGCCCGAGCCCGCCGGCCGACGCCGCGTGCCGCTGTCGCTGCCACCGCCACCACCACCCCCGCCGCTGCGCGGCGTCGTCTCGCGCCGCGCGTGCACGTTAAGACTCCCCTCGCCGCTCAGTGCCGCCAGCGCGTCGGTGAAGAACACGCTCAGGTCGAGCAGGGCGAGCACGGCCTGCAGGATCGGGCGCAGCTGCGGCGTGAGCAGGCACTGGCGGTCGAGCAGGTGGACGTGGTTTGCATGCAGGGCGGCCATGACGTCGATGTCCTCTGCGTCGGCGAGGGCTTTGCGGAGCGCGGTGGTTGCGGTCCACAGAACCGTCTCGGTGAGGTAGCCGTGCAGCATGTCGGCGAACCAGAGGAGCCGGTGCCGCAGGTAGTACTGCGCTTGTGCGTGCTGCGGCGTGCCGCTGTGCCAGAGCTGCGTGCTCCGCAGCAGGTAGCGCGCCCGGTAGACTTGCAGCAGCAGCGTGCTGATGCGTTGGTAGGTGGGGGTTGAGCTGCGTTGGACTACGTTGAGAATGGACCAGGGGAGCTGGTGCGGTCAGTGTGATTCCGGGTATGGGGGGTTTGGATGCTTACGATGTAGTCGACGGCGATGCTGCCTAGGGCCTTGACGGTCCGTCCTTTTTGTTTTGTTGCTACTGGCCGGACGACCAGTCTGTCGGCATTGACCGAGGGCACAACGCTATAGACACTTCGCGCTATCTCTGTTAAGAGATATCGGTCATTCCAGCCAGTCCGCCCGCGGTCCAGTTTCTCAAAGACCATATCCGCAAAGCTTTGCATGAGCGAGCCATCTCTAGAAAAGTAGATAAACTCTAGAGCATCGAGTGACTGCCAAAGCCCGCTATAAAGATGCTGGCGCAAGACAGTCGAGGCAAGTGTGTATTTGCTCCTAATCCAATCCTCAAAAGCCAAGTTGAACAGCTCTGAGAACGGCGCCAAAGGAACTCCAACTCCGCCGCAGACTGCTTCGAGGTCCAAACATGGCTCAGTCTCAATCGACGAGGCTGCTATGTCGTGTCTTTCCAATTCCTTCAGAAAGACGACGCTTTTCCCCGAATTGAATATTTTCTTCGCTGCTGGATGCAAAAAGCTGGGGGCATGCAATTCTCCGCCGCTGTCATGCCGCAAGACGTATTGGTCGTGCCACAACGACGCTGCTTCGCTGCTCTTGTCTGCCACGCCCACAAAAAATATTTGATCGTCGAGGCCAAGTTCTCCTTGTTCCATCCATTCTCTAATGGGCTTCAGGTAGGTTTGTAAGCACTGAAAGAATATTCTGCCCAAAGTCTGGAACAAGCATGGTTCATTGACGACTTGTGACAGGTTGATCTGATTGTACAGCGCTTCAATGAAAGTAAACGGGCCGTCAGATTGTGAAGCCGTCATAATTAGGTCCTTGAGTCGTAACAGTAGTTCGGCTCGTTGTTGTACCTTCACCATAACCGCGGTAAGGCTGACTGCCACGGGTTGCGACGTACCCAAATAGCAGCCTTGGAGCTGAGCGAGATATTTGTCAAATTGACCTATCTCTTCTACTACAGCTGCCTGAAATGTCTGTAGGAGCGCGACGGATTGCCTACCGCTTGTCCACGATCGAAGTTCAAGCAGACCGTCACCGATGCTGGCAAGTTCCCGTAGTTGATTCTTCCAGGTTGGAATCATGGCGTGCGTAAGAATGAAACGGTCATTGCAGTCAACATGTGCTGTTTTCTTATCCAACCGGTACAGTGACGTGGGTAGCCCAGCAAGCATAAATAATGTCTCGCGAATGGCTTGGAGTTCAGTAATTTGGGACGTTTGCCTTCCCCCAGGACTCTGTTTAATGTCTTTTTCTGTAGGCTCGGTTTTGTCTTTTTCTTTGCGCCAGAATTGGGATTCAGAAACCTCTTCGAGCGTCGAGGGCCTCGATGGGAGGAGGAAAGTCTCGGCGACTGCTACGAAGTCGTCTTCTTCATCCTCTTCAGTTGTTGGTGGTGAGGGTTCTCTGGTGGTGGCAGCGCGCTTTCTCTTAGGCTGCCGCTCCTCTTCGGAGGACTCGGCAGCATAGTCGATATCGTCCCAGACACCCTCTTCATCCAGAGGGTCGTCGGCGATAATCTCCGCCCACGTTAGCGACGGAGGCGGCTCCGGCGGTTTCAACAACTCGAGATTTTCGACGCTGGCTTTCTCTACAGCATTATCCGACAGGTGCAGGAAAAGAGAGAGTATCTCCGGGGTCCATCTTCCAGGTGTTCTCTCGATTTCTTTCAGACGAACCTCCAGAGCTTCGGCAAGGTCGCTGCGGTTCAAGACGAAGAACTTCTCCACCAAGCCTTCATAGCTCTCCTGCACGTCAAACTGGTTCGTGCGCGTCCATTGCTGGGCGCGAAGGCCTCGCGCCACGGCATCTTTGGTTCTTCTGAACTTGCGCGAGTCGTTCTGGAGGGATGAGCCAGAGCTGGGTCACGGGACGCGAGCATACGTACCGTCACGGACTGGCCGGCGAAGCTGGTGATCAGGTCGGCGGCGAGGCCGGTTATGGTGGCCGAGTGCGCCATGGCGGCGTGGTCATCTACATCTTTTGTTGGCCAACGCGAGAGTTCGGGGAGACGCGCCGGACGACGAGGGCGAGGCCGAGCGCGGCAAAACCCCGGCCAGATGATCCCTGCAAGGATCTGGATCTAGGACGTACGCCGCCTGGCCACCAGGCATCGAAGGAGTACGCGACGACGTTTACGCGGCGCTCTCTCCGTCTGCAATCCCTCAATCCATCATGGCGGTGCCCCGAGCGATGCGCGGGCTTGCCGTGCTTGCGACTTTCCTACTCATCTTCGTTTTCTACGAGCTGTTCCGGTCGCCTGCGACCATAGCTGTGCCCGAATCTAAGGTCGACAATTGGGACAAGGACCCGCAGACTGACCGTGAGCGCAACCAGCCTTCCGCCCCCGCCTTGCCCATGCTGACAGCCCGTAGCCTCAGGTGAACCGGCAGAGCCGCTGCGTCGTGTCGAGGGCAACAACTATGCGCCCGATAACCCCAACTCCGATCGCATCAATGCCACCATCATAAGCCTGGTCCGAAACGAGGAGATTGAGGAGCTGCTGCAGTCAATGCGGGATCTGGAGCGCACCTGGAACAGCAAGTTCAACTACCCATGGACCTTCTTCAATGATGTGCCTTTTACCGATGAATTCAAGCGGAAGACGCGGGCGGCCACGAAAGCGGAGGTGCGATACGGTAGGGCCATCTTTTGGTTTGGCGCGACGCATATGCCCAGCTGCTAATGCGCCGACAGAGCTCGTACCCAAAGAGCACTGGGACGTGCCGTCATGGATCAACATGGACCTGTATGAGGAATCAGTCCACGTCCTGGAGGAGCAAGACGTCCAGTATGCGAACAAGCTCTCCTATCACAAGATGTGTCGTTGGAACAGCGGCATGTTCTACAAGCACCCGGCGCTGGAAAAGTACCGCTACTACTGGCGTGTCGAGCCGCACGTCCACTTCTTCTGCGACATCGACTACGACGTATTCCGGTGGATGGAGGACCACAACAAGACGTACGGCTTTACGATCAATCTGTACGATTCGCCGCAGAGCGTGACATCGCTGTGGCCCGAGACGCTCAAGTTCATCGCGAGCGACGAGCACTCGAGCTACCTGCACAAGAACAACGCCATGGACTGGTTGACCGACAGCAAGCGTCGCCAGCAGCACAACCTGCTCGCCAATGGCTACTCCACCTGCCACTTCTGGTCCAACTTTGAGATTGGTGACATGAACTTCTGGCGCTCAAAGGAGTACGAGGATTACTTCCAGCACCTTGACCGGGCTGGCGGCTTCTTCTACGAACGCTGGGGCGATGCTCCCGTTCACTCCATCGCGCTCGGTCTCTTTGAAGACAAGAGCAAGATTCATTGGTATGTTGGCTTCCCCTATCAATCCCAGACACAGTGCTAACCTTGCTACCTGCAGGTTCCGCGACATCGGTTACCAGCACATCCCTTTCTTCAACTGCCCCACGTCGCCCAAATGCAAGGGCTGCACGGCCGGCAAGTTCACCGACGGCGAGGCCTGGCTCAACAAGGAAGACTGCCGGCCGAACTGGTTCAAGTTTGTCGGCATGGAATAGGCCGCTCATTTTCGAGTCATTCGCTTTCAAGCCATTCCTCCACGGACCAGTCATTACGGGCCGTCTCATTTCTGGACTCTTGTCCACAATTAAATTGAAAGTTAATACATATACCGCGTGATAGATCTGGGTGGGCTGGCGTTCCTGGGCAGAGATGATTCGACTGGGTGACGCGAAAATGTCGCTGGCGGGCAGGCTGCGACGGCACGAAGTTGTGCAAGGGAGGTTTCGTATACATGTATGTCATTTGCACGCCTATACATGTGGAATGCTCGCGTTTTAGTTGGGCTTTTATCTAGGCTCTCTTTCTGTTCGCACTGAGTTGGTGATGGTGTTGTCGTGGCTTCTGCTTTTGGTGCTGGATTTTTCCAAAGGCAGTGGAGGCTTTTCACTAAGTCGCGGAACTTCAGTCATCAAACGCCTGCTTGCTTCTGCTCGCCGCGTAGGTGCGCCGTCTAGCTCCAGGCGAGAACTCATCTTGCAGGCAATCCGATGCTGTCAATACTCAGCGGACATGTCTACGCGTGGACATAATACTCCTACACACTTGCGTCTGCATGATCCCTTATACATGATCCCTTATACATGTTTCTGCATGAGACAGAGCATTAGCTGACCCGGCTTCAGCTGCTTACTATGTCCTTGGACTTTCGCGAGCTGAAAGATGAACTATGCGCGTGAGTGCAGTGGGTATGACCTTGATATCTCCCAGTCATGAGTCCCGTCCGGGTAGCAGTCAGTCGGACCTAAAATAGGTAAACGCGCACGTGCCAGATGACGTTGAGCATTATAACAAGCAGCTCTTTAAGACGATTTGCAGCTCATCCCGGCATCTCTTGTACCTTTACAACTTGCTTCACTGATTGGTCCCGGACTACCCCGCGCGGCTGAATCATCCACGTCTTTTTCTTGCATCACGCGCGAGCACGCAATCCCAAGCACGGACAACACCCTACGACAATATGGTCAAGGTGCGGTTTCAAAGCGCTCTACAACTTTCCTATTTGGGTAAAATGGCTCCGCTGACATGCCCGATTGAGTAGTTTGAGTATTCGGCTGAGGAACCTCTTAACCGCGAGCCTCCGCTCGAAAAGCTGATTTCTAGGTATGCGGAAGACAGGGAGCCGCGGTCCGGCCTTTCTGCTGTGTCTTTCTCTTGTCTATATCTTTTGTTCTAGCCCTTCGATCTCATGAGCTGACGTAACTGCCGCTGGATGTAGCTTTCTCACAAAGGATGATGGCTACGACCGCAACCACGGGTAGAACACCCCACTCTCTTCTCATCTTAACTATCACCAGCAGCTAACATCTTGCAGAGCAATCCCCCACATCGACCCCACAAAACACCGCGTCCGGATCGACGGCGCCGTCAAAAACGAGCTGTCCCTCACCCTCTTGGACCTGCAATCCCTCCCCCAACACAGCGTAGTATGCGCGCTCCAATGCGCCGGCAACCGACGGCACACGATGCGAACGACGCTCAAAGAAGTGCAAGGGATCGACTGGGCCGACGGCGCCGTAATGAACTGTTCCTGGCGGGGTCCGTTACTACGCGACGTTCTCGCGCAAGCCGGCATCGCGCTCCCCAGCGCCGCGCAAGCCAGCGCGCACGTCGCCTTCGCCTGCCACAGCAACCCCTGCCAAGAAGCGTCCTGGTACGGCAGCAGCATCCCGCTGGCGCGGGCGCTCGACCCCGCCGCCGACGTCCTCCTCGCCCTCGACATGAACGCCGCCCCCCTAACCCCCAACCACGGCTGCCCCGTCCGCGCCATCGCGCCCGGCATCGCCGGCGCCCGCTGCGTCAAGTGGCTCGATCGCGTGACGGTGCAGCCGCAGGAGTCGAGCAATTTTTACCAGCAGCGCGACTACAAGATCCTCCCGCCCGAGGCGGACTCGACCGAGGCCGCGGCCCGCTTCTGGGACAAAGTCCCCGCGCTGCAGGATATGCCTGTGAACAGCGTCATCGGCGTGCCTGGTGCTGGCAGCCGCGTGAGCAGGGATGCGCTCGGCACGGTCCTGGTCAGGGGCTACGCGCTGCCTGCCGGGATGGGCGGGCCGGTCGTCAAGGTCGAGGTTAGTGCGGATGGGAAGGAGTGGGTCGAGGCGAGGCTGCTGGATGGCAAGGGCGAGAAGTGGGCGTGGTGTCTGTGGGAGGCGAGGCTGGCCGTCGCGGCTGGGAAGGGGAAGAGGATTCTAAGTCGCGCTACGGATCGCGCGGGGAATGTGCAGCAGCCGCTTGCGCAGTGGAATCTGAGAGGCGTCGCGTATAATGGGTATGGCGAGGTGGCGGACTTGGAGGTTGTATAGGTGGGGAGGGGCGGTTGATGTGGGTGTGCGGTAATGAGGTTATGGCTTTTTATTTTGGGTCTGCTGGTTTCGTTTGCGAGCATCCATTCGTTTGATTTGCGTTAAGTGATCTCATCTCTATAATTTAGTGATTCGTCACTAAAAGCCCATGATATGATACCAACCAGCTTAATACCCAAGCATCTTGCAAGAGGAAAGCGTTCGGTCCATATCCCCAAATACCCCTCGATTAACCACACTAACCATACCAACCACGCACCAGATACCTATGTACAAAACCCCCGCAGCTCACTGCTCACTCCTCCCCCTTCACACCCTCCCCATCCCCATGCTGCGAATTCCCATCCTTCGAAGAATCAAGCCACCACGCCCTTAACCCCCCCACCAGCGCCCTCTCCTCTTCCCCAACCTCCACCGGCGGCCCATGGCATTCCTCGCGCGGCACACGCTGGCGACGACGCGTCTTTACTTGCAAGCCACCACGCTCCCCAGCATCGCCCTCGCTACCACTGCCACTTCCATTGTCCTCATCCCCGCTGCTGCTGCTGCTGCTGCTGCTGCCGCTCTCTCCCTTCGCATCGCCCGTAGCATCGCCCCAAAGCCCGCTCGTGCGGTCCGCCCAAATCGGCTTTTCGGACGCCGAGCCGAAGCCCCAGCTCGAACCCGCGCCCAACGCGCCGCCAGTACTATGTCTCTTCCTGCGGCGCGTCTCTTTGGCTTCCCCGCCAATGCCATCATAATCCAGTCCCTTAGCAGCGACCCCCGACCCCGGCCCCAGACTCTGCGAAAAGTCCATCTTGCGCTCCCGAGCCTTCCCATACCGCCACACACACCACGCGGCCGCCTCGCCGCTCACAAGCCCCGCCCCGCCCTTGAAGCTCTTGACGCCAAACCCGCGCAAGAGCACCGCGTCCCCCGCCTCCACCTCGGGCAGCGCCGCCTTCCACGGCCGAAACACCTGCACCCGCACCTCTTCGCCCTTGGTCAAACTCGTGTCCGCCACGCGGAAAAGCGTAAAGTAGTCTTTCGGGCCAGCTGACGCACGCGTGGGCGGTTTTGCGGCGCGCGTGCACACGGCCAGCACGTCGAGCGTCGAGGCCTGAGAGTTCAAAAACGATGGAACCTGGGACAACGGCGTGTAGTATGAGAGCGCGGTGCGGATGCCTTGGCTTTGGCTCTGCGTTGCGAGTTGGCTTTGTAGAGGTCGTGTGAGCGGTTTGCTAAAGCTGAAGAGAGAGGGAGGCGCGTCTTTGGGCGTTGTGCTAGGGTGCGTTGCCAGGCCTTTGCTTGGCGTCATGGTGCCGAACAGGGTTGGGCTCTCGAATTGCGATGCCGGTTTCTTGGCTGGTGTTTGCTGCTCGACGGCTGCCTGTGAGGCTTTGGCCGCTTCTGGGGCAGCTGGACGAGGAACCGTGACTTTGGCGGGGGTACCAAAGAGCGTGGGGCTGTCGAAGTGAAGCACCGCTTTCTTGGCTGGCGTCTGTTGCTCAGCGACTGCTTGTGGGAATTTGGCTGCTTCTGGAGCTGCTGGACGAGGAGCGACGGTCTTGTCTTGTGTGGTGACTTCAGAAGGCTTATGTTGCTCAACAGGCACGACAGTTGTTTGCGAATCGCTTTTGGCAAACGAACCAGTTTTCTGAGTGAGCTCTGGTGTCGGCGGCGCAATGCTGTCAGCCGCCGTTGGTTTGGACGTTTCCTGGACCTGAGAGGTCTGTTGGCTAGCCTCGGGCGTGATGGGTTGCGTTTGCTGCACCGACTGGAAGTGACGTGTAGCGAGTGAAGGTTGCGCCGGAGGTGAAGAATGGACAATTTCCATTTCGTCGACCTCGTGATCTGCGACTGCCTTCTGGGACTTGGCTTTAGGAGTGACTTGAGTCTCGTCTTGAGTCTCGTCCCGAGTCTCTGCTTGGGTGGAGACCTGAGTCTCCGCTGCCTTAGAATCCTGAGTCTCACCTTGAGTCTCGACCTGAGCCTCTTTCCCACCAGCCCTCACCGACTCCTCAAAAGCAGAGGGCTGGGGTTGCGTAGTCCTCAGCGCCCGCATCAAGCTTGACTCGTCCCTTAGCATCGATGAATGCATCGGAACCGCATGCTCCGGCAAGGTCGACGGATGGACAGGCAGTGGTTCCACCAGCTCAGGATAACTATCGCGCAGCTGGCTCTCGAGCCTCCTGTTCTGGACTTCCTGCGGGTCCATCTCCGGCGTATGTCCCACCGGAGATCGCGACGGGGATGGCGCTTTCTGCCGGACCGGTGTCACTGGGCTGACTGAAGGAGGCTCAGGCGTCCGCCGTGAGGCGTGCTGGGGCGGCGGAGTGGTTTGTGAAGGCTCGCCAAGGATCTGGCTGGGCTCGAGCGCGGAAGGTTCAAATTCCTCCTCGGGAATGGTTTCGGGTGCTGGTGAAGACGACTCCACAATGGTGGATATGGACTGCTCTGAGTTGTAGCTGTCCTCGGAGTCCTTGACTTTCGTCCGGCGACGTCGGGCCAACACTCTCTGTGCCACTCCAGAGGAAGTAGGCGCAGCTCGAGTTTGTGTCTGCGAGGGAGTGTAAGAAATGTAGTCCGGCTCGACCTGAGAAAGGTCAAGGTGCTCAATCTCCTCTGCAGACCGTCGCTCAGTTGCAGTCAAAGGCGACGAGCTAAGGACATGGTATTCGGAGCTGGAGCCTCTTGTTTCGGCAGCTGGCTGGATTTGACTATCCTGGACAGGCTCAATTGTCTGAACAGGCTCGGCTGTCTCAACAGACTCGGCTGTCTGGACACGTTCGGTTTTCCGCACAGGCTCAGCCGTCTGAACAGACTCAATCGTCCGCCCACGCCCAGTCACCTCCTCATCTCTGACCGGAGCGACCGACTCCTCCCTAACCGCAGACACATCCACCATAGACTCATCCTCGCTGTCGGTCTCGCTGCCTAGATCGACAATTTGCGGAGCCTGCTCTTTACTCGCGACCGGAACGTCCGCCGAAGGCCTAGCACCGACATCAGGGACCCGGCTTTCATCCCGCTCCTGTGGTACGGCAGCAGGCCCCGGAAGTTCTGAGGGTTCAGCCTCAGGCTCCGTCATCATCGTATCCTCGTCTTCCCATGAAGGCACGTAAGACTCTTGGCCATACGACATCGGTCCTTGTGGTGCAGAGCTTTCCAAAAGCTGTGATGACTCCGGTTCTGAGACGTCTTCCTGTGTTTGCACTGGCGCAGATGGCTCCAAAGGAGATGACGGCGTCTGGGTTTCCTCCTGAACACCTTTGCGTCTTTCCGCTTCCTTGATTTGATCGGATGAAGGCTTGGACTCACCCTCTTTCTCAAGGTCCTCAGCAGGAGGCGTCTTCGTTTCTTCAACGGCTTGCTGTAACTTTTGCGAAGCTTGCTGTTGAGTCGCCTCGTCGATACTAGATTGGAAATGGTCCATTTGATCTTGATTGGCATTGCCTGTTGCCACTGATCTCGTATCGTCAAGGAGTTCTGCATCACTGCTCGTCTTTTCTGCAAGCATTTCGACCACTGGCGTAGGCGCTGGCTGTGGAGTAATTGCTTGTCTGGCCAAGGAAGGATCTGCTGGGACCTTCTGTTCCTCTGCCTTACTCGTGGGAACAAGCTCCTTTTCCTCAACAACAGGGGGAGGAGCAGGCTGCGTCATATCCAATTGCGAGTCTTGCAAGTCGATGACTTCCACAGATTTTGTGATTGGTCCCAACTTTGGCCTCGGAGCAGCGGAAGCCCCATCAAGTCCGAAAGGAAATCTGTCGTCAAAGTCCGACTGGCTATGAGGCTCGACGCCTTGATCCGCTTTCATGGAGGCTTTTTGTTGTCCCTCAACACCCGCGAGTCGAAAATCTATCTGAGAAGTCTTTGGAACCTCCAGTTGCGCAACAGTCGATTGCTTCCCGCCAGCATGCTGTGCTTCCTGGATATCCGCAGTAGATGGCTCTAAAGCTATAGACGGGCGCGAGTCCATGTAAGAGGTTGCAGTGGCTTCAGTCGTCTCAGGAAATGGTGAAGGCAGCGGCAGGGTAGAGGATGTCACGGGTTGCAGCTGAGGCGTCTCAGGAGCGTGAACAGCAATGGCTGGTTCCCTTGATGATGAGCTAGCGGCCAGTTGCGCCTGCAAGTATGGCAAGGCTGGAGGGAGCATCGGAATCGTAGGCTGATCCATCAGTTTTGATGCTTCCTGATTAGTAGCAGAAATTTGCTCAGAAATTTTTGGTCCTGCTTCCACTTCGGCTCCTGTGTCCGGCGATTTCGCCTTGCTCACGCTTATTGCCTTACCGGCGTCTTTTCGTCCGTCACCAGTTGAAGGCTTACCTTGTTGACTCAGGTCTGGCTCTTCAGAAGCTTCTCTGGAAGAAACTTCAGCAGTCTCGACGTTAGATTCAGCATCTTCGACATCCTCTTCCCGCTCAGAGTCTGCCTCCTTAGCGGAGTCTTTACCCTGTAGTGGTACCCCGGAAGGACTTCCCCCTGCTAATAACTCAGAAGACTTAGGTGCATCTGAGAAGACGGATTCACCTTCAGTCCGTTCATTGTCAATGGATTCCTCTTCTTGCTCGACTGAGTGATAGTCATCCCCCTGAACCAGCTCGACATCTTTCAATGAGTAAGACGCATCCAACCGGTCTTCGGGCTCAGCAACGTCCGTGTCCTCACTGATGTCTCCACTCGTGGCTTCATGCTCATGGGTTTCGACGAGATATTCCTGAGTGATGGCATCTTCCAATGCCTGCCGCTCCTCTTGCATGGTCTTGGGTTCATCGAGTTTCCTTTCCAGGGCCTCTTCACGATCAACGGGTTCGGGATGTTTAGGGGCTTCCGACGGCTCGGGCACGAGGCTTTCTTCATCTTCGGCGGTGGCTTCGGCAAAGGATGTCTCAGCAGAGACAGGTGTCTCTGAAAGTGGGGTAGCCTGCTGAGCCACAGAAATCTCTTCTTGTGGCGTAATCGCTGTTTCGTCATCCACAGATATAGCATCGGTCTTTTCGGGCGAAGGCGTTCTTGTAGTATAGGTCCACACATTGATGTCCTTGAACGATTTCCTACGCCGCTTCCTGCCCTTGCCTTCAACGTATCCGTCTTCTTCCGCAAACAAATCTGACCCAGACCCAAAGCTTCGATCCAGCTGATCCAGCGAGAGACGGGCTCGCTTGAGAAATGCCGGCGACGACCACACGGCGCTCTGGAAACCGTTTGCACTCAGCCGCGCCACAAGCGGCGAGTCTTCGAAAGCCGACTCCTCATCCTGCTCGCCTTCCGGCTCCGGGGTCCCGCTACTGACATCAAGATGTGCCAGGTTCTGTCCGTCGCGTGTGACACGCATGCCTAGCCGCCGGCGGAACCCCAGCTCCCACTCAACGCTCTTGCCCGGTGTTGTCACAACTCCATCCTCCTCTCCCTGTACGCGCAGCCACTCCGCACCCGTGAGGCGCAGCACGACCTCATCGCCGATGCCAACGCCGCTCGTTGCGACGGCGTGCGCTGCCTCTCCGAATAGTTGAACGCGGACCTGGCCGCGGCGGCGACGAAGGCGGAAGTCGGGTTCGGCGAGCAGGAGGGCGCATGTCCGAGTTGACGACGAGTACGGCCAGAGGAGAGTGACAATGGCGGTTATGGACTTTGAGGCGGGTGCAGGAAGCTTCGGATGCAGAGTGGCGATTGGGATGCGCTCGGGCTGGGCGGCCGCCATTGTGAAGGGGGTAAGGAGTGCTAGGCGGTGCAACAGTCGTGGATCATTGCGGGTGTTGTCGCTGACGAGCAATGGATTTGCCGGCGCATGTGGAGCTGTGACGACGGAAAGCGCGTTGGATGGCGTCGCCGTTGGCGCGTGCGGTTGTGGCGTCACGGGTCGTCTGTTGCTCTCCCGCCCAGCGATTCCATCGCTCCACAAACTCCATCATCAACTATGACTTTTCACTATTCGCAAATACGGTGAACTACCGTAGCGGAGCACAGCTCTGGTTTCCTTTTTCGACTTTCCATTCCGCTCCGGATGATTCGTCCACTCACTTAGCTAGTTTACCCACCTCTTAACCGCCTATCAGACTGGGCTCGCTATACTTACTTACCGAGTGCTCTTTGCGTAGTTACGAGTAGCTCTGAATTTGCCCTAAGGCTCTTTACAGGGTTACGGAAGAGTGTATTTATGAGGATACAAAAGTAAGTCATATACCTAAGCAGCTTTAACTTCACATGGGTGAGCAGACTATTCGTGGATAACCAAACTATTCAGAGAGAGGCGCGGTCGAAATCAGTCTTCATCGGTTTACGTATTGAATGCAGCTCCTCCCCTCATACCGTACTTGAACCGTTCTCTGACAAGAACGGACCAAGCGTCAAACCCCGCACATGATCCTCTGACCCTTCTTCCAGCATAGTGTCTTGTCTCTTCAAAAACTCAATATCCTCTCTGCTAATATCCTCTCTCAGAAGAGTGTTCCTAGTGATCAAAATACTCTCCACCGCAGCAGGCGGCGGCACCCGACTGTCCCGACTCGAAGCCGCGCATCTTGTGTCGCAAGTATGGCCCCAAAATCCGCAACTGTCTTGCTGAGACATGGTGCGTAGTTTGAGGTGTTTTTTGGACGATCTTCTCACATCAAGAAACCTGGGGAAAAACTTAGCCAACAGCGGCTTCAAGGCCATGAGAGAAGCGCAGATGATCCCGACATTTGCCTCGACTGCCGACCACACGATTAGAGTGGCGCCCGATTCTGCGAATTCAAGATCAGCATGCATTTTAAAATAACCGGTGAGTTACGGGTTGCTGACTCTCTGTCTGTTGCTTAGCAGCATATATCTGGACAAGGGCGAGCCGTAGAATGCTCACGATGCAGACGCTGCGACCCACAGTCAGCTTTTTGCCTGCTTATCAATCATTATAGCAGGAACTTACAAACCACCAAGCGCGAAGACCCCCATGACACTAGCCTTTTGTCTCATTGGTAGACGTAGGCTCGAGATCAATGGCATGGGATAGAACCAGACGACAAAATCCATGATTACACCGATGCAGGCAGTGGACAGCCAGTACGAGTTGATGTTCATGCACCTTCCTTCGACTCCAGGCTTCCAGTACTTGAAGAAAGGACGACAGATAAATATGCTTCCGAAAACACCCCAGCATGCAGCCCCCAGCAGGATAATGAGCAAGACAATGCAGAAAATTTTGGACAGTCGATATTGGAAGATGCGAAGGTACTGCAAGACGAAGGCGGTCTTCGTGACATTGACTAGCGTCTGATACAAGACGTTACTTGTGAGGATGAGCTGTGCTAAAGTTAACTCTGAAGCTGCAACTAACGCAAGCAAAGCTCATACCTTCGAGAGTACCGCAAGAGCAGCTTTCTCAGTTTCCCATCCTGCCGTTGCGACGTGAAATTCGACGCTAATGAGAGACGCCATTGCGATAGACAATGTCTGTTAATCACGAACTCAGCATTCAGTCGTCTAAACGAAAAATCGGAGTGCAAACTTACCAGCGAAAACAGTATGCACCAATCCTCCACCATTACCCTTCTTGCCAACACTGCTCGGGTATAGAATCTTAGTGCAACTGCCACCAACGCCAACGTTGTTAATACTATTGTCGGCGTCAGCGCCTGCCAGTCGACCTTGATAACCCCCATAGCCTCGGGCTTGGTATTCTTCGGTGAGTATAACATCGGAGAGTTTTGTTTAGGAACCTTCGCGACGATGAATGTGTGATTCATTTTTAGGCGACCAGCCGGGACCGCCTTATACGTTGTCTCAACACAATGCTCGTTACACTGCGTGGCGAGGGAGAACAGTTCAGGTCCATCAGAACTTCAGTTCATTGAAGAATCGGCCTGCGTATCTCAGATGAGTGGTTGCTGTAAGCACCTGTGCTGAGCTTTGATATCTCGGCCGAATCGAAGCAAGGGGCTTTTCGCTGTCCTTTTGCCTATTGAAAGTAAGTGTGAGATAGACGTTTGCCACTCCCCCTTAAAACAGTATGGGCAAGTACCTAATAAAAGCTGGGAGACAATCATGCGGCAAGACATGAGGCGACACTGCGGTTATGCCATCATAGTCGTTCGTTGTTTGCGCGGAATGCTAACAATAACTAATGCAAGAGGGGTCATATCGCGCAATGCGAGCCAATAGTGTTGCAGTCATCGGCTGAAATCAGAAGGCGTTGAGCCTGAATGGCTGGGAGATCAATCGTGCTGGCTGCAAACAACGGGTCATGAAGCCATCGTACCGTTCAAAACTGAAACGAAACTTGCCATAATCGAGCACGCACGAGCCCTGGTGCGTGTAAGACACGACGGTGCCATGTACTCCAGCACGCGAACCAAAGTTGAACCAGACAGCTGGATCTAAGGCATCGAATTAATCGTGGCTGGTTTGCGGTAAAGCTCCAGATGTACGTGTATTCAGCTGGAGCATATATCTTCTGGTGGGGTTAATACTCTTGTCGAGTTAATTTTTATGGCTGTAGGAATTAATTTCCTCCAGTCGACATTTAAACTCTTATATACTCCAGCAATGACCTACAGATGCCAAAACAGCCTCTTCATAAAGCCAAACCGCTCCTCATATACAGCAACCGCCTTGATCCCACCCCCTTAACCCACTCTATCCAACCACGCACAACAAATCCGCACCCATCCGCAACTCCACGCCAAAAGCCGCCACAATAGAACGAACCAAGCCCCACAGAAACACCAACAAGCCACTTCCGCCCGCCCGTCCCACAAGAAACACCACCCACGAACAAACACGCCTCCGACGGCGCCCACGCGTCCCGCGCCTACCCAAGCAGCACACGCACGCCGCTCCCGCGCCCGATGGCGCAAGCCCGCAATGTGAGATACCCAGCTACCTGCACGTACAGTGAGCGCCGCGAGGGCCGGACCGGCGACGCGAACCGTGGTTCCTACATATGTACATATGCATGCAAGCCGCGCGATCGGGCAGATCGAACGAGGAAGCTGAATGCTCTAAGCTGACAAGCGGGTTTGCAGCTCGCCGTTGCTCACCTCCTCTCAACTCACGTCTTAGCTTGCTAGACCGCAGATGCGCAGCTCCAAAGAGCACGCACAGAACTGCATACTCTTTACGGCACTCAGTCCCTCTGCACAGAGGCACTAATGAGAACTATCCCCCTCCCAGGACGTGTAGAGTATATACATACGCGTACGCGCACACACTCCCCGTCTCCCGCCCCCGAGCCTATCATAACCAAACCGCACCCGTAAGCCGTAGAGTACTCGTATGTACTCGTACGAGTAGGCACGGCATAACGTCATCGACGCAGCCAGTGCCCGCTTGCGCGAACGAAAGCCAGCGCGCTACTGCCGCCTTTGCCGCTGCCGCCTTTGCCGTTATTGCTATTGCGGCTACCTCGCCGGGCGCCCCTTTCCCGTCACTGAGTTTCTGCGCAGGGGCACGCGTTCCGTTGGCTATGTCTGCGTCCACGTACGTACGTCTAAACGCCCAGCCGCGCGGCCTGATGGACGGAGGCATGTGGCATGAACCTACCTCGGCTCCGGCAGGGGCGGCGACGGGAACAGTGCAGGCGTCACTCTACTCCTAAGCTGGGGCTGGCTGTGTATGCAGGGAGCTGTTTCTTGCTGCTGTGATGGCGGGCTGTGCCGTGTCGTTTCTGCGTCGAGACAGAGTAGGGGCGCGTGTGTGGATGGGTGGGACACTATTTTGCGGTTTGGTGCAGTGCAGTGCTGTGTGCATAGCGGACTTGTCTGTCTGTCTGCCACTGTATGCCTGCCTACAGCTGAGCCAGCTTTCAGGAAGTGGGAGAGTGGGTGAGTAGGCGTGCAGAAGGGCTGAGATTTTAAAGGTGTGTGCGTATGCGTTTCCTCTAGAACCCCAGACAGAAGGACTAGTTACAGCGATCAAGCCAGTCAGCAGCCCCCAACCATAAAAGAGGCGTTTATGCATATACGTGACTGGGGTTTTCGTGGGAATTCGTGTGCATTTATCGTTATGTGCAAGAGAGGGCGCTGTGAACAGTGGATGCTACGCGGGTATCAATCAGGCTTTGTGGACTGTGTAGGTAGATACAGAGATAAGTTGGTAGGTAGGTATGTAGAAATGCAGCAGTAGACCACATAGCAACCCAAAAACCCGCTTCAACATACCACTCCCATCCGTTAAAACAGCGCTCTCTTACCACACAACAATCTACACACACCACTCACCACTCACCACACACGCCAACCCACCCCCAACAGCGCCATCAAAGACCCAGACAGCGAGCGAACCCGATCCCACAGCTCACACAGCCCACACGACCTAACCTGTCAATGTCAAGCAGCCGGAGCTGGCACAAGCTTGACGGGCCGGGAATTGGCGGCACGGCACGGCACGGCGACGGAAGCGGGCGGGCGAGCGGCCAGAAAATGACATGGCAGAGAATGACATGGCATGGCAAGGTGGCAAGGCAGGCAGAACAAGTCAAGACGGGGGTGAAGCGGATAAGGCGGGGAGGGACGGGAGGTTGTGGGTGTTGGGGCGGCGATGACGCATGCTCTGCTCTGCTCTGCTCTGGTCGCTGCCTTGGTGCTGAGGGATGGTGCTGAGGGACGAAAGCCAAGAGAGATACAATACACACGGCGGTGTCGTGTTGCTCAGGGCTTGGGCGTGGCGTTCTGGTGGAAAAGCGGCGTTCTCGGCGGGCGAGGTGTGGTGGCGCGGAGGAAATGAGGGTGAGAGAAAGAGGGAGGAGGATGGGGAGGATGGTGACAGAGGGAGAAGCGGTGAGGCGAAGGCGGGGTGGGCATGGCGATGAGATGGGGGGTAGTTGGAGGGGTAGGTTCGTTCGTTTGGGACCGTGGTGATGTTGTTGGTGTTCAGGCCGGCAGACAGAAACGCCATTCTGCACCCTGCCCAGCGATTAATCAGTCAATCACGCTCTTGCCCACTCACTCACTCTCACATATCGATCGCACAATTGCATTCCCTCTCTTCGTGCGACCAGGGCCTTAACCGCCTCACATGCAACCGTTCGAAAGCACTGCTTCCCGGCGCCGTGCACCCCTCCCCGCTCAATGCGCAGGTCGCGCCTTCCTGTTTGGACCCTGAATGTGTCTTAATTGTGTATCTAAGCCAGGGGTCTGCCTTCGAGGCCAACCCGGGGTCGTGCGGGTGTTAGGTGGTACAGGAGTCTTCGAGGAGCAAAGAAGCTTAGCGCCGTGCTTCCCTCCCGCCTCGCCATGTGTGGTTCTTCTGGCAATGCGCTACGGTGCCCGTGCGTTGCTTGGTGGCGTGTTTGGCTGTGCGTGCGCACGGTACGATAAAGCAATTTGGATGTCGGTTGATTGGAAAGAGAGCGAAATACGAGTACAAATGAACAGGAGGAGAGGAAAAGAAATGGGAAAAAGGTGGAAGAAGAGGCAAGGACAAATTGTGCATGTTTGGACGGTCAGTGGGCAGGGAGCCATGGTGCTACAGATCTATTCAGTCATGTTCCACAGACAGATCGAGGCGCGATGTGTTCGTGAAGGATCAGGGTCCGGATTGATGCCGTGAGAGACACCAGCAAACTCGGTAGTGCGGGCCGATCCAGGACGCCGCGATCGAGCGAGTCAAAGTTCCAGGCACTCGAACAGACCGCTGTTTGTCACCAGCGGGACAACAGAAGTATATCCATGGGTAGTGTGACCTTGCTTTACTGCGGAGACGTGCAAGCTCCCGAGTCCACACGGGTCTTCAGTACTTGGCCGTTCTTGGTCACGTCGTCGGTAGAAGTTTCTGGTTCGAGTTCGAGACGAAGGGCCACCTCCGCGGCAAGACGCTGCTGTTTCTTTACCTCGTCCCTTAGCACGTGCCTCAGGATCTTACCGCTCGAATTGCGGGGAACATGGTTACCGAAGTGGATAACGGCATGTTGAACTTTCTGCTTGGCTAGATGCTGTAGCAAGAAAACTCTGATGTCTTCTGGCTGGAGACTTGACCCAATTTCGCGTACCACCAGGATATGTACCATCTCGTTTTCGCCAGCATCGTCTGCGACGCCGAACACTGCCGATTCCCTAATGTCCTCATGTGACGCAAGGACTTCCTCGATCTCGGCTGGCGCGACCTGATAGGCATTCACCTTGATCAGTTCCTTGATACGACCAACGAGAAAGATCTTTCCATTCTTAATGCAACCAAGATCGCCGGTCCTCAGCCAACCATCCTCGTTGATAGTTGCTTTCGTAGCAGCCGGGTTGTTCAAGTACTCGAGCATAACAGAGGGGCTGCGTACCACGAGTTCCCCCAAAGCGTCAGTTTGTGTGACTTCAAACCCACTTTCGTCGATAAGCTTGAAATCAGTGTTAGGAAGCGGCCTTCCCACAGAGCCGCTGTAGTCTTCTTCGGGATACTGGAATGTCGTCATCCAACCCCCTTCAGTCATTCCGTAGCACTGGACGATCCTTCCTAAGGGTGCAATTAATTTGCTGGCTTCAAGCTGTTTGGCAGCAGCGAGAGGGGCTCCAGCACAAATGACGGTCCTCAAACTCTGCAAATTCTGCTTTTTCTCAGACGTCAGAGCATCACCAAGGAGATGTCTTGTAATGATGGGAGGTGCGACCACAGTCTCCGTGATCTCAGCATCTTGAAGCAGCTCCAAAAAGCTATTAATCTCGAATCTGCGCTGAATGTACGTTGGATGCCCTCCACAGAACGGTCCCAAAATGGCAAGTGGGGCGGCGAATGCATGGAAGATCGGAAGCGAAATTAGTCGTCTTATAGCATAGGGCTTGTCGCGCGAGTCGTCGAGCGCCACACTCTCATTGACGAAGTTCTTGTGGGTGCGCACAGCTAGCTTCGGTAGACCTGTTGTACCGCTGGTGAGGAAGAGACCAGCCGGGGTCTGCTGTGCGGTCCTCTCGTCGTCGAAGCTGATCCAATCGCTCGAGCCGCACGTGAGCAAGTCATGGAAGTCGAGGAATCCAGGCTCTCGGACGGACTCGGTGGAATGATAACCAAAAATCTTACAGGTATCATATTCCTCGCTCGCAGCAGCGACCTTGTCCAACAGTGCCTTTTCTGCAACAACGAAGCGCGGCTTCGCAGCGCCGAACAGATGGGCCAATTCCTCGGCTGTATACTGTGGATTGGCGGCCGCATAGGCACCTCCGGCACCGATGATGCCGAGAGCGATGATCGGAAACATAATCTGGAAGACGGCGCGTCAGCGACATGTCTAGGAAAGCGGAACGGCAGTCTTGGAGGGCTGTGTTCCAGGCGACCCTCCCGACGGCCGGCTGCGGGAACCCGGCAAACACGTGCAAGAGCAGACGCAGTCACGGCAATGTCATGCGGGCGTCAAGGAAGGTCGTGTTTGACGCGACGCGGGCAGCCGGGCTGAGGCCGACGTCAACCGGGAATGTCAGAAGTGAGTGGATCATCCCAGTTTGGCTAGGTGTCACGCTGCCCACGTCGCTAAATCCAACATCGACTCTTCGCCATCTTCCGAGCCTCCCACGCCGAGCACCCGCAATGCCATGGAGCTGGTGTGAGGTGTGATGTTCTCTGAGCTTACATCATTGTGGCTGACTATGCAAACTGCATCGCCCTTCTGAAGACCAAAGGCCAGCAAGCCGCAGACCAACCTACGGACTAGAGAGCGGGCCTCATTGGCCGAAAGGGAATGGGTGCGATCCGTGGCATCCACGAGGAGCTGTGTAGTCAGCCGGTACCAAGAAGCATGATATGGAGTGATCGTCTGCTACTTACCGGCTTGTCTTGATCGTAGGCATACTGGCGGCCAAGGGCCCATGATACGACGTCGAGGGAGGGAACGGGAGTGCTATTGAGCGGCATGTCGTGTGATAGCAGCTGATGAGGAAAGAAGATCGATGGTGGAAAAGAGCGGCGGAGAGAGGGACAAGGAAAAGAGACGGGCCGAGGCGTTTGAAGGGACGGAATCACTAACACACCCGTTTGAAGAGACAGACGACAGGTAGGAAGCAGAGTTCAAACGCGCCTGGCGATGTGCGTGTTAGGCCGCGGTATCTGCAGCCACCCCAGGCAGGCACGCGTAGACTGACGTTCCCGCCCGCGCCCCGCCCGCCTCTCTCTTTCAAACCCTCTCTCCGCCACCCGTCTGAGTTGCTGCACCCATCCGACCAAGACACTCTTTGACAGCCAGGCAGGATTCCTGTGTTTCCATTGCCATATCTTTCGTTTCCACCCTCGTTTTTTGCTGCAACCTCCACCAGAGCGCTAACTTTGCTTTGCGACTTCACCTTGTAACAAAGCAGACGCCTCCGCAACGACGACTTCTCAACTTCGTGCCACCGTCTGTATCGCTTACTTCAAGCCACTCGTTACCACGACAAAACTTTCTTCGCCTCTCGACTTGCTCGCGCTTTGGTCCACTATAAAGCTGCCCGGCCTTTTGGTCGCCAGCTTTGCTGTACCGCCCTCGTCCCGTCTATAAACCCACAGTAAACATTCCATCTGCTGTCTTTTGCTCCCGACCCCGACAGTGCTGCAGCTCTTTTCAACTCATTGCTTGCTCGTCCCAGACATGCGTGCTATGGAACGCCTCAACGGTATGCAATGCTTCTATTTGTTTGATCCCCGAGGCTAACAGTTAGTAGACTTGTCTATCTCCGGTCGGCGGACTATCCAATTCCCTCTTCCTAGCCATCGGGCTACATTCGGCGAGCCTGTTGTACGAGAATCAATCACTGTGCTTCACAAGTTCGCCAACCTTGCCGAGGTCGTGCAAACGCGCCCTCCCGTCAACGAATCCAGCATCACTCTAAGCGAAGTTGATGAAAAGACCGACAATACCATTGATAGTAGTAGCGACACTGCTTCTATCGCCTCGACTATAGTCGATAAAGAGGATTCCTTCGCCTTGGATAGCAATGACGACTCTCTCCCATCAGACTATGACGACAGCTCGATTTCCTCAGACTACAAGCGCGGCTCATTTAGTTCAGACCACAAAAGCAGCCATTTCGACCCAGAATGCAAGAACGAGTCCTTTGCCTCGGACTACAAGCACAGGTCCATTGCCTCCACCATCACTCCTTATGACGACTACGAGATCAACGAGCTCCCACCTCTTCCTTACTACGGATGGCTCAGTGCCCGCAACAACTACCGCCTACATGAAGTCTACTACAAGTGGTTCTCGGTATATCGCCAGATATTCATGGTGCTCTTCGCTTTCAACTTGCTGGGCCTTTGCCTCTTCTGGGCCTTCCAGAGCTGTGTTAACACTGGCAAGGACGTCTCCGACCCTCGCAATCTGGCATCTTACCAACAGCTGACAGCTGTGGCCGCTAACCTTCTGGTCTCCATTGCCTTTCGCAATGAGCACGTTGTCAACGTTCTTTTCGATACCGTTAGGTCTCTTCCCCTTTGGCTACCACTTAATATACGGTGCGCCGCCGCCAAGATTTACCACTACGGTGGCGTGCACAGCAGCTGTGCAGTCGCTGCGACCATGTGGTACCTTGTGTACGCTATCACCCTCACGGCGGAGTTCACAAGAGGGGAGCAGAAGAGCGTGATGGTAGGCCTGGCCTGGTCAGTCCTGACACTCATGATGCTCATCCTTGTCCTTGCCTACCCGACCATAAGGAACAAGTACCACAATTACTTTGAATGCGTCCATCGCTTTGTCGGATGGACTTCAATGGGTTTGTTTTGGGCTCAAATGATGGTCGGCATAGTCCTTGTGGCAAAGGCCACCGATAGGAGTACCAGCAGCGTTCTTGTCCGCACTCCGTGCTTTTGGATTCTTGTCCTTGCTACGGTTCTCATCATCTACCCGTGGCTTAACCTCCGTCGCCGCAAGATCGAAGCCGAGCCTCTCTCCGCGCATGCTATTCGCCTCCATTTCGACTATGGCAACTTCCGTCTATGCTCTGGAATTCGTCTTACCGACAGACCGCTCCTCGAGACCCATTCCTTTGCCACCATTCCCAGGAGCGATGGCAAGCCGGGCTTTGAGGTTATCATCTCAAAGGCCGGAGACTGGACGGCTAAGATAATCAAGAACCCTCCGACAGCCATCTGGGTTCGCGGTGTTCCCATCAGGGGCGTCCTGGGCATTGCTCAGATTTTCAGCCCTGTCGTCATTGTATGCACAGGCTCTGGAATCGGACCTTGTCTCTCGTTCCTTCGTGGCAAACCCAACCACAACTTCCATCTGGTGTGGGGTACACGCGACCCGGAAAGGACATATCAGCCACCTACACTTGATGAAGTCTTCCAGCATGACCCCCAGGCCGTCATCTTGGACAGCACCAAGATCGGTCGGCGTCCAGACATGACCCTCGAAGCGTACAAGGCTTATAAGAGGTTCAATGCCCAAGCTATTGTCGTCATATCAAACCCGAAGGGCACGAAAGACATCGTCTTCGATATGGAAGCTCGTGGCATCCCCGCTTTCGGACCTATCTGGGACTCTTGATCCACTTGACAGGACAACCATCTGATCCCGCTTGTGCGCCGCTTCCGGCGTGCAGCGCAACTTAGCGGCAGGCCTTTCGTGATACCCCTTGACATGGACATTATATAGGACGTGGTGTAATCTGGGTGTCGATTGTTTAATGGATCTTCAGTATAGGTGTGTAGGATTCTTGGGACGAGACTTACGGGCGGCGATATGGCGCGATGCCTCTTTCGGATTTTCTCAGCTGCTACGGCGCCGGCATCTTGCTTCAACGGGAAGAGACGAGACACCACCGATGGCAACAGCGTCCCATCTGGCGACGCAAGCGTGTGTGGACAAAAAGGATAGTCGGGTGCACTTTTGGTTTCACTCCACTCTCGTTTTACATACACACTCTTTTCTTTTGTCTTTCCTTTTTTTCTTTACTATGTTTAACCCTAATTCTTCCATTCGTTCATAACAGGGCAAGGGTTTCTGCCGACCAAAAGCATCATGTAGCATAGCATTAGATAGTGGCCTTAAGCCAGAGTACAAGACATTCCTTCGCATGTCGCCGGACACTGTCTTACAGGCTGCCAAGACGCCTTTCCTGGTTATAAAACGTCTGTCACCGGAAACCGAGATCCACACCTTAGCAAGACAGGAGACGATACAAGCAGTCCCCACAAAGTACACCTTGCCTAGCTCCTAGCCCGAGGCCCGGGTATAGATATAAAGGTTTTAGAGTATATATAACATCCGTCACCGCGAATCGAGATCTACCTTCTAGCGAGCTAGAGGACGATATAAGCAGTTCCTACATAGTCCCTGCTTAGCTCTCAGCCCGAGTCCCGGATATGGATGAAATAGTTTTAGAGCACACATAGATTCTATGTATCATAACTGATTCTCTTCTTCTACTCCATACAAATATCACAAGTAAGCATAGGCTCGAACGGCGCTAGCAGGAGAGGGGGGTTGCGAATTCACAACCCGTAATGGGATAATTCCTATAGGGTAACAGAAATCGGACGAGGATTTGAATGCAGTGAGTCACGCGCCGTCTACCACGAACCAGGTCGGCGGTTGACTGGGTGCAATGGGCATTGTGCAGCGGAAGTCGCGACACACGGCAAGCCGCAGCCCAGCACAGGCCGACCGGGTGACTTCCTTGTCGCGATTTCCGACTTCCTCTTCGCAGCGTCCCCTTTCCTCCTTCGTGATCGCTGTCCTCTACTTTACCACACACCTTACCTCCAAAGTACAAGTCTGACGCTTGCCCCTAAAAGCGCTTCCTGGTTTACCTTCTTGCACCATCGGAATCACTTGCTTATCCTCGTCAACATGGACACCAAGATTATTACAATAGTCGGAAGGGCAGATGTTGTTACACTATACATACCCCCCTTAAGCGAGCTATCCAACCACGAGCGCGACCTTTAGATCCGCTTACGGAGTAATCTATAGGGAGCACTTTCAAAGGTACCGCTACTCTTTACAAGTAGTACGCTAACTACGAGCGTAGCTTCTAGATCTACCTAAAGAGTAGTCTCTATACAGCATTCTAGAAGTGTCGCAAGTATACCTGCATCCTCCTAGAAATAATATAATATTTATATTCGGAGCGACTTGAGTAGCTTTCGCTCCCTACGGAGTACCACTCCCTATAGGCATATAAATAACGACTCCCTCTCCGACTGTAGTATTTGCTTACTCCCGGTGCAGCAGCTTCCGCGTCTACAACTACTTGATAGGGGCCATCGGAAGACCCTTTGGCAACTGGGAGACGCGCTTGCGCCTACTAGCCAAGAAACCTGTTCGACTGCTTATCTACGAACTGAGCACACGCATGTCCGGGTGGACTGCTGGCTGGCTGACTTACTGAATGGTCCCGTTCCGCTCCGCTCCGCTCCGCCGCTAGCAGAAGCCGGTGCTATCGGACGGCGGGGTAGATTGCTTAGCCAGCTAGCGGGGTGGAGAGGGTTGCGTGGGCGACGGGGTGCTAGCGCGGCCTGAAGGTATTTGTGTTGTTGGGTTCCATGTTCGCCTTCCACGGTGATGATGCAAGAGCTATGCTGATGTCGATCCGCGGACATGCAGGTGGTCGTCGCCATCGAGCTCGCCGTCGCCGTCGCCGTCGCCGTCGCCGTCGCCATGGCGCTTTCTAGACCATGGTGAGTGTGCGAGTATCAGGGTCTCGTCCCCAGCGTGCCAGCGCGAGTACCGGTCGTAAAGCGAATCAGCATCTTCGCTCGCCAGGTACGTGTACGAAGAGAAAATCAACAGGCGAACGAACACTCCACAGCCTTGCCTGTGCACCTTGCTTGGGCTCGACGACAGGCTGACTCGTTCGTTCAAATGGCGTAGGATCCGGGATTTCAGTTTCGCTACGGAATCGTACGAGTACGAGGGCGCGCGGGATGGCAGATGGAGGTGAGTTTAATCGTAGCTCGCGGCCGTGACAAGGCAGCAACGACTCAGAGGTGGCGGAGGTCGACACACACACACACCGTCGCGGGCCTTGTTGGTGGTCGCGATGGTGTGGCGTCGTCACTGCCGTCTCGGCTCGTGCGCGCTTGGTTTAGAATCCCGGCGGCGGACGAGCGCAATTCCAAATCAGCCGCCCTTTCATCGCCAGGCCAGCATCCCCAATGGCCTGACCGACTCTTTCGGTCTCGGGAACCGTGTCGCTCCCGGGGGCTTATTTGTCAAAATCCGCTTCCTGCGACAAGCCCGCTCCTATACCGTTGCCCACTGATTGGCTCCCCGCGCTACGTGCGTGAGCCTTTGCGCCTTACGGGGCGCCGTTTGCATCTGCCCTGCAATGCGCCCTGCCAAATACATTTTGGTTTTTGCGGGCGGGGCCGCGTTTGCGCTGGTCGCTGGGCCCTCGCAGAAGTAATATATGTAGGTAGCAGCTGTCGGGGTAGGCTCCCGCATCCGCCTTTTCTCTCCAGTCGTGCTTCCTTGCTCTGTCGGGAACTTACATACCCCTCGCATTCCTCCCTTCAATCTCTGCTGTTTGCCACCCTCTGTCAATAAACAATTCTCCCTTTGCCACCTATACATATCTACAAACCACCGACAGTCGTCTCTTGAAGTCGCAAAATGGCCCCTTCTGCAACAATCTCCTCGCGGCACCCCTACCTCGCCTCAACACACGCGTCCTCGATTGAGTCGTGGAATTCTTCTGTCCCCGGCCGCTCTTTTCAGGCACATGCGCAGCGGACCGATCCTTCCGATCCTGCCATCAAAGCCTACCTAGAGCTCAAGATGGCACTGCTCGCCAGCGCAAGCAAGTCTCGTCCCATCTACCACTCGTAGCGGGCCGTGCAGCTCAGTGCAGATGCAATTACGACGTTATGGATGTTCACGACCTTTGAAGCACCTCGCTGTATCTACGCGGCGTGACGGGACAACGGCGTTGCCCGCCTTCCGCCTATCTACTGTGGCGCGAGACCGACAGCGATATATGACGACGCCGTAGCCACTCTATTATTATCTCCGCTGGTAGTCGCGTCTTTGCCACTGCTATCTGCTTCCATCATCTACCATCTACCTACCTTATTCCACTCCTCTCGCCCACGGATTAGCGGCACCGCGACTTCAAACTTAGCAGACGCGTACATAGCTCGACTGCGCTGGCTGCTGCAAATACCCGAGCAGCACAACACTCCACTCTGCCGTCATTAATCTCATGGCCAAGAGCTCGCGCCAGCTGCACGAAGTCTCGGCTCCAGTTGCCTTTTGTTGTCAGCCCTGCTCACTCGCTTCCGACCCGGCGCTTCCTTGGAGCAGATGAAGCGAGCGCGGTGGCGGGCAAGCAGGTCGTGCTTTCCTGCAGACTGCGCCGGGGCAGTAGCTACAGTGAGGAGCTCACACGAATCGGAATGCACAGAGGGAGGATGGTGTTTGTGGCGTGGGTTTTGGTCTTGTCTTGTTAACCTAGGCATTTGATTGAGGGGCTAAGGTAGTGAGATGGATGTACGACGCGAACATAATGACAAGAATCCGAAATGCAATTACCTAGCTACATAACTTGCTCAGCTGACTTTCGTGCGCCCGTACAAGCCTGTGTCGCCAGGTACAAGCAGAGGCGTTGACAAATGTTCCCTGATGTAGGTACCTAGTAAGGTATCAAATAGACAAGGCACCAAGGCACCACGGCAGACAGTAGGTAGTCACGTGGACATGCTCGGTCGGCCTCGCCAAGCATTCGCGCCGACCGCCGCCGCCGCCCGGACGCCCAGATCTCCAAAGTTTCCAGCGAGTGAGCGTGCAGCTGCAGCCCAGCTTCCACGACCTCACGCATTGCACGATGCTGCTGCCTCGGACTCAGGCGCCCTTGAGGGCCGCCCTTGCTGCGTCGAGATCGCAGTTCCTCCCTAGCACTGGCTCCGCCTACAATGTGCTCGATGTGCTGCGCGCAGGCTCCTCGCCGTCGCCGACCTTGACATTTGTCCGCCATGCTACGCATCAGGCCCAGGGACGGGCTAATGGGCCGAAGAACGGGGTTGGAAAGAGAATGGGTGCGAAGAAGACTGGTGGTATGTATATCCGCGATTGAAGGAGGGAGTGAGCAAGCAAGCAAGCCAAGCAAGCAATGGCTTGGTGATGGTGGTTGGGGGAACAGACACAGCAAGAGGCAGCAGCAACAAGGACAAAACGCTAACGCGGCACGCGCGCCTCACAGAACAATACGTGGTGCCGGGCAACATCATCTTCAAGCAGCGCGGCACGCTGTGGTTCCCGGGCGAGAACTGCTTAATGGGCCGCGACCACACGATCCACGCGGCGGCGCCCGGCTACGTCAAGTACTACCGCGACCCCGCGAAGCACCCGAAGCGCAAGTACATTGGGGTGGTGTTTGAGCGGAACCAGACGCTGCCGACGCCGGTGCACGCGGCGCGCCGGCGGCGGCTGGGCATGCTGGCCGTGGCGCGGGACGGGGCAGTGGAGCACGAACACGAACAGGAGCAGCAGATGGTGGAGGAGGACGCCGCTGCCGCCAACGACTTGGTCCCCGCCGGCAAGGCGGTTCCTGGCAACAAGGTTCCTGGCCAGGAAAGCTCGGTCCGCGCCGCCCCGAAGAGCAAGCGCGCCCAGAAGCCCCAGAAGAACCTCTCCTTGCGCCCCGGCTACATGTTCCGCGAGGCGAACTGGGAGATTGGCCGTGCAGCGGAGCGCGCAAATGTCAAGGTCACGCAGTTCGTCAAGGGAGACCGCTTCAAGGCGTGGAGGAAGCTGGCGGCCAGGAAGGCGAAGAATGTCGCGCGCAAGACGCTGAGCAGTCGCAAGGGCGCGAAGAAGGCGAAGAAGGGCGGGAGGAGGTAGAGGTAGAGATTGTGCGTCTGTTGAAACCACGGGGTTGTGTATTTATACCTGAGGTGCTGCGGGTGTGTGTGTGTATGTATGTAAAAAGACCTGCTCTGCGATTTCTCGGCGTGTTGTTTGCGTGAAGATGTAGACGTGCGTGCATACACAAGTTCCTAAGGATACTTAGCTATATGTTAGGCTAGTGCTTCAGCAAGTACCTAGCAAGCCCCGCCCCACCGCGCACCGACCCAGCGCGCGCGCATCCCCCACGTACGTATACACCTCGCTCGGCTCACCTCTCTCCTCCGCCACCTCCTCCGCAACAACCACGCCCGCGCTCATACCCGCCTGCCTCGTCCTCGCGCCGCGCACATACCTCGCCCGGCCTCTTCGCTTTCTGCGCCTTTCGCCGCCGCCGCGCTTCTTCTCCCGCGCTCCAGCCTGTCGTCCCCGCGCCGGACCACTGCTGCCCCTCGCCGGAACACCGCGTGCGCTGACGGACACTGCCACCGTGACCGCAACCACAACTCACGGCCACACATACGCCTGCCACCAACGCACTCAACACACACACACACACCCCACAATGGCATCCTCAGTAGCCTCGAAACGGCTCTTCCACGAGTACAAAGCGCTGACGTCGGACCCGCCCGAGGGCATTACGGCGGGCCCGGTGACAGAGGACGACATGTTTGTGTGGGAAGCGCTGATCCAGGGCCCGGAGGGGACGCCGTTCGAAGGCGGCGTGTTCCCGGCTGAGCTCAAGTTCCCCAAGGACTATCCCCTTGCGCCGCCGACGATGCGCTTTACGTGCGAGGTCTGGCATCCGAATGGTGAGTTGCTGTTGCTCTGGTAAAGAAGGGGAAGAACGACACTTATTATGGTTGAGGGTTGTAGTGGAGTGAGGGAAAGATGGAGGCTAACGCAAAGCGCAGTCTACCCCAACGGCACCGTCTGCATCAGCATCCTGCACCCGCCCGGCGACGACCCGAACCACTACGAGCACGCGTCGGAGCGGTGGTCGCCCATCCAGTCGGTCGAGAAGATCCTCATCTCGGTCATGAGCATGCTCGCCGAGCCGAATGACGAGAGCCCGGCTAATGTCGATGCCGCCCGCATGTGGCGCGAGCGGAGGGCCGAGTATGAGAGCGTGGTTCAGGGCGTTGTGAGGAGGGGGCTGGGTTTGTAGGGGGTTGGGGTTGCATGGGTGGGCCTGTTGACGGTTGCAAGCTTCATGGGCGAGAGCGAGAGCGCGCGTCTGGCCCAACGAAGGCCGTGAGTCGCGGCTGGCGTTGTCCAGCGCTTCTGGTGGCGTTTTTACAGAATCCAGAAGTCCTAGGTGTCGGCTGCACGCCTGCTTCTGCATCTCCTCATCCGCCCTCAGTATGTACGTACCGCCGCAGCCCAGCAGCCTACTTACTCTTAAAGCCTTACATACTACATACATGCGCTTGCGAGCGCGCGAGCGCTTGCATGCATCCAACACATTCCACACACCCACACGCACACACACATGCATGCACGCACGCACGTACGCATAGATTCGTAGAGCACACCGCCGTTATAGACAGAAGGGTTAGAGCGCACTGCGCTCGTACATACATACATACATACATACAAACATACATACATACGCGCGTCTGGCTGTCGTGGCTTAATTATCGTCGTTGCTACTGTGCTGTGGACTGACTGTGTTTGGGAGTGGTTGATTGGATAAATGGAAGAAATGGAAGAAATGAATAAAGTGAATGGATTAGGCAGGAAGACGGTCGAAGCCGTCTTAGCGCCTGTCTGTGTGAACGGATTGTTTGATGACTGTCTGTCTGTACTTTACACGCGGGCTCGGCTGCCTTGCCCTCCTCCTCCGGCTCTGGCACCTTCGCAAACCACCTCCCCTCTCTCCTCCCCTAAGTATCAAACAAATACGCCGCCACGACCCCACCAACATTCATGCCCCCGGACCAACCTCCGGTATTATTGCGCATCTCGGCCACCGCTACGCTTCCACTATTAACCAAGCTCCTCACCATAAAAGTGACGCTCTTAACATTCAAGCCATACAGCCACGTCCGCTGTGTATCCTCCTCCAGCAGCACCGCGTTCTCCTGACAGTCGCCATTGAGGGTATCGCACCTGGTGCCGGCATTGACATTGCGCTTGTTATTGAAGAAGACCCACAAGCAGCCGCCGTACAGGAACAGGTCGTGCGAGCCGCCGCCCACAGCCATGAACCACGCCATGCCGCAGAGGGCGTCGCCGGGCGCGCAGTTGGCGAAGCCCGGGTCGCTGGGCACGAGGTCCTGCGCCCAGGGCTCGGGCGCCACGGCGTTGCCCGGGCCCTGCCAGTAGGCTGTCTCGGCCTGCGCGAGCGTCGACACGACGTTCGCCGCCCCGTGGAACCGGTATTGGTACAGCGTCGCGTGCTCCATCGCTGTGCCGATCAGCCAGGTGCCTTGCGTTGCTTCGATCAGCGCGCCCCGCCCCACCGACACCGTCTGGTTGTAGCCCCAGGCCGGCGCGTCCGCCCCGATCCCTGAGTCCAGGTCGTGGTCGGCCGTCCAGCCCCACATGTTCTCGATGTAGGCCGACGACGTCGACGTCAGGTGTAGTAGGCCCCATGCGGCTTTGCATGCGGCGGCGACGTTGAGGCATTCGCTGCGCACGCGGCTGCCCACTGCGCCGCCCACCCGGAAGTGCGTGTTCCAGATGCCGACGTCGCCGGGGTTAATGCCGGCCATGTTGACTTCGAGCTAGAGACGGAGTTAGGGTTGTTGTGTTGGGCGTGGGTGGGGTGGGTCGACTTACGAGCTTGCAGCCCGGCAGGATGTCCGCGACCGTGAACATCATGTTGCTGATTTGGGCGACGCCTTTGTCGCCTGCATTGCCGACTTTGACTAGCGCTCTGGGCCTGCTGGCGTCTGCGAAGTTGGTGCCGTACGCGCTGATTATCGCTGAGTAGGCGTCGCCGAAGATGCGCGTGCCCATTGGAATGATGATCGTGTCAGTGGCTATGTATGTTCCAGCGGGCCAGTCTGCGGTCATGTCAGCATTCCTTATAAACTGAAGAGCTCTCAAAGATCGTACAGATGATGGCGCATCCAGCGTATCGAGCGAGGATGGCATTGATGTTAGCCGTGTCGTCAGTCACGCCATCGCCCATAACAACGAGATTAGGAACGGCCTTGATGTTGATGACCTTGCTGGCCGAATACTCCTTGTAGGTCGGTGGAGGCATGGAAACGTATTTGCCGTTCTGAAGCAGAGCGGCCGTACGCGCGGTAGTGGTGTTAGTTCCCTCGGGTGTCCAGTGGTGCGTGGGATCGCCAGAAAGGTACTACCGCTGATCAGCCAAGAAACTACAACGAAAAACAGAACTCCTTACAGCATTACCCAGATACCAGGTGTCGGCAACTGAGCCAGTCAGGAGCGTCTTTCCGGCCATGACCACGGTCAGTCCTGCGTTGGCGACATTCTCAAGAACCACGCTGTTTGGATGGTAGGAAAGTCTAGAGGACAGTAGTCTTCCGATATTCTTCGTTGCCGTGTCAAGAACGACGACAGAGCCAGGCGTGCCCGAGGCTTCGATACCAACTTCGTTGTATAGGAAATAGCTGTTGCTGAACACGACATCCGTTCCATTTACCATTGCCCCGATTCTGCAACTGTTGAATGAAATTCCTAGATTTTGGATTAGAGTTTTGCAGCATTCTTACCGGCTTGCAGACTGACCTTTGAAAATCCATTGTTGTCCACTGACATTCATACCCACGTTGCCACCGTAAAAGGCAACGTCATTGATAATGATGTTGCTGTTGTAGCCCGCATCACGAGGCCACTCGCCGGCTTTCATGCCCGTGTGGCCCTTTGAAAAGTTGGGCATATTGAAACGGACATTTGTCAGCTGTGTGGCCTGGCTGACGGTCCAGTCGAGCAGCGTGATCTGGTAGTCGGGGGCGAGGTTGGTCGAGTCCAGAATGACATTCTTCAGCGTCATGTAGAAACTGACGGTTCCTCCAAAGTTCGGATCCTTCCCGAAGACCAAGTAGTCACGCGAATAGTTGCTGTGGGCTTTGAGTATGGGTGGGTTGATGGGGTCCCCTATCAACACGGTGCCTGTGTAGAACTGCAATGGCCCTTGCAGCAGATAGGTTCCAGCGGGCAGATAGATGACTGCAGGTTGCAGTGTAGTTCCATACGCTCGCTTTTCACGGCTCCTGTAATTCGATGCCCCAGCTGTTTCTTTGTGAGCATAGATTCTATAGTATTACTTGCGGGTGACCCACCATTTATGGCCTTTTGGATGGAGCCTGATGCATCTCTCGAGCCAGTGTTGTCGGCTCCAAAGTCCGTCACAACGTTCCTGAACACTTTATAAGTGCCATAGGTAGCGTTCAAGTAGGATGAGGTGCCGCCGTGGGGCACGGAACCCAGCCAATAGGTGGAGGGACTGTCCGGGGCAAGAGCAGGGCAAGCCGAAGCCTCCTGTGAAGTTTCTACTGCTTGGTCCAATTGAATTGGTTGTTTCCTTTCAGTGTCGTTAGAAATTGTCAAGCCCTGAAAAAGAAAAATGCCATTGACATGAGGGGAATTTTAGAAAACAAGATACCCCTCAAGATAATAGATAGGTTAGACCATACTAACAACCAAACATTCTTAAGATTTCAAGACTTCGATACGAAACATGTAAAATAGACTTACGCAGATTGAAGTGAAGGAAGTTTTGTTGTCAACCCTTCACGGAGCATCACCCGCACACCTTCTGCATTATCCAATACATCTGCGGGATAGTACCTATTCGCAGCCGCCGTGAGCGGCACGAGCAGTGCCACAGGAAGGAACTGCAGCAGACGCATTGTGGCGCGCGTCAATTCATACAAGAAAAATCAGACAACCGTGGCCGACAGGAAGTCGGACGGCATGAAATAAGCCCAGCACCGGAAAGCCCCATCACCCTTTATACCTGTCTCTACCTTGTATTGTTTGCGCGGGATTCCAAACCCTGGTGACATTCCTCAGGCGGGTCGGTAGATTGTCCGAGTTACAGTAGTTTGCGGCCCTTATAAGAACATCGCGGGACCTGAAGCCGAGCCCGCCGGCCGCAATGAGCGAGCCAAACAAATTAGTGTGGCCGGAAGGGGTTTTCTTTCATTGTGAGTTTGAAGAAAGTGAGGCTAGTTTGCTGGGAGGGGCTTGCTTTGAGGACCATTCCGCAAAAGGACGGTCCCTGCCGCTTCGAGAACTGGAGATGACCAACGCATAGTTTCTGTCTGAAACCATTTTTCCAAGACACGCGAAAACAATGCAACCATAGGAGTGCTGCATTGGGGATTTTTAGGACGCAGCTCTGTGATTAGCATCTGAGAAGCACCGCTGTCGTTTGTACGATGCAGAAGCAGATTCAAGTCGCGTTGAAAAAAGGACTGGGCCAGGGCAACGTCTCCCATCCCACCAAAAGACATTAAGTCGTTTTCAGGCACCTGTGCGCCTGTAAGGCTGTGCGTGCCGTCGCACACGGCCGGGATCAGACGAAGCGAGCATCGCAAGGTAGCCTTTTCCAGACGGAAGGTTCCAGGTCCTGACGCACCAACCCTTCGGACGATACCGCAGCTCCATTCCATCCCGTCTTTAGTCAACGACGCGAAGCTACTCGAAAAGCAGTCACCTGAAGCTTGCCACCCTCACTCTTTGTCGTCGCAGAGTGACAAACAACGACGTAAGAATTGCAGGACGGCCCATCCTGTCCTCGGAGTAAGCGTGCGTGAGCCGCATCCCTTGGGCCCTGGCTAGTGCCCTTGCCCTCCTGGGCTCTCAACCACCAAGTCGTCTGCCGCGACGGTGACCCTGAGGACAAGCTCCGCTTGCCAAGGCGCGTGACTGCTGGGCGAATCTGGGTTGGTGCGACGGCGGGACGAGCTGCCCCTCGCATTCCAGACCAGGGCGTCAGAAGATGGGTTGGAGCGGTATCTTGTTGCCGAAGTGCCGATGAAGGGTGTGAGTGTGAGGTGGTGTTGCGTTGCGAAGACGATGGATCGCCCTTGGCTGTGCGGCTCGGCCCGCCGGGTCCGCTGCGAGTGACGACATTCATCGCAATGAGGATGGTAACATGGAAGGATGATAAAATAGCTAAGTATAATCTACTAGATATACTATAGACTAAATACTTTAATCGCGGCTAGGAGGATCGTGATCTTAACACTAGTAAATTTAAGATCAAAAGTTTAAAGTGAAAGTAGTGGATACAGCTAAAGTAAAATTTTGCGATAAAGTATAAAATAAAATTTAAAATTTATAATTAAAATCAAAAAAGGGCTCAGAAGCGTAGATGCTGGTCTTGAATAACCATTACTGGACTACATGGTCTATCCTAGCCGGATGGCTAATAGATTCAAACTCTAAAGAATCACGATTTCCCTCATATACTCCTTTCCTAAGACGAGTCTTTACAATATGTGTCGATGGATGCTACGGAGAACTCCCTCCTGCGACTACACACCCTATCCTACGTAGCTGCTCCTCTGAGTATTACGGAGTTGCTTGGACTTCAAGTAGGCATTGCGGCGTGTTCGTACGAATTTGTCGAAGCAAACGGGCGCGAACTCTGAAATTCCCTATTCACACTGCAAGCGCATCGGAAAAAAGGCACGCGGCCGTCAAGGCCTACGTTCCTACTACGTTCAGATTTATGGGGAAAGATGCAAATGCCATTTAAGGACCTTATTCTGGACGAAGCGCAGATGGTCAGTAAGACTCGGAAAGCCCGACAGGCCCGAAGCGATAGAGATGGACATTCTACAAAAGTTCTTCTTGGCTTTCACCATTGCCAGACCGTCTAGCATCCTTAATCTACAGGGTTGCACGAGAAGGTCACTGGAGCTCACACTGCCTCCAGAAGATACCAGAGAAGTCGAGGTCCTGGTTACCAAGTGCATCAAAGAAAGCGCGCATGGCAGCAGCAAATGAAGCTAAAATCGATAGAGACGAATCCTTTGCTTTCTTTCAGTTGGCTATCAATGCGCAACTTCGATCGCTACATCCACTACTCAGCGATTGGTCGGCCATTTCATCACGATGCAGGGGATCCGATTGCATATGCCGACAGAGCAGATGAGCTGAGTGTGGGAGAAACGAGAAAGACATGCTTGCAGTTCATAGATACCTGTCCAGGCTTGAAGGGCTCGTCTACGAGAGTCCAACTGGTCCTATCCGCCTTCACTCAACTGAGAGAGCTGTGCCCTAAAAGGGAAATAGTTATAATTTCTACCTATCTTCGGTTCTTGGTCATTCTGGCACGGGTCATGTGAGACGACACTGGCATTGAAGCTTTACGTTTTGATGGCACAGTCAATGAGAAGAACCAAATCCTGGTACAGCAACAATTTGCAGATGCGTCAAGCAATGCTTCTTTGCTGTTAGAGTTACAGAGATGCACGGTGTTCTTGTTATCGTTGTTCATCATCGCTGATTGTGGGTGATGGTGGACAGCGGTTTGGAGCGGAGGTGGGGTTTGGTGTTCTTTGTTGGTGTTGATGATCATGTGCGAAAGGCCGAACCATAGCGGGTTCTCGATAGCATCTTTCACATCCTGGAGCGCCCGACTTAGGGAGAGTTTGGCACCCTCGTTGTCGAAGCATAACTCACGATGAGTGAGTATGCGTGGATAGAAAGAAAGTCTGATATGCAAGAGGTGTGTTAGTGGGGGAAGAAGTTGGTTTGTGGGCGGAAGAAGTGTAGAGTGTGAGAAAGTATAGGCACCGGATAATCTGCCTACCCCTTAACTACATGTTAAGTAATATCTACGATACCTGTAGAGTACTCCTTAGGTAGTTATAATAGATTGTTATACTACGGCTAGTAGATACTATATAACTATATAAAATTAAAATTATACTAGTTATAAAAGTACGTAAAATGGTATAGAGGTATAGATATATAAGAGTACTAAGATATACTCCAAAGTATAAGATGGTGCCAGGTGGTGGGTGGTGGGTGGAAGAAAGGCGGACTATGGAAGTAAAGAGTAGTTGTGTGTGTGTGAAATCGAAGAGGAGTGCCTTGTTTGCACCTACCTTACGGTCTATGACTTGTGAAAGAAAACCGTTGGCCGACTCAAATTGGGAAAGTACGACCGCACGAACTCAAACGGAAGGTACCAAAATGTGATTCTATATAATATCCTACTCCTCTATCTTCTTTCCACTTCTCTACCTCCTCATCTCTATCGTTAATACCCAAACTCATTCGGTTCTAACAGACTTTCCCTTCTCATACTAATCACATACCTACCAGACCATGGATGCCAAGATCGCAGTTGGAAAGAAAACCGTGAGTTTCACCCTTATCAGGCAGGCTATGTTTGTTTTTTGATCAATTTCGATGACATCGATTGTTAACACAGTGACATGAATAGAAAAAACGTGCCGTGGAACAGGAGGAGTCTCTTGCACAGGTGACGAAGAGACAGGTTAGTACCTCTTCACTGTGGATGTCATCTGGCACTGAGTACCTAGAGAATCGATGAACTCGATTTGCTAACGAGGACAAACTAATAGAAGCTGGAAGTCGAGGGAGCTAAGCCCGACCATTCACCCTCTGACCCGGACGAGGAATCCGAGAGCGGCTCATCGGATGATGACAGCCTTTACGACGATGACGACGACGATGACGCCGACAACAGCAGCAACGCGGCTACTGATGAGTACGGAGACGACGATGGTTCCATCGATGACGACGACATCCGCGTTACCTCTCTGGCCGATGTGTACAAGGGTGAATTGGCGGATGATGAAGTGGAGGTGATTCGAGCAGATGGGACGATTGACATCGTCAAGAAGGACAAGCCGGTTGGAGAGTCAGAGATCATGGACAAGATGAAGAGTGACCGCCGTTGGGACAGATCCACGTTTCACGGTCAGGAACGGATAGGGCATGTAATCATCCGGGCGGTAAGTTGAGAAAATCAACGGCATCGATTTGTTACTCACATTGCCTACAGGAGAAGGAAGTCTTCCGCCCTCAGGACATCGTTGATATGTCCGCGGCCGCCAAAGATGAGGGAGCAACGACCAAGTTAGTCCAATGCAACAACGGTGACTTTGTCAAGTTGCAGGAGGGTAAAAACAAGGTAAAGCTCATCCATGAGCCACTCGCGCCCGACCATGAGCTGGTACCCTGCGACTGCACAGTGTGCTCGAAGCAAGCTGTATTCCAGGCTGGGGAGGGCTCGGAGGACCACCCTACAAGGGATCCTCAGTCTGGTCTGTTCCAGTCCTGGAAGAAGTATGGAAAGGGACTACGCCTTGGTTAGGCTGGCATGTGCTTGAGTGGATCTGACCATATCGGGCATGGTTGCCACCTCGAGCATTCATACTCATCTTTCTAGTTTGCTTCTAATGGAGGATTGGGAATACCTGGTTAAATTGCATACATAGGACGAATGGGGGGAACAGGCCAAACTGCTCATATCGGAAGAATTCGGGTAACAGCCCAAATGCTTATATCGGGAGGAATGGGGTAACAGGTCAAAATGCATCCAACGACTACCTAACTAGGAGAGATAACGGTAAACTCCCCAAAATCGAGTCCATTGATTTAGACAAAATCATGCGGAGCTGCTCGATGCCGAAGAAGGAGACGCTCGTCTTCGATCCCCTTGACCCTAATGACACGCCCTTGCCCTGCGACTGTGAGCAGTACGCGTCGCGAGAGGCTTTCGCTGCGGGAGTGGGCTTGGACGACTTGTGGGGTTGAACTGAAAGTACTGGATGCGAGTGGCTATTACCTCCATGATCATACCATGGCGTTTGTCTTTCTTGGATTTTTGCGGAACCAGTACTCTTTTTTTCAGGCAGTTCCTCACAAGGTAGAGCCGCCGGTGCCATATCAATGAAAAACCAAAACTTTTAGATTGTCTACCAGATAGACTCCATGAAGAGGATGGCCCATACCGAAAGCCGTGATAGTGTGAAAATCGACACTGTCGATTCCTTGCCCAGCTCAGATGCACCCCATCCCCATCCCACGCCAGCAAGGAAGCACCACATCAATCTCCAATCTCCATCGCTGCCTCACATATCACCTAGGCCGGCCTCGAACTACGCTTTATCGGGGGTCCATGTCTCCAGTTTAAACACCTTCCTTGGGAAGCAGATCTTGCAACGGCAGGGGAGCAGGCGCTTGCGCTTCCGCGGCTGAACGACGTACTCATCGTCAACCATGACAAGGTCGCCGTTATTGCACTCGATGATGCACGAGCTTGCGCCGTTGTCGTCGGCCTTGTCACCCATGTCAAACACGCGCTGCTTCATGGTGGATCTCGCTTGCTAGACATGAGAAGAATTCAGTAAGCAACAAGGAATTCGAAGCCGTCGATTTTTGTCGTCATGCGCAGATGCTAAACTTACTGCTTTGATGGCGATGCCAGCGAAACGGTACAGGGCGCGTTTAGAGAGTTTGTCCCATCTGGGATCGCGAAGGACGCGCTGCTCGAGTGATTCGTCTTTGTCGTCGGTGCCGTGCTCTGACTTGTTGCCCGATGCTCCGATTTTGTAGATTTCGATGCTGCCGTCTTCACGCACCACTTCACCCTCATCATCTCCTAGCTCTCTGTCGAGCACGTCCGCCATAAGGATACGTTCTGCCTCTTCGCGGGTGACTCGTCTGTTTCCGTCCTCGATATCACGTCTCTATTCACACCCTCACATCAGCAAACCATTCACACTAACCCATCACCAACACGTACATGGCATCCCCAACAAATCGAGTTAGGGTAAGGTGAGGTGAAGTGAAGCGACGTAATGGGAACTTACCGGCTTCTTGACCGATGGTGGGTCTTGAGGTCAGAAGATGAAAGCTTAGAGGAGAGAGTGTGTGGAGAGAGTGTGTGGAGAAGAAGTCGAGAGACGGAAGAGAAGTTAAGAGAGAGAGAGATAGGGAGAGAGAGGCTTATATAGATATCCCTCCAACCGCTCCGGCGCCTGCCCTCCTGTCTCGCACCTGCCTCCCTGGTAGAAGCGGTGGGAAGTAAGAATCCGTAGTAGGTAGGTAGGTAGGCAGTACTCCGCCGGCAACAGCAGTAACGAACGAGCGCTTCTTTCCCTCCCGCACCTTGGCAGCTTCTTTAGGTACGGTACCTATGGAAGTCTCTCCTCTTCACCCTCTCAACAACTAGGTCCTGTTCGCCCACCTGGACCTCAGCCACCATCGTAAGCCGCAGAACCTCACTGTGATAACAACAGCAGGTAGCATAACCCCAAGAGAGAGTGTGTGAGTGAGAGAGCAAAGAAGTCAAAAAAAAATCGAGCGCGTCGATTCATCTGCACGAGCCGTGCGTGGTTCGAGCGCGTATCTAGGTAAGTCTCGCACACTGGCGCACTTGGAATGGTACTGTACATACATCGTCCCCCCAGCACGCACACACACACCTACGCCTCAACCTTGACGACCTTGGCCTTGCTCTCCGCCGCGGCCTCGCCCTCGCCCTCTCCCTCCTCCGCACCACCCACGCCAGCATTCCCCCACCGCCGCTGCGCCCGCTCCTCGTCCGCCTCGCTCCACTCCCGCGGCAGCAGAGCAAAGCACAAGTAGCTGGTATGCGTCTTGATCTCGGGCTCGGTGCGATGCACCAGCCGGCCCTCCTTCCACGTCTTGCGCTGCTTCTCGCGCTCGCGAATCTTCTGCAGGCGCTGCTCCTTGGTCTCGCGGCCCCAAGACGGCCGGTTAGGATGAGCGTTTGCAGGCGTAGCAGCAGCGTCAGACGGGGTGTTGGCGTTGGTGCTGCTGGCCGCGCTCTCCTTCTGCAGCTCGTGGAACGCCTTGAAGCGGCCCTCGACCTCGCGCAGCCGCCCTACCGCCTCGTCCACCGTCGCTGCTGTCGCGTTCACGCCACGCAGCCCCTCTTCTTGCAGCCCGACGCGCTCGCGCCGCACGTCCAGCCGTCGGTGCAGCACCTCCACCATCTCGATGTTAACCCAGCCCAGTCGTCGCAGTTCGGCCGTCGTGCGTTGCACTTGCTCGATGCACGGGCTGAAGGTGCAGATGCGCACCGTCTTGCGCGGGTTCAGCGGCGAGCGCCAGGCCGCGGCGCGGTGGGCCTCGTCGGCGTCGGCGTCTGCGTCTGGGGCCGGCGGCGCGGGGGTGGACGACTCGGCGGGCGCGGTATTGAGCGTGCGCGTGAGGTGCTTCAGAGCCAGCCACGGCGCGGGCAGGTCCAGGAAGATGGCGTCGGCGGCGACGCCCCCGGCGGGCGCGGTGGAGGGCTGGAAGCCGTGCTCGTAGACGTCGGCGTGGGTGACGGTGACGAGGGCGTCGAGGCCGTGTTCGGCGAGCTCTTTGCGCAGCTGTTCTGCGCGCGGCTCGTGGAACTCGAAGCTGTAGACGTGGCCGTGCCGCTTGCGCTTTCTCGTATTTGTTGCTTCCACCTCCGACGCTGTCCCGTTGAAGACGGCGCGCACTGAGGCGTGCGTGAAGGACCCGCTGCCCGCGCCTGCCTCGATGATCGTGTCGCCTGGCCGTACCCGCAGCCGCTGTAGCACGTAGCTGTAGTCTGGGGTGTAGACGACCTGGGTGCGGTGGGGGAGGGAGACGGTCCAGGTCTCTGGGGTTGGGGGGAGGATATGCGCGAAGCCAGTCGAGGCGGCGGTGGTCTCTCTCCTGCGCGTAAAAGTTAAATTAGTAGTTTGCGCGGCTGTAGAGGGAGCAGTAGGTATGTATACGTACGCAGAATTGGCGGTGCTCTCGTCGTCGTCGTCGCCGGTGGCCGGGGCGCTTTGGTCGTCGCGCTTGCGCTTCTTCCCTCCTCCTGCCTTGCGGCCGCGGGCGCCCGTGTCGACGTTGGCGGCGCGCACTTGGCTGCCCCAGGGCACGTTGAGCAAGCCGCTGTGCGGGAAGGAGCCGAAACGCGTGTTCACGACGGGCTCGGCGTAGCCATCGGTGGAGGTTGTTTGAGGGTCGACGACAACGGGCGTGATTAGGTCGCGCTTGAGGTGGATGAGGGCGAGTTGGCCCTGGGCGATGCGGGCGCCGGGGTCGAGGAAGGGCGAGGGGCGGACGGCGGCCATGATGCTGAGTAGAGGGAGTAAGAGTATATCGAATGGATGCAAGAAAAAGTTCCAGAGGGTGACGGCGACAGACCCGGAGCGCGCCGCACCGCCCCGCCGTCGATCACTTTCAACCACATGCGAGGACACAGGTCGCGCCATTGACTCACGCCTCCCAGTACAACAATGAGCGCCCGCTCGTAAATGCCCCGCCTGTCACTCCTTTTCCGCCTGCCACCCCCAGCATCCCTCACCCCCACCAAGAAGCAGCTTCGCCTCGCCCACCTCCGCTCCGTCACAATGTCTGCCCGCACGCAGCCTCCGTGGCAGGCGCCCAGTCCGCGCCCGGACACGAAGCTGCCGCCCCTCAAAGTCTACAACTCTCTGACCCGCACCAAGACGCCCTTTGTGCCCCAGGACGGCAACAAGGTCTCCTGGTACGCCTGCGGCCCCACCGTCTACGACGACGCCCACCTGGGCCACGCCCGCAACTATGTCAGCACCGACATCATCAGGCGCATCATGCGCGACTACTTCCGCTTCGACGTCCAGTTCGTCATGAACATCACCGACGTCGACGACAAGATTATCCTGCGCGGCCGCCAGCAGCATCTGCTCGCCCAATTTGCCGAGAAGCACGCCGACCTAGACGCCGACGTCCTCGACACGGCCAAGAAGGCCTTTGAGGCCTACGTCAAGAAGAACCTGCCTCTGCTGCCCGCCGACCTGCAGCTCACGAGCTTCGCCGACGAGTCGAACAAGGCCTATGGACACGTGCTGGAGGGCAAGGCGCTCGAGGGCGACGCCGCGCCCGGCGACAAGGAAGCCAAGGTCAAGATGCATCTGAAGACGGCGTCGGCGGCGGCCCAGGCCCTGATCCTCTCCGAGTCCAAGGCCATCGACGTGACCGAGTTCTACACCAAGACCGAGGACGTGCTCCTGCCCTACCTAGACTCGCTCTACGGCTCGACGATCGACTCCAACGACCACAGCATCTTCACCAAGTTGACGCAAAAGTTCGAGAACCGCTTCATGGAGGACGTGCGCGCGCTGAACTGCCTGGACCCCGACCGCGTCACCCGCGTCACCGAGTACGGCCAGCAGATTGTCGACTTTGTCGAAAAGATTGTCAAGAACGGCTTCGCCTACCCCACGACCGACGGGTCCGTCTACTTTGACATCCAGGCCTTTGAGAAGCAGGGCAACAACTACGCGCGCCTGGAGCCGTGGAACCGCAACGACAAGGACCTGCAGGCCGACGGCGAGGGCGCGCTGACCAAAAAGAGCACCGAGAAGCGGTCTGACGCCGACTTTGCGCTGTGGAAGTCGTCGAAGCCGGGCGAGCCAGCGTGGCCCAGCCCTTGGGGCCAGGGTCGGCCGGGCTGGCACATTGAATGCTCGGCCATGGCGTCAGACGTGCTGGGCGAGCGCATCGACATCCACTCGGGCGGCGTGGACCTGGCTTTCCCGCACCACGACAACGAGCTCGCGCAGAGCGAGGCGTACTGGTCCGAGTGCCGCCACGGCCCGCAGACGCACCAGTGGATCAACTACTTCCTGCACATGGGCCACCTCTCGATTGCCGGCTCCAAGATGTCAAAGTCGCTCAAGAACTTCACGACCATCCGCGAGGCGCTGGGCCGCGGCGACTGGACCCCGCGCGGGCTGCGCATCGTCTTCCTGCTGGGCGGGTGGAAGGACCCGGTCGAGATCACCGAGGGCCTCGTCAAGGAGGGCATGGCGTGGGAGGACAAGCTGAACAACTTCTTCTTCAAGGTCAAGGACCTGGAGCGGCACCCGAGCCCGGCCAACGTGGCCTCTGCCGACGAAGACACGGCGCTGATGCAGGCCTTTGCGGCCGCGCAAGCAGACTTTGACGCCGCGCTGTGCGACTCGTTCGACACGCCCACGGCCATGCAGGTCGTCAGCCGCCTGATCACCGACTACAACAGCGCGGCGACGCGCGCGGCCCTGTCGGACGAAACGGCCCTCACCCTCGGCCGCTGGGTCACCAAGATGGCGACCATGTTCGGCCTGGACGGCTCGGCCTCGTTCGACGACGTGAACCGCCTCGGCTGGAGCGGCATCGCCATCCCCGCCGCCGCCGAGCCCTTCGTCTATCCGACGTCCGCACTGCGCGACGCGGTGCGCAGCGCCGCCAAGGCGAGCACGCTGGACCACGCGTCGCTGGCGTCATTGGCGGCAGGGACGCCCGAGCCCTCGACGCAGCAGCCGGCCGAGGCCCTGCCGTTCGCGCAGATCCTGACGGATTTCCGGGCGGAGGTGACGCGGCTGGCGGCGCACGAGGCGCCAGCCAAAGAGCTGCTGGCGCTGTGCGACGCGCTGCGGGACACGCAGCTGTGGGAGCAAGGCGTGTACCTGGAGGACCGGGACAACGCGCCGGCACTGGTGCGGCCGCTGTCAGCGGAGCTGGTCGCGGCGCGCGAGCAGAAGGCTTCTGCGGCCGCGGCGAAGGCGAAGGCGAAAGCGGAGCGCGAGGAGGCGGAGCGCGCGAAGGCGCTCGCCGCTGCGGAGAAGGCTAAGCTCTCCCATTTGGAGATGTTTAGGACGGCGGAGTATAGTGCTTGGGATGAGGAGGGACTGCCCTTGCGGGATGCGAAGGGCGAGGAGCTGCCGAAGAGCCGGACGAAGAAGCTGAGGAAGGAGTGGGAGAGGCAGAGGAAGCTGCATGAGGAGTGGGTTGCTGCACAGGGGGGGAAGTAAGTACCTAGGCGGTGGGATATTGTATGGTGGGGTATGGGGTGGCGTTTCCTTTTTTTGAGTCTTGGGTCTTTCCCGTCTTGGCTCTTTGGGGCGAGGGGGTTGATATGTGCGAGATGATCTAACGGGGCTACGGTATGGTGTGTAGACGTGGTTGGGTGAGCGGTTCCTGTCTGCTTGTCTAGGTAGACTACGCAGAAGCAGCAGAGCAGAGTAGCAAAAGCAGCATCTTTACCTACCTACAATACCTACCTACTGCCTAGGTACGAAAGATAACTCAACACACACACACAACAAAACCACCAACCACCCCTCCCTTCCCAACCATCTCTCGCCACCATCCCATCACATCACATCCGCACCTCACCACACGACACCCAAAGCGCTACTCGCACGCACACCCTGCCTCGCCTACCCCAGCTTCTCCTCTGCGTAGTATGCAGCGCCAAGCGGCAAGCCGTGCATACGTATGCGTATACGTATGCATATATATTTATACATAGGTAGGTAGGGTAGGTAGGGTAGGTCCCAGCAATTACCCACACGACGTGATGGCGCAGTGTAAGCCTCTCTAGACACTTCACCCACCCTCCATGCCAGCATCCACAAACCCGTATAACGTATTTCCCCCTCTATAAAACCTTACCTCTCTACACCCTTCTGCGTACCTTGATCCTTTAAATATTCTATTTCTATACCGCCATAGCTACGCTAGGCCGCGTATATTTCTTTACTATTATTACATCTACTTAAGTACTTTATATGTTGTACCTTTTTGCTTTTACGTGGTTGTCTAGTGCGTACTGCCTGTGGTGTAATAGTCTTGTTGTAACTTGTTAGGGAGGGCTCTGTGGGTAGCGTGGATCTGGACTTGTTATGTAGGTAAGGGGTGGGCAATGTCTAGAGGGGGTGAGAGAATTACCTGGGGCCCTAGACTTTTGCGTCGGGTTATGGGGGGCAGTGTGCTGTGTAAGTAGTGGTTTTGGGCGCGATTAGGGTGGAGACTTTAATTGTGGGTTGTGGCAGAGGGGAGTTGATGGCGTAGAGAGAGAGCTATTCGTTTAGGCAGCGTGGGGTTGGCTGCGGTGGTTAATGGTATAAGAATCATATCAAAGGGATGGATTACGAATTGGACAGAGAAAAGATTATGGATTGAATATGCCAGTGTATTGAGTGCTAGAGTTCTACGAACGGTCTTGACGCTTCAGATGAATTTTGTACTGATGGTCGATTATGCGCATGTTGCGCCGAAGCCATGCCAGCCAGTCCGCCTCCACGTAGTGTCTTGAGTCTTGGGCCCCATCTAGATCGATTTCAGCCTGCACTTCACCTTCATCGTCATCGTAGTTCGCAGGTGTGACCATGACCTTCTGAATCGTTCCGTTGAGAGGGCCGCCGTAGTTTGGACCGAGCAATACATAGGTTGATCCGTTAGTTCCTTCCCAGAGCTCACAAGCCAAGTCGGAGATGTGCGTTTCCTTAGGGTAAAGATCGAACAATTCGGCATCAAATCCCTCCTTTAGGCTCCCGTCGTCGTTTCGGAGGGCGCTCCAGAGGCTAGAGGTATCACTAACAATAAGCGTGCAGAAGACATCTGACACCCTACCGTTGTTCCACGTGTATACTTTCGTTAACAGGTTGCGGCCAGGCAATCTCCACCAAGGAACCTCTCCATTCTCTTCATCGTCCATAAGGTCATAGTTGATAGAAGGCCAGTCCCACGAGATGGTAGCCTTGGCCGGCCACTCCGACACCCACAGCTGGGACTCTGCTGGGAACCGGTACATCGAACGTGCGAGTTGCTGACGCTCATCAATGTCGAAATCCTCAAGTAGCGGTAGTATGTGGGGCCGTGAAGGCAGAAACAAAGGTGCGTTGATGATCTCCTCGTACAACTGCAGTAGAGCAAGACGTGGTGGGTAGATGACGCGCTTGTATCCGCGGACAAGGCATCTCCAGTGCTTGGACACTCCCTGGATCTTGATGAGAGATTTGAGGTCTAGGAAGCTGACTACGATGAGTTGCAGCTCCACCGGTAGATTGTCGAGAGTCGCACGGTGACTGGTAGTATGGCGCATGGTGACAAGGTGAGTTTCGGCTGTAAGACCTTGGAGGAGGGCATTCTCGTAGATGAATTTGATTCGAATGACTGGGATGCTTGTAAGTTGCTCTATGTCAGCGTCGGAAACACCATATTGCTTGAGAGTTATGACTTGAGCTCTAGTCGAAATATCGTATGGATCCATGATTCACAAAGGGCGCTGTAGCCTAGAAGTAGTATCTGGCTTTAGTCTTCCGAGGTTAGCGACATGTCGTGTGAGCAGCGATCGACCGAAATTTGTGTCGGAGTCAGCTTGGAGTGGTGGGAGTGGTGTTGAAAGGTGGAGGAAGGTGAAAGACCAAGTGCGTTTACATATGTGGGACGAGTCATGCGTCTAGTCGGCGACTGCATCTATGACTCAATATGACAAGCTTCCAAACGCTCAGCCACGAAACTTCAACCACGCGACAAGACATCGTACACTACATGAAGAGGGTGCGGTGGAGCAAGATACTCTCGAGCAGGTCAGATCCTTCCAACTTACGCCCACTCCTTCGTCAAGCTGACCGTCAACACTAGAACCTCTTACCCGGCTCCTCGACCTTCCCACACCATGGCAGACGCAACCTCAAGCCGTGGGAATCTCACCTTCGAGACCTCTTCGCCCGACTCTATCCTTGCCCCCCGCATAGGCAAGCTGTCGATACCTGGCCGCGCGACCCTGGACACGCCGCACTATGTGGGCTACACGTCGCGCGGCGTCATCCCGCACCTCACGCAGGACATGCTGCGCAAAAACACGGACATAAATTCCATGTACCTCGCGCTCGAAGACTGTGAGTAGCCAGGAAGGAAAATAGTGGCCCGCTGGCTGACATGCCTGCTCTCCGTGGAGCCTGCAAGTCATAGAGAAAGCACCACAGCAGACGCCGCCCGTCTTCAACACGCCCTGCCCTACGCCTGACGACTCGCCTCTGCGCCGCTTCGCCGCTCTACCATCTGATGCACTGCTCGTGCTGGGCCCGCGTCGCGTGCCGCCGATTCAGTGTCCCGGCCCCAATACCAACGCGTCCGTTGCCGTCCACACGTCCGTCGGTTTCAGTTCCCTCACGTCCGCGTACTATGCCTCTGCGGCGCAGGCGCTGCGCCCAGATATTGTCGTCGGACTCGGGGATATCATGTACGGCCACAAGAAGCCCAGTCTTAAGCGCATGGACAAGATGGGCGATCGCACCACCGCCTGGACGCGCGACATGGTTGCCGGTCGCGGCGGGCTGGACAAGACGACTAAAGACACGGCATACAACATCTTCGCGCCGATTCTCCCTATCGACCGCGAAATGCAGTCCTGGTACCTGAACGAGTTGGTTGACGAGCTCCGCCCCCACCTCTCCGGCCTTGCCCTCTACGACGCTGCGTCCCTAGCCCAAACACCGGAGGACCTCGCGCCGCTGCCGCGCCTCTCGCTCGGTGACCCGGCCACGCCGCATGCGCTGCTGCACGAGATGGCGCTGGGAATGGATCTTTTCACCGTGCCCTTCATAACCGCAGTCACTGACGCTGGCATTGCGTTCTCGTTCACCTTCCCACCTACCGAAGCAGACACCAAGGTCACTCAAGACAGTGGCTCCAGACTCCCCCTCGGCATCGACATGTGGAACCCCTCGCACGCGACCGCGCTCGCTCCCCTCCAACCCTCCTGCCCCTGCCACGCCTGCACAGCCCACCACTGCGCCTACATCCACCATCTGCTGCACGCGAAAGAGATGCTCGGCTGGGTGCTCCTGCAAGTGCACAACCACAGCGTGCTGGACCGGCTGTTCAGCGCCGCGCGGGCCGCCATCGCTGACGGGACGTTCGAAGACGCGCGCGCGGCGTTCGCGAAGGTGTACGAGCCGACGTTGCCCGAGAAGACGGGCCAGGGCCCAAGAGTTAGAGGATACCAGTACAAGAGCGATGGGCCGGCTGAGCCAAAACGGAATCCCCCTGCTTACCGCATGCTGGATGCGCATAAGGATGCGCTAGAGGAGGATAAGGCCGAGGGCGCGGTGCCGGATAAGAATGATGACGCGTCGGATTTGGAGAGGAGCGGGTTCGCGGAGACGGTGAAGGGGGAGTGAGCGGGCGTGAGGGGGAGCGGGGCGTGAGGCAATTCTGGTTCAGACCCAAATCTTGCAGACATCTACCGCAGGAAAAGATCTTTTGCCCACGTAACGACCGTCACCGTGAAGCGAGATCCACCGTATAGCGATACAGGGGACGATACAAGCAGTCCCTACGGATTACTCCTTGTTTAGCTCCTATCCCGAGTCCCAGGTATGGGCGAAAAGGTCTTAGAGCACACAGAGGCTCTATATATCCTAACTGGGACTCTTCTTCTCCTCCGTACAGAGCTTCTACACACTTTAACTGTGTCTCTTCTCTGTACACATATCACCATCTCGCTTCGCGGTGAATCTCGCTTCACGGTAACGGACGTTAGACAGGTAGCTACACCATAGTTTTTCGGCTTGGATGCAGTCAAAACAACAATACTCTCTCGCCTAACCACGCTTTTTCCCAGGCAGAACACACACGCTCTCTGTCACATATATAACCTCCTGCCCCTCTTCCCTCCCCCTTCCTAACTTTCACACTCTAAAAATCCACAAACAAGCAAACACTCCTTCCGAAACCATCCCAATATCTACACACGAGATCACGACCAGCAAAAATGCGCCCCACTACCACCCTCTCGCTCTGCGCGGCTGTCGCCCTCACTGCTGTCAGTGTTTCTGGAGCGCCGCTGCCGGCTAATGCCACGAAAGGCGATGTCGGCGTCGGCGTCGGCGTTGGTGGAGAGGTGCCTGCGCTTTTTGCAAGAGACTTAGTAGCGGGACAGAAGGATACTAAGGTTGAGGCTGGGGCTGTGAAGGAGGTGAGTTTGTTCTGTTCTTTCCTTTTCTTTATTCTGTTTTTTGTTTTTTGTATTTATGTCTCTCGGCTTGTTGCTTTTTGTTGTTTCTGCTGTCTTTTTTAATATTGCTTATATGTTGCTTTTATGTTGCTCCAAGCAAGTAAAGAAATACTAAACTAACCGCCTTAGACCTCGTGGATGCGTTCGATGGCGAAGTGGCTGCTGTGGCCTTTGGTTCGCCATGGTGGTCTTGATGTTGGTGCTGCTGGGGCTGTGGCTGCGGATGTAAAAGAAGAGATGGGGGCCGGGATGCCGTTTTCTTTTGATGAGAAGAATGGCACGGCTGGGTGGAATGGGACTGCTGGTGTTGCTGCTAGTGCTGATGGCAAGGGAGGAAGGAATGCAAGCACGCGGGTTCTGTTTTTCGAACGGAACGAGACGGCTGGTGCTGGCAATGGCACCAGTGGTACTGCTGTCGAGAAAGACGAAGAAGATGGGGACGGGGATGCGGGGGTGCCGTTTTTCTTTTTTGAAAGAGATGGCATGGCTGACGTTGCTGGTGCTTGGAAAGAAGAGCCTGAGAACACGCCTTTTTTGTTCTCGAGACGCGGGGTGGAGCCTCTGCCGTTCTTGTTTGGGGTCTAGGCTGGTGAGGCGCGGGGGATTTCGCTCTGGACTTCTTTTTCGCTGAGTTTGCGTTTCTGGTAATTGCTTTTTGAATTGTGGCTTCGTAAGAGAGCGTTTGTACTGCTGAGATCATGCTTAGTGAAGCGGTTGTTGAAATGCATCGGATTGTTTGCCTACTCTTTAACTGTATGTTTGATGAAGTCTACCGTACCTACCGAATACTCTTTTGGTAGTTGTAGTTTGCTACAACGCTACTGCTGGCTGTTCCTAGATATCCACGAAAGTGAAAAGGGTTGAGGGTATAAAAGTACTTATAAATCTATAAGGATATTAATATTCGAAGAACGAAGGTGCCCCATAAAGGTATAAAGTGAAAAATATGCAAGGGCACGAAAGTTGTCAAAAGGACATGAAGAAAAGGATACATAAAACCGCAAGGATATGCTATAAGCTCATGAAATTTTAGACGTATTAGTGTAAGGAAGGAAGCGATATATCTATCTAGGTATATATCATGAGGGTAGACAATATGGTCAAAAACGGTGGGCAAATCATCTCGAGCCAAAAACACATCGAAACGACCATTGACAATGCCATCGTCGGAAGAAAGAGTAGAACCAAGTGGCGGCGAGAGCATCATCTCGGCATCATATATATGCTTCCGGCTACGGTCTTCTTGCAAGAACCTAAAGGCAAAAGAGGTCTTACCAAAACAAGTCTACGCCAAGACGTCACACAGGATGGGGGATTCAGGTACGAGCACGTTACTATAAGCAATACAAAAACGGACATTGAAGCGGTTGAACCCGCTATGGCTGAGTTGTACTGTCCGGATGCTGATGGACACCGACTCTTTCCCTTGCTAGCCGATACAAGATCTCAGCGGTGGTGACGTTCAGTATGTTTTTAAAGTGCTGAATGACATGAAACGAGGGCCTCGATCCAGGCAAGTTGTGGGCCTGCTCTTGCGAAGTAGTACAAGTTTGGAGTGACAGCCGCGCCGGACGGGCACATCAGATATGCTGAGAATATGACTTCTGGCTATCTTAGCCCGATCTCGTTCGATGAGATTCACGCAGAGAACCAGAGCTGTTTCCAACATTTGGCTTTATAGCCAGCCGTACTGCTGCTTCTTCGCCTGCTTTAGCGTATGCGACGCTCATGTCGCTACTGCAGTTTAGGACTGGTGAACCATTTCGGGTGCACAGAACGTAGTTGGATTTCGGTAGCGAATTGAGATCAGAACGGCGTCAGCGTTGTCTATTCCAGTGCTCGGGCGAGCTGCTGTGCTATGTAAATACCCGACAGTGCCGCTTTGGGCAGCGCGAAGACATCTCCGCAGAAACGAGGTTGCAGGTCGCATTTCACATTCTCCTGACAATATTTCCACAACCAGGGCAGGTCCGAAATGTTTGAGACGCAGAAACGCCCACGAGAGCTTCAAAGAACATGGCGTTGACCACTGTATGCCTTGAAGTAGCCACGACCTCAACCCACGCCTGTCATTCTGAGATACCTCACAAGCCACAACCCCAAGTAACCACGAGAGAAAAGCTATCACTACACTGCCCCCGAGTGCAAGCCATGAAGAAAACTCTGCATGTAGCTTAGAAAAAGCGCTCTCATGAATAAAAAGCAGACATCCCGCGCCGCCACCAAGCTCTCGACCACGCCAACAACAACCCGGTCATGGGAACAGAAACTGATCAGCCCCGAAAAGAAAAAACCCGGGTACACCGTCTCTCCCCACAGCCATGTTCCAGCAACACCGTCAGTCATTTTAACATTCAGTGTCACCAGGAACAGAGCAGGATCAGCCTCTCCGCTGACCAACAGCATCACATTTCCTAGATACACTGTACCCGTCCACGGTAGTGATGATGCTTAGTATAATTCCAGAGTGATAAACGACAAAAAGCAATGCTCTCGATTCGATTAGCTGGCAAGTGCTAACATGTCTCACCCAATCCAACACTCTGAAGCGGCTGCTTCGGACCCTTGTCAGACCAGACAGCGATCCTGATTTCGTCCGGAAGGGTGAAATGATGTCAGTTAGTCTGGCAGAGGAAACAAAGACAGCCACGACAGGGCTTTATTTTATACCTCCAACCCCTTCCCCCTCTCCAAATCAGCAACCAGGCAGCAAACCAAACCACACGATACAAAGCTACCAGATAATTTTTCGTATTCGTTTTTCTATCTTTCGATATCCTAATCAATTCTTTTTCGTGCATATGTGCACCCATCCATCCCTCTCACCCGTCCATCCAGCCCGTCACTCACCACCCACCCACCCATCCGGCCCATCTTTCTCAACGCCGCGAAAAAAGCAGATAGAAAAGAGAAAACAAACCGAGACATGGCAAACAAAGGCCTTCCGTGTCCAGAATGTGTCTGCATGCGTGCATAAGGAAACGGGGAAAAGAAAGAGAAGTGCGCTCCCGTCCAATGGACTCAAGCCACGACCCCCCTCCCTCTCCTACTGCATCAACTTGCCCCGCACCGCACCGCACTGCACCGCACTAGCCGACCCACCTACGCGCGCTCTTGAACATGCGCACCCACGGTCCAAACTCGCCCCACGTCTCGCTCTGCTCCCTCGGCGCCCAGCTCGTGACGTCCTTAAGGATAGTGCGCTCGGGGTGGGGCATCATAGCCAGGACGCGGCCGTCAGGCGAGCGCACAGCCGTGATACCCTGCGGCGAGCCGTTGGGGTTGTAGGGGTAGCGCTCGGTCGGGCGCCCGCGGTTGTCGATGTACTGCATAGCGACAAGGCCCTCGTTCTGCAGGACCTCGGGGGAGGTGGTGGCGGCCGGGCCCGTCGGGAACGTCGCGCGGCCCTCGCCGTGCGCCACCACGATCGGCAGCTTCGAGCCGTGCATGCCGTGCAGGAAGACGGACGGGTTGGCCTTCTCGGGCGGGTCGTTGACTTCGACCATGCAGACGCGCGCTTCGTACTGCTCCGACGCGTTGCGCTCGAACGTTGGCCACGCTTGCGCGCCAGGGATAATCTCCGCAATGCGCGACAGGAACTGGCAACCGTTGCATACGCCCAGCGCGAATGTGTCCTTGCGCTCGAAGAAGTTCTGGAATTCGGCGCGCGTCTCGGAGTGCAGCAGCACCGACTTGGCCCAGCCCTGACCGGCACCAAGGACGTCGGCGTAGGAGAAACCACCACAGGCCGCGAGACCTTGGAACGATGCCAAAGAAACGCGGCCAGTCAGAATGTCCGTCATGTGCACGTCGATGGCGCTGAAGCCTGCAACGTTGAAAGCAAAAGCCATTTCAGCCTGACCGTTGACACCCTCCTCGCGCAGGATGGCCACGCGCGGCTTGGCAGTCACCAAGGAGCTGATAGATGAGGTCAAGGGCATGATGCCGTCCTTAGGGTTGAACGTCAAGTTGTAGTGCAGACCGGGATCGACATCGTCGATGATGTTCTCGTACTCGGCCTGAGCACACGCTGGGTTGTCACGAAGCTTCTGCATGTGGTAAGAAGTCGCGGCCCACATGCTCTGCAGCTCCTTACGGCTGGTCTTGTAGATGACGCGGGCCTCCCGGGTGAGAACTAGGTTCTGCTTGGTAGCAACAGGCACACGGCCAATCTTCTTGATCATTCCTGCGGGCGGGCCGCAAGTGGCGAAGCAGCGACGGAACTCGGTCTCGTCCTTCTTCCTGATTTGGAAGACAGCGCCGAGCTCTTCGTTGAACAGAGACTCGATGAGGTCCTTCGTATCGGCAGAGGCGCAGATGTCATCCGTCATGACTTCAAGACCGCAGCGACCAGCAAACATCATCTCCACGAGGGTGGTGAAGAGACCGCCATCAGAACGGTCGTGGTAGGCGAGAACTATGCCAGAGCCGTGCAGCTGCTCAATGGCGTCATAGTAATCCTTGATCATGTCCACATCGCGGACGTCTGGCGCCTCGTCACCAACCTGGCCGAAGACTTGGGCGATAGCAGAACCACCCATGGCCTTCTTGCCCTGGGCGAGGTCGACAAACATCAATGCGGTCTCGCCAACATCTTCCAGGCGATGGAGAGCAGGCGTCCAAGTCTTTTCAATAGATTCAACCGGCGCAAACGCAGAGATGACCAGCGACATAGGAGCAGTGACTTCTCTAGGCTCCTGAGACTCGGCGTCATTCCACTTCATCTTCATGGACATGGAGTCCTTGCCGACAGGAATGCTGATACCCAACTTGGGGCAAAGATCCATGCCGATAGCCTCAACAGCTTCGTACAGGGCGGCGCCATCACCGGGGTGGCTGCTAGCAGCCATCCAGTTGGCGGAAAGACGAATGCGAGCGAGACGGTCGGGGAGGCTGGCGGCAGCAAGGTTCATAAGGGACTCGGCCACAGCCATGCGTGCAGAGGCGGCAGGAGAGATAAGAGCCAACGTCGGCTTCTCGCCCATTGCCATGGCCTCACCAGTCTTGACGCCAGGCATAAGCGAAGTTGCAGTCACTGAAACGTCAGCAACGGGGGTCTGCCATGGGCCGACCATCTGGTCACGGACGGTAAGACCACCAACGGTACGGTCGCCAATGGTGATAAGGAAGGACTTAGAGCCGACAGAAGGCAGAGTAAGAACCCTGGAGACAGCCTCCGGGAACAGGCCCTCAGGCTCAATATCCGGGATGTAAGCCGACAAGGTCGTGTCGAAGACAGGCAGCTTAAGCTTTCTTGACTCGACAATCCTCGTCATCTTCGGGGGCTTGCCGAACAAAATGGACATGGGCAGGTCGATAGGCTTAGGGTACTCCTCAGAATCGCGGTCCATCAGGACAAGCTGGTTGTTGTGCGCCTCACGGCTGCCGTTGGCTTGTCCGACGACAGAGTAGCCACAGCGCTCCCTCTTGCAAATCTTCTTGAAAAAGTCAAGGTCATCCGGACCAACGGCTAGGACGTAACGCTCCTGAGCCTCACAGCACCAAATCTCCATCGGGCTCATGCCCTTGTCAGCGTTGTCAACTTCACGAAGCTCGAAGGTGGCACCAAGACCAGAATCGTGGACAAGCTCGGGTAGAGCATTGGAAAGACCACCAGCACCAACATCGTGGATAAACTTGATAGGGTTCTGAGGGCCAAGAGAGGTGCAAGTGTTGATGACCTCCTGGACTCTGCGCTGGACCTCAGCGTTGCCGCGCTGAACGCTGGCAAAGTCCAACTCGACGGAACCTTCACCAGACTGGATGCTAGATGCGGCTCCACCGCCCAAACCAATCAGCATGGCAGGGCCACCCATCACAATAAGGTGGGATCCCGGCGGAACCAACTCGGGGTCCTTCAGCGCATGCTGGGGCCTGATCGTTCCGACACCACCCGCAAGCATAATCGGCTTGTGGTAACCTCTGATCTCGGTCTCCTTGTCGTCGACAGGGACCTTGGTGGTCAGAGTGCGGAAGTAACCAGTGGTGCAAGGTCTACCAAATTCGTTGTTGAAGGTAGCACTGCCGATAGGAGCCTCGAGCATGATGTCCAGAGCGCTGGCAATATGCACAGGTCTTCCGACATCAATCTCCCAAGGTTGCTCGAAGCCCGGGATGTGGAGATCCGAGACGTTGAAACCAGTAAGACCGGCCTTAGGTTTCGAGCCACGGCCAACTGCACCCTCATCTCTGATTTCACCGCCAGAGCCAGTTGCAGCACCAGGGTAAGGAGAAACGGCAGTGGGGTGGTTGTGCGTCTCGACCTTGGCCAGGAAGTGAACAAGTTCCCTAGTCTGCATCCACTCGCCAGTGGCGTTGTTAGGCGCCCAGTGGCTCGCGTTGTCTCCTTCAAGCACAGCAGCATTGTCGCTGTACGCGCTCACAGTGAAGTGGGGGTGCTTCTTGTGAGTGTTCCTGATCATGCCAAAGAGACTGGTGTTCTTACGAATACCGTCAATGGTCCACTCTGCGTTGAACTGCTTGTGCCTGCAATGCTCCGAGTTGACTTGCGCGAACATGAACAGTTCGACATCTGTCGGGCCCCTCTTCAGGTGCTCAGTGTAGGCCTCCACCAGATAATCGATCTCAGACGCGTCGAGCGCCAGACCCATCTCGCGGTTCGCCTTCTGAAGCGCATCCTTGGGCGTGGTGCCCTCAGAAAAGAGGTCGACGCTGGTGGCAGGAGCGGGCTCATGCTCACCGAAGATGGTGTTGAGGTTGGGGGACTTGCGGGATATCGTCTGCGTCATGCGGTCGTGGAGGAGGTCAGGTTTGGGGATGTCCTCGGCCCCGAGGCGCTTGTCGTCGCTGTAGGTGGCAGCGATGACCATGCCGCGCTCGACGCGCTTCACAGACTCTTTGAGGGTGCAGACATGAGCAATGCTGGTAGCTTGGGAGCTCCAGGGCGAGATGGTGCCAGGCCTAGGGCTGACGTAGAAGAGGGCCGTGTTCTCGTCGCGGGGCTCGCCATTACGGATGAGAGCGTCGAGCAGGGTGTGGTAAAGGCGATCGTCGGCACTGGGGGTGTCACCATAGTGCAGCAGCTGCTCAAGGACGCGTAGCTGAGTGCTGTCGAGCTCGGCATACGGGTTGACGAAGTGAATCCATATGGCACGGACGGACTCCGCACCAAGCTCCTTGGCGAGCTTCGCGCAGCGGAAGTCGGAGAAGGCGGAAGATCCGGGGATCACGAGGAAGGGGTCTTGCGTCGCGGCCATTTTCAGGCGAAGGACGCGGAAATATGGTGGTTCACAGCATTCAGGAAGGGAAGCAAAGTTGGTACGCGAACTTACGCAGGTCGACTTGGTGGGGGCGGGGATCGCTGTGCTTGGCGCGCCGACAGCGCTGCAGATTTTGGTTCGCGGGCCGATCAAAGCATCCGCGAGCGCGCCTGGAGCAAAATCCCGCACGCCCTTCAGTCATTGATTATGCCGATGTCGTTGACTGTTTGTACTAGGGTTGGTAAGTAACGTTAAATGCCGAATGTGGTCTAGACGGTCAGTGTCGTTTTCTTTTTTGGCGTTGTATATATACTACGCAACGGATGACTTGGTCGGGATGAGTACGGTAATATTAGCGTGGAGGAAGCCTTTATGGGTCCCTTGAGATGTTGAACATTAACCGGACAGATGTTGTTCAAGCCAGACCAAAGTCTACAGTTACAGAGACAGAAATTGATATTCATATCCCTACAGTGAGCGGTACTTCTTAGCCGCAAAAATATGCCAAAATCGCTCTGGGTTTGAATGTTGCAGAGGTAGACAACGTCATTCGTATCCCTACAGTGAACGATACTCCGTAGCAGCAGAAGTGTATCAGGTCGCTCCGGATTGAAGTGTTACAGAAATGGAAATCGTTTACCGTACCCCTACAGGGAGCCGTACTCCATAGCAGCGGAAGTGCACCAACTCGCTCCAAAATCAAGTGCTACGAATACTGCAATCATATCAACATACCCCTACGAGTGATTGAAGTACTCCTTATGTATGTCCGTAGCTGGATCCAGATCCTCCGCTCGCAGCTAGATGATGTAGTTCACAAGGGCATGTAAACCTAAACAATTTAACCCTCCGACCGTCGTACAAATTCCAGCAGTCGTACGTCGTACGAAAATGTCTGGAATCGATTGCACTGGCTACATTTGGAGGCTGCGCGTGCAGTCACATGCCGGCCACAGTTAATTTGATCGGATCTCGGGCAGTCGGTCGTGTCTCAGACACTGCGACACAGCTTGCCGTCGGGCGTCGGGAAGTAGACCGGTGGGTCTTGGTGCAGGTCGTGCCTGCGAATGAGATGCGAGCGAAACAGCCCTACTACACTTCGTCAAGAGGCAGCGTCCGCACGCGGCAAGGAAAGCTGTACAATTGCTTTGGACCAACGACTATTTTCCATGATGATACAAGTCGCCCTCCGCGGCCAATTCTCCCCTCTACCACCTGCTCCCGCTTGCCGGGCAAGTCCGCATCTTCAGCCGTTATCGCGCCGGTTATTCCCTCAATGCACGGTGCAGCGACGAAGACCGTCTATTAGAGACCCGGACTGTTTAATTCTCGGGGTACAGAGACTCCTTGAGGTTGACGCCCAGCTCTTCCCTCAGAGGCTCCAGCTCCTTCACGTACTCGTCATACTGGCCCTGGTTCTCGACCTTGGCCTTGATGCCTGGGGTATGTTAGCGGCGCAACTATTGTTTTGGCGATCGAAGCTCGTTGTCGCATTTTAGAAGGGAAGCTTCTGCGCGGGAAAGCGTCGAGGAGCAGAATTTGGGGGGGTGCAGAGGAATTCGGCTACGCACCCTCGAAGATCCTGACGGCGGTGGGGTAGTCGTTGACGCGGCGCGCAGCCCTCAGAGCGGCGGTGATGACCGTGGGAGAGGGAACGAGATCGTACGCGAACGCGTTGTTCAGGTTGCGCTGATGGACGCTCGAATCAGCGACGTCGTTATGATGGTATCGCTGGCCAAGCCGCTCGCGCACAGGCCCCTGCTTGCTAGCAGAGATGCCCGGCATAGCACACAACGTACCTGAAGCTCGAAGACATCCTGGACGGAGTCGAATTCCTTCTCGTACCTGTCCATTGGTGAAAGCACACCGTCAGCAGGCTGTTCGCTCGCTCGACGCGCAATGTGCGGTGCGGCTGGCTGAGGGGCACAGCAGCGCGACATGCAAACCGCGCTCCGGAGCGGCGGAGCTGCCATTGGCGTCCCAGACCGCACTCTCAATGATCGTCGTACCTGGCAGTGAACTCCTCGAAGCTCTCCTCGTGGTGGTCGGCGTGAGTGTCCTCACCGCCGGCGCGGCGGACTGAGGTGCTGAAGCTCTTGTGAGCGACAGGCGCGACAAAGGCAGCGCGGCGCACAGGGGCCTGGGCGAAGAAGGCTGGGCGGCTACGGACCGCGACGCGCAGGAAGCTGGCGGACATTTTGCGGGGAGAAAGTCGGGGTGGGTGGGTTGATGGTGATGTAGGTGAGGGCGTTTGAGCTAGATGTTCATGACCTGACTGACTGGATCCGGCTTACGAGGTTACCTTCGCCCGGCAAAAAACCCATGACAGCTCGGTCACGTGCAGCACCCTCATCTTGCAACGACAATCCCCAACCCGCCATTGGACTGCTCCTTGCTTCACCCATGCAAAGCCATGTCGTGTCCGCTTCGGCGCGCAGAATTGTATCCGTAGAATCCCTCAACCTTCCTGCGAACAATAAATATCAACCGGACAGAAAAGCTCTGTCGACCTCCATAACTAGAACCTTATGCGGGTATGAAAACGCCAGAATACCGTCACGAAACCAAAGTTTCCAGCTGTATAACGTCCGTCATCGCGAACCGAGATCCACCGTCTAGCGAGACAGTGGAGGATACAAGCAGTCCCTACAGAGTACTGCTTGCCTAGCTCCAGCCTGAGTCCTAGGTATAGGTGAAAAGCTCTTAGAGCACGCACAGACTCTACACACCTTAACTGGGTCTTTTCTTCTACTCCGTACACTTATCACCATCTCGCTTCACGGTGCCGGACGTTAAAGTAACTGCGCGAAGCCAATCATGGAATTGCAAACCGCTCACAATCAATTCCACAAGGCTTTGAATGTCGTTATCCGAAAACCGATTATGCATTACCGTCCGTGATGGACGTCTCTTCCCCGGTTCCGTTCTGTACAGTAGTTCTACGCTATTCATCATACATAACGAAGGTTTGGCGGTATTACAATAAGCTCTATGTGAAAGGGCTGCTTCGAGCAAAAGCGAAGGCATCAACGGAGCAGCCCTGGGTCGGTCCGGGTACCCTTCGATGACCCCCGAGGTCATAAAATCCGTGTTCCGTGTGTCCAACTCCGGTGATGAGTTGTATATTGTGTCATTGCTGCCCATTTCCCCTAAAGTTTGTTGTGCTCAGAAGGTCCAAAGTGGAAAGGATCAATGCTTGAAGATCGCGCTGCCTGGTGCTTGCGCACGGCGAAACCACGCTTACGCCTTGCGCGAGCGGGTGACGCGGCCGTTGGTAGCCGCGGGAGAATGGTAGGCGTTTGCTGTAGAAGCAGCGCCGCTGAGACGGCGGCGGACTGCAGCCGCGGTGGGAACCTTCTCGTCCTTCATTTCGACCAGAGCGCTCTTGGCGCGAGAACGGCCCTTGGGAGCAGGCTTCTTGTAAGTCGCAAAGTAGAAGAGAATGAAGAGGACGAGGTATGAGCTGAGGATAGCCATGCCGGAGAATGCCGCAAATTCCTCGCCGGCGCACTTGCCCGCATTCGGCATCCAGGGGAAGTAAACGGAGGTGAAATATGTGTAGGAAGCGAAGTAGACGAAGCCTAGCAGATTGTTAGAGCTGTATCATGGAGTGCATTCGCGGGCGGCAGCTTACCAAGGTCGAGAACGAACTGGATGATCTGCATGATCGTGATGTATTGCTTCCACCAAATACGGATGCCGCGGGCGCTCTGGAAGTAGTACCAGTACATGACCACGTGGACCATCAAGTTCAGGGTAATAGGCACCCAGGACACGGCGGTGTTACCGATGAGCTGGGTGTAGCAAAGCAGAGCAGTCGCGCCATGGTGGTAGGTGTGCAGGAAGGCTGCCAAATGTTAGCACGGCTTGTCCTCCTTCGCTTCTCTTCAAACCCCTCCAATTGCTTATGGGGTTGGACGTACTGAGCGGCTTCTTCTTCAGGAAAAGGAAGCAGGTATCAATGAGCTCGAGGAACTTGGTCAGGTAGTTGAGCTGCGCGCTATGTTAGCATGCGTTGTAGTCGCAAACACGGCATTGTCGCAACTCACGTAATAGAGGATAACCAGCTTGTCGGTCCAGCCGCCCTCGTGATCGCAGATGGCATGGAAGATGCCGTTGCGCACAATCTCGGGAATCAACTGCTCCAAGAAGAGCGTCAAAAGAATGAAACTGATGGCCGTGAGGTAGAAGTTGTGAATCTTGAACGGGCCATTGAGCTTGAACGCCGGCCTGTTCCTCATAACCTCGCGGCCGCCCAAGATTATAATGTAGTAGGCGATCAGCGTCGTCACGGTCGTCTTGAAAGTCGACATGGGCGTCTCGCCGACGACGAAGCGGAAGTCCTGCGGCTTGTAGCCCTTGACCGACTCGAAGGCCTTCTCGAAAATGGGCCATAACGCCAAGCCGAAGGGACGGTCAAGCGTCGGCACGCCGAATTGGATCCAGTCTGGCTTCGACATGATGCTATAGGGACGGTCTATATGCGCGCTGCGGGCTGAAGCAGAGGAGGGTGAGATTTCCAAAAGGACCGCGGTCGGCGCAACGTGAAGGACGAGTGGAGCCGGGGACAGGGAATGGGAAGAAGAAGAGACGCTGAATCTACCCAAGAAGGAGCGACGCGCACGACGACAAGAAAAGATCTTGGTGGAGTGGAAAAAAGCGGAGGGTCGCGGCTGAGTCGCGCTGTTTAAGGGGTCGCCGGAAATTGTGAAGTTGCGCCGAGGAGCCAACAAAAAGTCCGTCGGGAAGTGCGGCGCGCTCTTCAACGCCTTTTCGAGCCACCGCGACAGCTCCTCCACACCGAGCCGTCACTGTCCGCTGTAATCCCGGGGCCACGTTCTGACGTGTGCTTTACTTGGCGTCCCGCAAAGCCGCCTTCAATGCTCAGCTCCTCGGCACAATGACGACGCCGCTCTCTCGTGATAGGCTAGCGTGTCCCTGTCCAGGGCATAAACCACTCCTTATACGGACGTATTACCATCTCACCACTGCTCATACGCCGTGTTATCTTGCAATGCCTCTCACGTGGAGCCTCTCACTTGAAGCGTGTCTTGTGCAGACGAGAAGGACATCATCGATGGCGAAGTAAACAATGCTCCAGGTCTAGACGAAACGAAATCGTCTATGAGGCACGAGACCCCCCATGTCTGGCTGCTTTCACGCGGAGACCTCCCGCCTCGAGCATGCCTTATGCAGACTGAAAAGGCGTTGCCGGCGAGGTACAAAGCACATCAATTCCAGCCGCAACCTCGAGCCAATAGTATTAGAGCACGAACACGCGATGACAATCCCATTTTCCCTGTATCTGCACTTGCCGCAAAACTGCCCAGCCTACGTACTGTCCTGCTCGTCTAACGCAACCAAACCAAAACAACAAAAGAGACAACCCTTTGATAAGCCAGCCAGCCTCCAGACACCGACAAGCGCCAACAGGCGTCGACATGTCTAGCCACTCTGCAGCCAACCGTACATTTTTCCGCAATCGAAAAAAAAAACACCCCCGATGTTCATCAAACCAACGGGAGATGAGAAGAGGCACAAAACAGTAAAGGAGAACAACAGAACGCTCCAAGCTCCGTTCCCACGCAAACATGCAGCGGCGATGATGACGTTGAGACAAGAACGGTGTAGGTGAGAAGAGAAGACCGCCTTCTAAGGCTCCACAGCCCAAAGGCGGCACCCATGTATAGTAAAGGGTATAAGAAGTTTCACCCTCATGGATTTTGTCAGGGTCTCAGGTCCCGCGTAGTCAATGAGGAACCAGCCGTGTCCAGAATCCCTGAAGGCATGAATGGTTCCACTAACCGCTGACTCTTTTCACGCTGCTGCTGGAATTGGCGCGAGAAGAGTGACTTGAGCCAGTCCCCCCCGCAGAGCTAGGTCGGCTGTTGCTCCGAGCTCGTCCTGCACGCCTGCTGCTGGTCTCGTCCACGGATGACGACTGATGGTGACGCCTCTGTAAGCAGGGCAGGTTAGTGGAGCTGTGAGTAAGCACACCGATCCGCTAAATAAATCAAAAAGAAAGGAAACGTGTTTATAGTAGCCTGCCCTGCCTGCTCTAGAGAGAAGAAAAAGTATACAAAATGTAATGTGGCAACGCTCGCTCCGGGACCTGACGCATCAAACAGCATACGGACTTAACGTACCGCATAGTCTTTGGGCCTTCGCTGACTAGACATGGCGTCGTCCTGCAGCCGGAGCGCTTCAAGCCTGCGCTGACTGTCCTGACTCAAGGGGTCGTTGTCGTCCGCGCGCGTGGGGGAGCTGACTTTTGATCCGGTTGCGGTCACCGCGGGGAGCTTGACGTCGACCTTGCCATTCTGCCTGGCGGCCGCAAGCTCAGCCAGCTTATCCCATCTCGACTGCCGCGATTGCTGCTCCTGAGGGGCGTTGTTCTGCTTCTCGGCATATTCATGCGAGCATTCGTCAAAGAGTTGAGGATTAACCTCCATGAAAAGTTTCATCGCATTGTAGACCATTCCGTGGATCGTTCTGATAACCTGTCAGCATGAACTCGGATCGCATGATGAATTGTGGCATACCTGTTCCAGTGACCCTTCGAGTTTTCATACAGGGGGGCGAACATGATGGGCAAGATGACTTCAACATTGTCGCTAACCAAGTTACAGAAGTACTCGTTGTTCCAGAAATAGAGCGCGCGCTCGGCAACCTTTGAACATAATTAGCCGACGGGTACTTGTCCACGATTGAGCCGGAACTTACCTGGAAGTGCGGGCTAGCAACCGACTTGGCCAATTGGCTAAACAGCGGCTCTTGAACCTTGGCAAACTCGGCCGGATCCATAACTTCAAAGATATCTTCGACCTCGTTCAGGAACATCACCTCCTTGGTGCTGTTGACCTTTGGCCAATAGCGGAGGAGACCCAGGACCACCTGCATGCATGTTAGTATGGATTTCAACGCGACCGACATGGTTAACGCACCTCTTCCGTCAGGGCAGCATCCTTTTCAAGGAACTGCACGATACAGTACGCAAGCTGCGGGTGATACATGCTAAGGCTCTTCACCTTGTGCATGGGAATCAAGACTCGGGTCAAGAAGAGCTTGTGCTCCTCCTTCAATGGGAGAGCGAAACCGTTGATAATCGAACCGAGAATTTCCAGCAACTCGGCAATACCGTTGAAGCGTTCGGTCTCGTAGATGAATTGGAAGAAAACGTTGTTGATGGACCGACGGATGTAAGAACGCAGGTTGAGGAACTTTCCGTAGATTCTGTGGAGAGTCGTCTTGAGGAAATCACGTTCCCGGGGATCTTCAGAATCAAATAATTCAAGCAACTGGTCTACGGTTAGTTCCAGTGAACTCCTTTTGGGTGGTACAAAGGATGGATACGTACCTGAAGAACGAAACCATGATCTATGTATTGCTTGGCGATGTTGGTGTTAAAGTCCTGGCTTTCAATGAAGCGCAAAAAGAACTCGTACACGACCTGAATGTGAGGCCAGGCGACCTCAAGCACAGGCTCGTCCTCTTCAGGGTCAAAGGCTTCGCCTTGCGGGTTCATCGGCGGCGGGATAGGGCGGAAGAGGTTCTTGGCGAACATTTCGACGACGCGAGGATACATCCGTTCCGTGATGACCTGCCTGTTGTTTGCAACATAGTCCAGCAACTCGTGCAGCGCCAAGCGCTTGATTTCCTTTGATTTCATGTCGCCGCTGGCATCGTTGAAATCGAAGATGATGTTGCATTGGTCGATCTTTTGCATGAAGAGCTCCTCCCGTTTGTTCGGGGCGACCTCGTGGAATCCAGGGAGCTTCTCGAGCTCGCGTTGTCTTTGGTCGGAGATGTCGAAGCGCGACGAGTGCTGTCGCTTTGGGGTTCTGATGCCCTCGGCAACATCCTTGGGGGTGGTCTGCAAACGATCGAAGAGGAGAGATTTCGAGCCGGCTTTCGGGGGGAGCAGGTCTCCAGGCATGGTCTCAGCGGCTCCGGGTGGTGGGATGTGCTGCAAGGTGGAGAGGTTAGCGGTGTTCATTGTCTGGGGGGAATGCGCCCAAAAGCTCCGACCAACTATGGGCCAGGCTCATAGCGAGCTTGGTGAGACATTGGATACTCACAGGTGCGCTAGGGCTGATGACAACACTAGGCGCCAAACCCTGACCACGGTTCGGCGTGCCAGGCACAGCGCCGCCCATGCCGTTGTTCGTCGCTCCCTGAGGCATATGAGGCTGACCGCTCATGAACTGTGCGCCGGGCGCCAGGGAGCTGGGAAGGCCGGGCTGGCCTGGCTGCGCCGAGCCCTGAGGACCGCCCGCGGCATTGTCGTTGGACGGAAGAGGCTTGTTGCGGGGATCGGTAGCTAGTTGAGTGGTTGAGGAAGTGGGCGTGGCATGGGCGGAACTGGCAGGCGATTGCGACTGAGAGCCGCCGTGGGAGGGTGAGGAGGTGCCCGACTCACTCTTTTTCTTGGAGGATGATTTGGAATCATGGGCACGAAGCTTGTCGGACTAGGAGCCCCGTCAGTCAGTCGCGGGTGACGAGGCGTTGCGGGCGGGAAGGGGGACATGGATGTCGGGGAACCTTACCACTCTCTGCCGAAAGCCCTTCATGGTTTGAGGCGTGCGCTTCGGCGCCCGGATGTAGAAGACGGGACCAAGGGTGATATGGGGAGGTGCAGCGAGTCACGGCGGTCACCAGGGCAGAGGAGCGTGTCGCCCGACAATGGCCTGGGTAGCGATGGAGTCTGGATGCGTGGTGGCTGGCGCCAGACGTAGGATCGATCAGATGCGGATCTACGAGGAGCAGGCGGGCATCGAGAGACGTGGGTGCAGGCGTGCGGTGCGTGTCGCTCGGTGATGTCTACGCAAGTGACGGCTGGCGACAGGTCGACGGACGGGGAAGCGCCGACAAGAGGCCGACGAGGAGAGCGGGAGATGGGGTTTCACCTCGGGCGGTGGTAGCAGATGGAGGGACGGTGCTCGCGCAAGGAGTGAAAGGGTGTTAGGGACGCGACTGGGTTGAGGAACTCTCTCCTCAAACAGGCCGAGGAGGTGGTGATGTTCGAGCGTGTAGGGTCCAAGCTCGCTAGCGTGAGATGAGCAGCTGCGGGGCTTCAATAAATTTGGATCAAGACTGACTGTCTTCATCCTTCTTGTTGCTGCGTAGTCGCCGCTGCCGTGGACATGGACGGTCTCTTTGCCCCGGCCGCCGCTCCATCGCGCCCGGTGCCGCCGCGCGCCGTCGTGAGCATCGAGCATCCGTGCCTCGTGCGCAACATTGATAATGGCCTCAAGTCGCTGGGCGGCGGCGTTGCCCTCGAAAAGGTAGTACCTTGGAATCCCTCTACCTATCCTGGCCCACAAACCTGACGCCGCCACTAGTTCCTTCACCTGCACGACGTGCACAAGACCATCGGCGCTTCGCTCCGCCCCGACGACGCCATGGCCAAGCCTGTCATGTCTACCTTCGTCCGCACCCAGAACCTTCTCGTGAAGCTCTCGCTCCCAAAGCGGACCGGCCGCAAGCGCAAGAGAGGCTCCGACGACCCATGGACCGCTGACCCTCTTCTAGCTGACGCGACCTCTCACACTGACCCCAGCATCCTCTTGAGGAGCCTGCGCGACAATCCTGACGGCTACGGCGTCGAGCTTGTTGGGCACGCACGAGAGACTCACCGCTTCCGCAGCCTGCCCGACTTTCAGTATGCCACGTCGGCAAGCCCGCTAGCTCACATGCTCCGCGAAAACTTGCTGCCTTTTGAATATTCAAAGCTCAAGCACTTCAATCTCGATGACCGCCGAGAAAACGGCATCGGTGGTGACGTTGGCCCTTCTCCTCAATTCACAAACGTTGACGTGCCTTTCAACTACGTCTACCGCCAAAACCCTGCCGTAAAATATGCCAAAGACGCCGAAGGCCAGGCTATGCTGTACAATCCGACAGCGATCCGCAAGTTTATAATGCATCAAGTGTCCATCGACGCCGAGTCCGTTCTCAATGAATCTCCCGTTCCCCTTCCACCCGAGGAGACGCTGGATCCTCACATCCAGAGTACAATTCAAAAGATTCGCGCTCTGATGGAAGAAAGGCCAATCATGACGAAGCGTTATCTTATGAACCACATGGTTGGAACCACGGACGACGTCATTAAAAGTTCATATGCCTATGTTGGGTTCTCTTTCAGGTCCGGCCCCTGGAGAGACACGCTCGTGAAATTTGGCTGCGATCCCAGGACCGACCCCAAATACCGTGTCTTTCAAACAGTCATGTTCAAAATCATCTTACCATCAGAAAAGGAATCTAGCAACGATCCCAACAAGTGGATGGATGCTCGAAACGTGTGGAGGCGGCAGGCGAAGACGAGAACGTACGATAAGCTTACTTACCTTTTTGACGGCAAGGAGATTATCCCCGACGGCAAGATCTGGCAAGTGTGCGACATCACAGACCCTCAGCTCAAACGATTAATAGACACCGACAATTTGCGCAAAGAATGCAACGTGAGTGAATATACAACTTCGAGCTCTGTGACTTCTCTGACCAAGCAAGCAGATCAAATCAGATGGTTGGTTCCAGAACGGGACGTGGGCAAAGGTCAAAGTGCTGATGCGGGATAAGATCGGGATCATCATGAAGGGCGGGACACCTAACGACGACGAGTACAAACGCGTCATGGAGTTCCCTGACATCATTACCAAGGACAACATCGACGAGACAACAATTGGGAGGGATCTCCGCGTCTCGAAGAAGGAATCACGCATGTTGACTGATATCCGGAACATGGCCAAGCTCAAGTACAACCGCCCACTCAAAACCGGACAAGAAGACATCGAAACGGCGGACAGTCCGGAGGCCTCCCAATCCGCCATGAACAACACGCCTGGGGAAACGGAGACACAAGAGCCTCTTGACCACCGACTTTCGGATGCTGGGCTTGAGCAAGGCGACAGTTATGCTCAGGTCGCATCGCCGGCTTCTGAAGACCTTGAAGACGGAGCATCGGAGGACGAGGCGGATGGAGTTGATGCGTTAATGGGCGGTACAGAGGAAGAAGGAGCATTTGACGAAGGGGAAGATGTAGCGTGATATGGTGGCTAGCGTGGGCACGTAACATCCGTCACCGTGAACCGGGATCTGCAGTATAGCGAGACAAAGGACAATACAAGAACTCCCTACAGAGTACTCCTTGCCTAGCTCCCACTCCGAGCCCCGGGTATAGGCAAAAAGGTCTTAGAGCACATGAAGTCCGTCATTGCGAACTAAGAACGATATAAGCAGTCCCTCTAGAGTACTCCTTACCTAGCTCTCAGCCCGGGTCCCAGGTATAGGTAAGAAAAGTCTTAGAGCACGCAGAGCCTTTGTATATTTTAACTAGGTCTCTCCTTCAACCCCCTACAAGCATCACTACGTAGTACCTCGCAAGACGGTAAATCCCGCTTCACGGTGACGGACGTTACATGAAGGGAAGCCTTAAGGGAAGGGTCTCTCCGGAAAGGAAACGGATATGCCGATGGACGCAAGTACCATTCATACGAAAGCGGTTCACACCTGCACGGCGCGCCAGGGGCACCACTTTCACTGTGCCTGTGCACGCGTTTGTTCATTTGTTCTGGCCCGGTGTCCTCCGTCGCGGATATTTTACGAGAAGTGCGTTGTAAGTAAGGAGCTTCTCTCGAGGGTGTGAGATAATTATCAGGAAGGAAACGTAAGAAGATCCGACATTTTTGCTTTTTCGCTGTTAGGAAACAGGAGCGTCGAGTGTCAAAAGAAACATGATGTCTTGCCCTGAGTAATGAGGATGAGGCCACGACTCGCGTATTATGATCGTCGCCAGGGATTTGACATCTATACGAGCCCTACCCGCAGGCACTTCGACCTCTGTCTATGTGACCATCTCTCCATATACTTCGTTATACAGCGGACTCCCGTCCAAGAGGCCGGAACTCCAACACTGGATACTCTGGACCAAGCAGCGCGCAACCTCAAATCGCCTGGCAAAGACAGATCAAGCTGCTATTGAAGGGCTGTGCTTGTCTATCACCAATCTCCCCACGGACGTAGGTCTCAATAAGCCCATGCTTTTTGGGCACGCTCATCCGTGCCCTGGGGGCTGTGGGCGGCGTGGACGAAAATGTCACAGCGCGGAAGGTGGGTTTGCCGTGGTTGTCTGGGCGCACCTAGTACTACGTAGTGGTGGTAGGGCCGCGATATAATCTCTTTAAGGCGTAGAGGTTGCCGATGGCAACTTGCGACTCTTCTGGGGAGTATCGCCAGGAGAGCCCAGAGTAGGCATTTGACTGGGGTAGATGTCTAGGAAGGCGTTGTAGGCTAACCATGTATGAGCAAGACAAGCAACGCCACTGCCTTCTTTCCTTTTAAGTTAAATTGCTTCTCGTGTTAACCCGCTCCAGAGTCCCGCTCTCACCTATCTTCGTGTCCGTATGCCGGATCCACTGGCGCTTCGTATTTACCGCTTGCCCAAAGCGTGCCTTCCTATCCTAGAATGCTATGTGAACCTGTCTATATAAGCACAGTCATTTTCCCCTCGAACCTTCTCTTTGTCTCCAACAACCACCACGCAATCCCAAGCAGCCCGGTGCTTTGCCCAACTATCGCTCATTCTCCTGTCTATTCTCTGCAGATTCACTCATTCGCAAGCACGGGACATCTTTCACAAACGCTCTTTACTTTAAACAAGATGGTTAAGTTCACGGTTCGTCGATGCTGCCTTCATGTTGATATTTCTGCTCCAACCTCTAACAAACGGACCAGACTCTGTTTGGCGGTGCTGTCATCAGTGCCAGCAGCATCGCTTCCGCTGCGGTTCTCCCGCGCTCCCCCTTCACTCGCCCTCACGCCGCCTTTGACAACAACGGCGTTGTCGCCGCTACCAGCCCTGCCATCAGCATCTGGTACGACGCTGGCAGTGGCGAGAGCACAAACACCAATCTCCTTCACACGTACACCTGCTACGAGGGCAACCCGCACACGAAGTACCCCCCTTCGGCCAAGGAATGGCTCAGCTTTGAGAACCTGTGGAAGATCAACGTGGCCGAGATCCGCAAGTCCGAGGGCGATGAGAACGTTCTGAAGGCCTTCAAGGATGCTATCATCAAGGCGAGTGAGGAGACCAAGGTCGACAAGAGACTCATCCTGGCTTTGGTCATGCAGGAGGTAAGACAAGTCTAAAGCCACCACTTTCAAGAAATACCAGAATGACTAACCAAATCTCCATAGTCCACGGGCAATGTTCACGTGGCGCCCTCCTGGTCTGGCAACTGCGGTATCTTGCAGGCTCACCCGCCTTGCAGCTCGTACAACGACTTGATCAGCGGCGGTGCTTCGGCCGTCGACGCCATCCACACGATGCTCATGGAGGGTCTTCAGGGCACGAGCTCTGGCTACCCTGGTCTGGCGCAAGCCCTCAACAACGGCTCCTGGAAGGGCAACCCGTTCCCCGGCAACCCGTACGCGGCCGCGCGTATCTACAACTCTGGCAGCATCGCCGAAACTGCCGCCGGCTCCCACGGCGTCCTTGACGTTAGCGTCGTTCAGGGCGACGTTGTTGCGTACGCGAACGATGTTGCGAACAGGCTGATGGGCTGGAACGGCGACGTCGCTGGCTGTACCATCAGTGCCACGGCGTGCGGTCTGCGCAGCATGAGCGAGTGCGTCTAGGCGCGAGGATATGAGGAACGATCTGGAAGAAACGAACCATTAGTTCGAAGCCTTTCTGTCTTATATGCTGTTTAATTCTGTAATTCATAGCCTAATATGGGCTCGGACTGGCGCGGTGGAAAACTGTAACTCCCTTTTAGGAACAACTGATTACGATTTCTATCATACTGTATTAATTGAAGTGATGAGAAGCTTATTACAGTCTAACACTTTCTCAAATCATACTTGTAAAAGGGTATGGAACTTGACGAGCAATGTAATTGTATTGAGCTGAAAGGCAGGGAAGCCTTCTCTCTAAATCGATAGCATCGATTTCAAGACGTGCTCATACGGGTTTTAGAAGGTTCTGAATAATCTGCCTACCCCTGTATATACCTTACTTCTCCTTGTCTGCTCTGTGTTCTTGTGCCCTTACGGGACATTCCTATACCCTTGTAATTAGTACCTTTCTCTGTTCTCGAATGTTCTTGCACTTGCACATTATAATTATATGTACGTTTTTTATGCTTTTTAATATTCTAATACATAAGGATCTGCTCACCTCCGTAGCTATGTAGCACTTACTAGCGGCTGTATTATGGCCTTCTATAACTACGTAAAGGGTACTCGGTGGGTACGGTAAATTCCAGCCCTCGTGCTTACATGGGATATTTTTAGCATTACTATTTTCGGTACTTTGTAGATTTTCGAATACTCTTGTATCCTGGTATTGTTTTATCTTTTTGACTATAAAACGTCTACTAAAGACGGTGCTCTAGCTTATTAGAGCTACGTAAAGAGTACTCGGTGGGTATCGTAGACTTTACTGAATATATTCTTAAAAAGTGGGTAAGCCGGGTTAAAAAAAAGAGGTAAATCACCCGAGATCTTTTTGCAAACACGTGCTTCTCGACGGGAAGAGAGGGGTGAGTTGATATTTAATGCTTGAGTGAGCTGGCGGCATAGCGCTTTCTTCTCTAGCGTGGAGAAAATGTTCTGAGATTTGCAACCGGAATGCTGGATGTCATGTGATGTGGGGCCTATGTTAACTTACACGGTAATATCTCTTTAAGATTCTAAAAATTTATCTTCAGTTGTTTGGGCAGTCTTGAAATTATGTTGTTGATCATCAGCGATGGCTTCCACTAAGCTACACCTCGTGTTTACAACAATAGCATAAAGCACTGTAAACCGATGGCGTCGATTATCACTGTAATATAAAACCCGAACTTGACACACATATGTTGTTTTTACCTTCGTCCTTCTTCAGAGTAACAGAACACTAAAGCTTCCTTACATAGTCGGACGAGATGCCTCCTATGGAATCCCCCATTTGTATCTGGCCAGACTAAGTGTTTCGAGGAAGACTGCTGTAGAGGCTGAGACTCAGATATTTACCAAACTAATAGGTCTATAGCTTACTTCCCGCAGAGTACCGAGATGGACCCAATCTTGAGCCGTTTCTTTAGCCTCATCAAAAACATGTGGCAATGAAGCGCCTTTCTGGCAAACCAATGAGAGCATTGTTAGTTAAGTCATTTTCAGGTAGTTTGTTTGGACGGCATGGAAATACGCGTTGAAGACCTCCGATAACCATACACTGAAATTGTATGTATTTATTGCAGAATGATCCGCCCTTGAAGAATATCTGTATTAGGCCTGTCTGCCGCGGGTTGATTTTAAATCTAGTATGGCATGGGTGAAGATGGACGTTTGTAAAGGGACAAGGAGGGGATGTGTAAAAAAAAAAAAAAAAAAAGAAAAAAAGAAAGATGCAGTCTGGCGGTGTAGCAAGTAAGCAGTCATTACCTTTGTGGCTCTTTCCTTCACAGACGGCTGTGCAATCTAGCGAAATCCCGGCTGTCTTATTTAAATCTCCGGTCACCTTCTGTCTCTTTTGTCTCTCCAACAACATCTAACTCCCTGATACAGACAGTAGCAAAACATCATATCACAACAACCGGTATTCGAGAACCTATACAATGAGCGAACCCAGTCCTCACGCCGGGGTTGAGGGAGATCCGGAGGCAAGCCTGATGTCACTTGCCCAGAAGGTATTTGAAGGTGTAAAAAAAGCTGAGCACCTAGAAAGCGAGGCCGCAGAGCAGCGTCAACGACTGAAAGAGCACTACGAAAGCTTGGAAAATATGGTAAAAGGATGCACCGAATTCGTTGCCTTTAGGGTTCCACGACAATTCGAGAAGCGGTATGCATGTCTCTGGAAGCTTGGTATGATGCGCAACCGTTGCTTGTTGCTCGAGCACGACCTGAACAGCACAGAGCGCATAAATCTTGGCCATTCCCTTGGGATTGAAACTGAGACTTTCTGCAAGTTGCTCTGCGTCTCGGAAGACGAGCTGGCAGAGTTGGTTGGGCCAAAAGGTGACGGTGAGTCCACCAAAGCTCGCTCAAAATGAACGAATCTGACACAGTCACAGGAAACAAAGATGGCATGAAGGCGGAGAGAGCGACCTCCATTGGCAGCCCGCCTTTAGGCTCTCATGAACAGACCTCCCAAGCTGGACAGGACAATAAGACCGTGGACAAATCGCAGGTTCTCCCAGCTGGTACCAGTGACGACAATTCGCAGTGATTGTCGAAAAGGATTGGGTCTATCGACTCAATCACATCACTGATGCCAAAACTGTGAATAATCGGCTCTCTCAGACAGGCCGTATTTGCGGATCACTATCCCAAAGGATGGATACCCGGTCAGCCAATGCTGTTGGTGGATTGTTCATTCAGGCGTCGGTTGCAAGGTTCGAAGATGGGTTGAAATGCTGCGGGAAATGCTCAACACAGAGAATCGAGGGTGTCGGTTTCCACGTCACCAACACTGAAACCACGAAAACCTGGCCCCTTGAAGTAGACTGGATTTGGAGGACATGGATGATCAATTTTCTGGTTAATTGGTTGGTCCAGGCATTAGTTACCGAGCGAAACGCTCGATGCGCAAAAGTTAATACTCGATTCAAATTCAACTACATTCATTTCTTCCAAATATGCACCAAACACAGCAGCCTGATATGATAAGCATGCCAATGCGGTACTTTCAAGTATCAACGTATCCCCATGCGCCTGTATAGTAACCAGTGATCCCATTTGTATCACCTCATGGGAGTACACGGCCAGGGAACGGGGGCAAAGAAAGTGCTTCATCACTGCATACCAACTACCACCGTTGTATTTGAAAAGCAGGACCAAAACCAAGCAGTGCAAGGTTGCCGACAGGAAATGTTTTGGTAGTACAAAAGAAAGAATTTACATGAACCATCGAGGTTCTTAGTTCATTATAATTAATAGCATCAGCACCATGGATTTTCCTCGACTTTCCATCTGTATTGGGTTACAAGTAAGGTCGAGATTCGGGAATTATGCCATCCTTGGATACAGTGTCCTTGGCATTGTTACCAGATGCTTGTGGATTGAGCATCTGATTCGTTAAGTTGTTGAAGGTGTTCCTATGGATTTCCATAGGGGCTTTATCTTCGCTTGTATACTTCGGGATGTGGAGTCAATTAAGAACAGTGAGGAATTCCGGACGCTAGGGAGTAAGCTGTTTTGTAAAGTCTATGGCGTATTATTTATAAGCGCATAAATCGACAGTTTCGACCGATTCACACTGTGATGGATGGTGTGCTTGAAGTTTTGAATGCAGAGTACTGTGAGAAGGGGTGAGCGGAGAAAAGAACGAGTTGATAAAGTTTAGAGTTTATTTGGTAAGAGAGTGCAGATGAAATGGGAATATGTTATAGCGTTCGCCGTCTACTAAGTATAGTTAAGGATTTAATAGAATAAAAGTTTAGTATCACAGTGAAAGTAGAAGTATATGGGCAATCGGTATAGCATTTATGTATACTTCTCTACTGACATCTTCTTACTGACCGAAATTAGCGATTATGGACTTCTTTTACCTTTGTTATACCGCTTTATTCTCTGTAGATACTGAATTCTTAATACTCTACCACTTAAAGCCGCTTAAAGCGTACTTATTCTTTACCTTTACAACACCACCGAGGCTTCTGAGTGATGCTAATGCTTATTTCCTATGAGATACGGCTAAAAACTCTTAGGTGTATATGCCTCCTTACTACGCGACACGATGAAGTATTTGTTAGGTAGAAAGGATGTACTCTGTTAGGTATACATAGAGTGTGCAGTATGAAGCAGTAGAGGGTATATACCGAAATACATATGTGATACATCATAAGGCCGTGTGTAGTATCGATTGCTACCTACAAAACAAGCTGTATCCCTATGTATATCTACTTCTTGTATGATTACATCGTCTACTGCATGCTTATGCTGTAGGTCTTGCTTTAGGATGCTTAGAGATATCCCGTGTAGTTAGGTAAAGTGCTTACGCTTACCCCTAAAGGTAGCCGTATAGCTACGTCTCCGCCTTTCTTGCTTATCTCGCCTGCCCTTCTATACCTACCCGGAACATATTCTACAGTACCGCTATACGCAATTGCATATTCTTGAGCGTATACGCCTGCGGTATAGATAGATGTAGTTTAGATGATACGTTTATATCTATATTATATTATCTTTTTGCATACAAACTGCACGTACAGGCCTGCTAGATGCGTATATATAGACTACTTTTAGCGTAGACGTAGTTGAAAAGTATGTAGTAGAGAAATCGAGTCTAAAAGGTGCGGTATATGTATAGACGAGGCCCTTTGTGTTATACTTCTATGGGGATGAATGTATATAAATACCCGCCTATTTGATTTGTGGCTATGCAAAGTGGGTTTTTTGTGGCCATGCAAAACGCTTGCTAATAGAATTTGGGCTTCCACTTCTATATCTTGATTCGTTCCCACTCAAAGTTTATCGCCTGTAGATGCTATTAATACCAGTCTGCTTGTCACTTCGAAGTTATTCTACTGAGCATAGTATATAGTATTTAGATGCGAGTATAATGATCATTATAAACAAAGGGCTCTTTGTCTTAGATGGAAGTGTGGAGATGATTCTATAATGTGCGTGCTACCTTCACAAAGAATCAACAGGCTCGATTTGTATCAATTGCGCCAGTAGCTGTTGAAGAAACTCATTCAGTTGCATAATGCGTCTACTATCTAGATTGTCCACCTCAGTGGACAAGCAAAAACGCGTGGTTATCCATACGTTTGTCTAATTCATAAGGGCAGGTAAATCCGACCAAGCCCCAAACTTTTCCGTCCACCATACGTAAAAGCCATACCAAAGTCCATCCCAACGTGTCGATTAAAGCGTGATTACGTAGCGACAAAGACGTGATTAATAGTAAAAAAACATGTGTGCGCATTGACGCGGTATGTGTGACCACGCCAACGCGCACAAGACCAATTACCCAACACCACCCGTTTACCGCTTAGCGAAGTTGAGGTACCTCGCCGCAAGGAACAGGAGGAGCAGGTTGCTGCCGATGAAGGCAATGAAGATGCCCAGGTCGCGCCAGCGGTTGACAAAGTCGTAGCCCAGGGGCGAGTAGAACTCGTCGCCGACCTTGTAGGCGCAGTACTCGCAGTTGCTGGTCGAGTTGTCGACAATGTAGCCGGGCCCGCTGCTCGCGAAGAATGCAGACATGTATTCGCCGCAGGTCTGGCCGAGGGGCGCGGTGAAGGTGTTGAGCTCGCCCGTCGAGCACGTGACCTCCCGGTCGTGCAGCTCTGTCACCACCATACCACCAATCAACCTAGTGAATGGATCTAACTGGTATAACCAGCGCCATCCGTTAGGGATTTGGGGCTGGGGAATGGTGACACCACAGAAGAGGGCGAAAATAATGATGATGAAGGGGTTGACGAGCGCAGCGATGAAGGGCGTGGGCGTGATCGCGGCGATCAGCTGCCCAAGCGTAACAGAGAAGACCTCGCAGATCAGAATCATAAAGAACTGGTAACCAGCCCTGTCGGAAGCGTACTGGAAGTTAGGGATGTAGTAGATCGGCAGGAAGAAGAACACAGCGCAGAGAACGCTGTAAGGCATCTCGGCAAGAACCTGTGCAAGAGCGAACGGGAACTGCCTGTAAGCCTTGGAGGCCTGTTCGCGGGCAGAGACCATCCTAGCCATTGCGTACTTGGGCTCGACTTGCGCGAGAATCAGGGCGGGAAGGACAGTGACCTGGAAAATGACGAAGATCCGGTACTGCAGCGAGGAACGAGAGTCGTCGAGCTGAAGGAAAGCGAGACCAGTCAACAGAGCGAGAATGACGTGGTTGAAGAGACGAGTGAAGCCGTAGTTGGGAGTGCGCCAGAAGCAGAGCTGCGTGCGGGCGTTGACCTTCTTGATCTGGTACCAAAGCGGGGTAGCAAACTCCGTCTGCATCAGCTCCTGGCCAGCATTGTTCTCCGCTGTACGCTCGTTCTTCATGCGGACAATCTCTTCCTTAGTTGCGGCGAGTTCGGGAGAGTCGGCCCAGATGTCGGCCCAGTCGCGGTCACCGATACGAGGAGCCTGGCCGGCACCGATGGCGTCCAGCATCCACTCAGCGGGGTTGAGATCAGGCGGGCAGTCAGCTCCCCGGCGGTGGAAGTAGTCCAGAAGAACGCAGGCATCCTCTCCGATATCACCGAAGTAGACGCAGCGACCTCCCCTCTGCAGAAGCAGAAGCCTGTCGAAACTCTCGAAAAGAGCAGAGTTAGGCTGGTGAATCGTGCACAGAATAGCCTGACCAGCTGCGGCAAGCTTCTTCAAGAAACGGACAATGTTCCAGGCGCTTTGACTGTCAAGACCGGAGGTGGGTTCGTCAAGGAAAAGAAGAAGCTCCGGCTTGGCAGCCAGTTCGACACCAATAGTGACACGCTTGCGTTGCTCAACAGCCAGACCACTCTCGGGGTCACCGATGATAGCGTCCGCAATGTCTTCCATTTCAAGCAGGGAGATGACTTCCTCAACGTAAGCGTACTTCTCGGCCTGGGGAACGTGGAACGGCTGGCGGAGATCAGCAGAGAAGCGCAGAGCCTCGCGGACAGTTTGGGCCGGCTCGTGGACATCGAGTTGCTCGGCATAGGCGGTTCCACGCTGGAAAGCGATGCCAGGCACTTTGCCGTCGATCAGCTTGTCTCCGCTAATCACACCGATGTTTTTCCTGGACGCCAGCACGTCGAGCAGGGTCGTCTTGCCGGCACCGGAGGCACCCATCAGAGCGGTGAGTTGACCGGGCTTAACGTAGCCGTAAATGTTGTTCAACAAACGGAGTTGGCCAGAGCCACCGGGCATTGGAACGTCATAGCAGAGGTCTTCCCAGGTAAGAACAGCCTTGGAGTTGATCTTCAGACCCTCGCCCTCTTCCTCGGTTTCCTTCCGGTTCTTTCTCTCCTTCTTTTGCTTCAGGTCCTCGTTCAACTTCTTCAGCTCAGCATTCTCTTTGGCGAAGAAGGTCACGGTCTTGCCACCAGCGCCCCATTTGATATGTTCTCCCAGGAAAGCATTGGCTCCAAGGAAGCCAACAATAAGGACAATCATGATACCCCAGTTGCGCCAGAGTTTCTCTGGGTGGTATGAGAAGGCCGCCGTGATGTAGTCTTTTCCAGAGATAATCGCGCTGCCAGGTGTACTTCCGGCGAGAGTGCATGACTGATGCTCAATTTCTCCGTAAGGTGGAATCAACGACTCAGAAGTGCATGTTATGTCTAACCGCTTAAACTCGTTCATCATGAGTGAAGAGAAACCGAGACCAAGTGCCTAAAAACGTGTAAGTTACTATGACCACAATAGGGTAAGAAATCTTGTAGGAACTCACGTTAATCCAGAAAATCCATTTCAACCATACTTGCTCCGATTGAGGCTGAATGAGGTATCCGCAGGTAAGCACAAACAGAGTGATGATTGTACCGGCAAGACGGATGGCCACATCGAAGTCCGGACACATACATCCGACGGTACGGAAGAAAAGAGTCATCGAGAGGTATCCAGAGACGATCATCAAGACGAAGGTGAAGAAAGCACCTGGATCCCGGACGAGACCGCACATGAAGTAGACCATGACGCTGAAAACGAAGATCTGAGCCGTTGCAAAAGCCGTGTCCACGATGATCTGAGCAATCCACAAGGCAGAAGGACGATGAAATGTGTAAGCGCGGTGCTTATTGACGATAGGTCGTCCCATCATAGTGGAAGCCAGCTCGGAGAAGGCCTGGAAAGCGTTGAACAGAAGGGAGATGAACAGTAAACCACCACGCGTGAAAGCGCCAGCGGACGTTTGAGGGAGGTCAAGCCAGACAGTACCGAGAAGGATAGCCACGATGATGGAAGTAAGCCAGGAGACAACAAGGGAGAACCGGTCCTGCCATTTGAGAGCGAATTGGCGGCGCATCAAGGCCCAGACCTGGAGGTAGAAAGGGATAGTGTAAACCGAACGCTTGGACGCATGACGCTTGCTCTGGTGAACAGCCGTCTGGAAATCATCGTAAACTTGCTTCTCGTCCTGGATCTGCTGGCGGTATTGAGTCATTTCATGGTTCAGACGGGCGGCGACATCGGAGTTCTTGAAAGCTTCCGCCAAGGCCTCGGGGTTGCTGGGAACATCCTTCTCGCTACGGCCGGCCTTGAAATCTCTCTCGAAAGGATCGGTACATCCAGTAAGGTAGTCCGGAGTGGTTTGTCTAGGCTTCTCCAAGAAACCAAGGTTCTCGAAATACGCGCGGGCCTCTTGAGCCGGACCATAGTAAACTTGGCGACCGGAATCAATAACCATGACCTTGTCAAACACCTTATAGATGGATTCGGAGGCCTGGTAGAGCGAAACGAACGTGGTGACTTGGTGGATATCCGTCAAGATGCGAAGAGACTTGGCGTAGTCCAGGGCAGTGGATGCGTCCAGACCGCGGGTTGAGTTATCCCATGAGCACACAGAAGCATTCGTGATCATCATCTCAGCGATGGAAACGCGTTTACGCTCACCACCAGAGACACCACGAACGAAAGGGTTTCCGACGATTGTGTTTTTGGTGTGCTCAATGTTGAACATCTTGAGCAGCATGTCGATGACTCTCTCCTTGAAAGCGTGCCTGCTGAGACCACCGGGCCGCGTTCCAGGGACCTTGGTATCCAGAGCAAATTCAAGGGTCTGGCCAACCGTCAAAGTGGGGTGGTGGACGTCGTCCTCCTCGTTGTAGACAGCCTCGCCGCGGTAGCGCTTCTCGAACGTTTCGTTGTCGAAGGGGCCGTAGAGGACGGTGCCGTCAACCTTGGTGTAGCCGAATCGTTGGTTGGCCAAAACCTTCAAACAAGTCGTGCATCCGGATCCTGGGCGACCAAGAACGAGGACCATCTCACCAGGTTTGGCGACTCCCTTGAAGTCCTTAAGGATGTCGAATTCTTGTCCTGATTTGCCTACTCCCAGGAGGTTCTTGCCGGTCTCGTAAACATTGAAGAAAGAGGTGAAGGCCTGAGGAAATGTCTACACGGAGATTAGTTGGGGTGGGGGATACAATATAGACAAACTCTTACCTTGACATAGTTTTTGACACCACCGATACCGCTGACGGTCAATCCGTCCCAGTATACACCAATCTGTTTCGGCTTGATACCGGCTTCCTCATCCTCGCCTTTGTGACCTCTCAAGACTGATTCGAGATCAAACGGCTCCGAGTCAGAGCCCTCTGAGGAAGGGGCCTTCTCTTCATCGACGATGGGGGTCTTATGGGTACCAGTGCGCTTCGAGTGATGGGTGAGCTTCGTCAATTCCCTGTTAAGCTCCTGGAATTCGTTCTCGGCCTTTTGAACATTAACGCCATGAATGGACTCATAGCCACCGGCCTTCATGGAAAGAGAGCTTTCGCTCTGCTTCTCAGAGACCGAGGTCTTGGACTCCGTAATGATTGTAGTAGTGATCGTTTCCGAGGCCTCGGTGTATTGGTAAACCTGGTCAGGGATGTTAAGATCCATGATGGGCTGTCGGATGGTCAATCAGCCAAGCGAAGGGTGCTAGACTGTCCGCTACGACCTAAAAAGGTCAAAAAAGGAAAAGAAAGGAAGCCGACTGCACAACTCGAGGAAAAGAGAAACAGAGAGGAAACAGCAGACAAATAAAAGAAACGGTATCGGCAATATGACCGGGGTACAAAGCCGTTGGGCCCTGGGTGCGGCGCCGCCCTTTAGCTTAAATCCGCATGTCCGTGGCGATGGAAAAGCAATCAGATAGGCCAAGTGGAGCTGTGGGGCCGCACAGCTATCTGAGATGCCCCCTGATGCCTGGAGAGAATGAGCAAGAGGCGCCCAGATCTTGACACCGTGCAGACGTCTCTATCTAAATTTTTTTGTGTTTCAACTCCACCATACTGGAGGTTTTCCATGCCTTCAGCCCATCAGAACGGCTGGTCGATGGTGGCGGAACGGGACGAAGGAGCATCTCCTTTGCAGGGCTACGGCCAGGACCCCACCCCGAAGGCTGCAGTGTCCACTTTGCTGCATCGGCTTATGAATCATATCCTTCTTCGCATCTTCTAGCTTTGTCGGGCCGGCAGACCAAGCCGAATTCACCAATCAGCAGCATCTACGTGACTCTTGCAGCGGTGCTAAGGGTGCCCCTGCACGCGATATATGACTCGATTGTTTAGACTAAGGCAAATCCTGGGTGGCGCCAGTGAAAAGAAACTGCCGTGTGCCGGTCAAATCTTGGCGGGGATCTTTGAGGCCCCCGCGAGAGACGCGTGTGAATTGATCTCGTGGAATTTTTCCATGGGCTTCTTGGGGGCTGGTCAGGAGGCGACTGCTTCCAGCGGTGTACGAACCTGTCCGCATCGTTACATCTGGCCATGGTCCGTTTAACCGTCCGGTTGGGAGTGAGAGCCCCCCGGCCAGAGAATACGTGATTGGGTTGACGTTGCGTGCCAGCCACGCCAGCATGGAACGGCATTTGGTCGCGGGCCGCGGAGCACGCACTGCGGCGATCGATTCCTTGCTTCGTAGCGGTGTGTTGCCCCTTGATAACGAGGCATCCATGGGATCACGACCGTCTCGATGGCCCAAGTGCTCGTATCAGCTGGTGCTGTCGTTGGAAAGTCCGATGGCTCGAAGGCGAGACTTGAGGCTCTCGAGACGGCCTGACTGACGTATGTTCAGGAAATATCAGAATTCTGACTCGTAAAATGCCCCATGCTCTTTTACTGCGGTCAGATGGATAGGCAGATAATGCTTATAAATCCTTCGTAAGCTACTTGACTAGATATAAGCATAAATCCTCAGCGCAGCTAAGAAGCAATCCATAGAGAGCATTCGAACCTACTCACAAAAGTTTGTAGGTATGAACAGAGTGTTCGCGAATGTTCGATTCCGGAGCGACATGATACACCCGCATTTCTACGAAGCACTAACATCCGTCACCGTCAAGCGAGATTCACCGCCTTGTGAGACAATGACGCTTATACAGACGTGATAGAGTAGAAAAAGAAACTTAGTTAAGATACTTCTAGTATAGTGCGCTCTAAGACCTTTTTGACTGGACTTGTAGCTAGACAAGGAGTATTCTATAGGGACTGCTTTTGCCCTTCTCTAACTCGCCAGACGGTGAACAATATCGCTTAACGGTGATGCATGTCACGGCTACATGCTTAGCTGGGAGAACATGCGTGTAAGATCGACTCTATAGATGTGCCCTGACTCAGCCAGTTTCTCTGCGGTCATCAAATGGCTTTAGGCTGTGGACCGAGGGACTTTAACCTACATAGCCGAGTTATAGGTTTGATCACTCGCGAGCCGATTGGTGATATGCCGGCACGAGATGTAGAAGACAGGCAAGGAGGAGGTGAAGGTTCGGGTTCCACGCCACCGTCGGGCTGTGGAAGTCGCACAGTGATACTCCTATCAGGAGATGCGCTGCCGCCCCCACAAATCAAAGGCAACACTCGATGGAAAACTTCTTGGGCTGCCATAGGCCCTTCGGTTCGCGAGGCGCGCGGGTGTCCGAGCTTCTCACATGCGACTGTGAGTTTCGACATGTGACAGACCGAAACCGTCGGCCAACACCACGCTCAAGCATCACCGCGCTCTCTTCCACGCCGCTCTCTCTCATACCCTCACTCTCTCTTGTCATTTCATAGACTGCGCTTACATCCGCCTCCTCGCGTAGAGTGCCCCCGCAAGCCCTCAGCCTCGCCACTCCCTCGCTATCCGCGATCGGCATTCTCTGCGTCACCCGACCCGACAATCCAACTTTCTGTGTCCGTCATGGAGGTGCGGCAAGAACACCCACCCGCATACACAAACAACGACCCGGAATCTCTGCAGCTTCCCTCGGTACCGACCCAGGACCCGCCCTCAGCCAACGCGACACACCAAATCCACCTTCCCGACCTCAAATCGCTCGGCTTGCCTGTGTCCACGCAGCTGCGGAACGCCTCCAACCCTTCGGACCACCACCATGGCCACCCCATTGGGCCTGTCGCCTCAGACCCGCAACAATGGCAGACTACCGACGCCATTCAGCACCTATCCTTCCCCCGCGTGCCTTTGACTGCACCGCGCAGCGCCGCCGAAATGGACGGTGCGAGCCCTATGGATACAGAGAGCGTCATGAGTATGGACGAGCAGACGCACAACATGTCGCTCAATTCCAAGGAACTGTTGGCTGCCGAGGCGATTGTGGGCCTAGGGAACCCAGGTAATTTATGCCCACCCTGCCCCTATGCTGCGCAAACTAATGCGCGACAGACTTTAGGATGTCCCCCGCCGCCCACAACGCGAGGCTCCCATCTCCGTCGAACGTCACATCTGGCGAAGACCCTGAGCCTTTGCTGTCGCTGTTGACCTCGAGTCATCCATGGCTGGGCAAATCGATCAACGGCTCGCTGAACGCATATACATCGACCAAGGCATACTCTCCGCGCTTCGTCCAATACAGCGCTAATTTTGTTGAACGCAACGTAGCCAACACGGTGGGAAGTGTGGGTAGAAGGACCGGAGTTGAAGGCAGTATCCGGCGGTATTTGGGAGAGCGGCGGCTCAGCGACCACGATTCACAGAACCATAAGCGTCGGAGGATTGATGATGATGCTATGGATATTGAGCAAGGCCTACAGACGCCTCCTTTGAAGAGCGTCAGGGCAAGGAATGGCTCGGATGCTTCTATTTCCAGGGATGAAACACTCCCTCCATACGACGCCAACCGGTCTCCGGAGTATGAGGAGCGCACCGATGATGCCGACGGAGGACGCCTGGCCACGAGACAGAAAGAGAGTCAGAAGCAGCATTGGTCAACCCGAGTAATGATAACAACGTCTGGCCTAGGAGCTGCGTTATCAGAGAAGTCACTACGGAGCTTGAAATTCTGCCTCGGGATTTTGCGCGATGCGAATGCTCACCTAAGCAACGTGATGCGCGCGTTGAAGATGGTCCTTGAGGACTACGAAAACGCAACCAGGTCCAAGTCCCGCGACTCGAGCATGGCGTCTGCGGATGAGAAGGGCACCAGTTCCCCGCATCTCATGCGCGACGAGCGCGACGAGCAAAGCCGACGGCTGGCAGAGCGCATGAAGGCTCTCAGCGAAGACATATGGCAGACACTCAAAAAAGTCGTTGCCTCTGTCTCGCAATACACTGGCGGAGCCTTGCCCGAGAACGCCGGCGTGCTTGTCCGTAGACAGTTGCTCTCCGTTCCACAGCGATGGCAGGCTGCCTCTGCGGCTTCTTCGCAGAACGGCCAGAACAGGCAGAACGGCGAACCAGTAGAGGTCAGGGGCGCGAACCGCATGCTGGCGTTCGCGAAGGAAGGACTAGACATGATGGCGCAGGTCAGCATCGTAGTAGAAAGCACCATCGTCAGCGCGGAAAAGTGGCTGGACAGCTTAGGAAGGAAGAAGAACGGAGAGGGCGAATCCCCGAGAGACGAGAAGAGCGCAGACAGCCTTCCTTTTCACAACGGCGTGCAGCGCGAGAAGCAGTAGTTGGTTGATGGCCTTGCCGGCTTGAGGCAGCCGGCTCTTTTCGAACTAGTATATATAGGGGCTGGGCTCGGAAGGGACACAATCTAGGGGCGGGACATACGTCTGGCACGGCGGGGAATGGGCTTTTATCAGGCAGGGCCGAACTGCTGGCAGCAGCTTCACAAACGATACCCAGAAGACGAGAGGCGTACGGCGGCTGTTTAGTTGGTCGGGTTGGTTGGTTAGTTGGCGGGCTGGGTATCGGACGGTACAAAGCAAAAAAAAAAGTCGAATATCTCTTCCTCCTTTGTCTTTCACTTTCTGGTTTCTCTGACACTGTAGTTGTCTTTTACATCACATTCATTGGGGCCTACGCGGCGCTGACTGCACCTATGTAATGAATTCCTCTTCGAGACCAATGGCGGTACTTGGTATTGATATAAAGGCTAGCTAGTTGTTTGTATGAGAAGCCTATGTGAGCATGAACGTTGTACTGTATTGTGTTTGAACAGTGGTTTCTATACATCGTGATAATACAGCCGCAAAAGAAAATGACTCAATATTTACCCTTGGATCTTTTGTACTCTTGTACTCATGTAAGATACACTCGTGCTCTTTACATTCCCATCTTTATAGCCTGTTGAAAGTACTTGTACCCTCGTATCTTTTTATTTTCTCATTATGTGAGATAATACTTATAGCTTATACCCTTTCACCTATGTAACCGCATCCCTAAATACCAAGGGCAAATTCTCCGGGGCTTTAAAATCTACTACTAGGACTAAAAGCGGTTGAGGCTTGAGTATAATCTGATCTCACTACCAAATAGGCAACCCGGGTGAATATTCGACCGAGGCCGTCAGATCATGCCTGCTCACCGCCAAATGACTCAGGCGGCCACATGGCGGCGGGGCAGAACAACGCTTGCTCGCGACAGAACACATCTTGCGACAAGACCCCTCAATCCCTCTGTTTTTGTACCCAAAGGACCGCCAAAATGATTGACATTCAGGACTTCATTACGGAGCGCGGGGGCAACCCGGAGAAGATCAGGGAATCGCAGCGCAAGCGTGGCGCTTCCGTGGAGTTGGTCGACGAGATCATTGCCATGTTCGAGGACCACAGGAAAAGTGAGACAGCATCTGTCAGGCCTTTGGATACCCAGGACTGACACGCGCGACATAGCTCAGTACGAAGCGACGCAAATCGGCTCCCAGATCAACGCAGTCCAGAAGCAGATCGGCCAGAAGAAGAAGAACAAGGAGAATGCGGACGACCTTCTGAAGGAGAAGGAGGACCTCACGAACAAGAAGAAGGCCCAGGAGGAGCTTGCTGCGGAGAAGCACAAGGCGCTTCTTGGTATGTTTCGCGATTGAGATCCAGGAGGGCATGAAGCTCACACATGCCACAGTGAAGACTAAAACCGTGGGCAACTACGTGCACGAGTCGGTGCCGGTCAGCCAGACTGAGGACGACAACGAGACGATAAGGAGATGGGCTCCTGACGGTGTCACGGTCGAGAAGCGCGACTGTCTCTCTCACCACGAAGTCCTGTACCGCCTGGGCGGCTATGACCCGGAGCGCGGTGTCAAGATTGTCGGCCACCGTGGTTACTGCCTGACTGGCATGGGTCTTTTCCTCAACCGTATGCATCTCTTGCGTTTCACCGCAGCAGTCTCCACTGACACATCGACTAGTGGCTCTTGTCAACTACGGTCTGGAATTTCTCTACAACAAGGGCTACCAGCCCAACGCTCCTCCGTTCATGATGCTCAAGGAGCAGATGGCCAAGACCGCTCAGCTTGAGCAGTTCGACGAAGAGCTCTACAAGGTCACGGAGGACGAGAACAACAAGGACACCGACAAGTACCTGATCGCGACTAGCGAGCAGCCCCTCTCTGCTCTGCACTCCGAGGAGTGGCTCCAACCCTCCGAGCTCCCCATCAAGTACGCCGGTTACTCGACCTGCTTCCGGAAAGAGGCCGGTTCCCACGGCCGTGATGCATGGGGTATTTTCCGTGTTCACCAGTTCGAGAAGATCGAGCAGTTCCTCATGACCAAGCCTGACGCTTCCTGGGAGGCTTTTGACAGCATGATCGACACGTCCGAGGAGTTCTACAAGAGCCTCAAGCTGCCGTTCCGCGTCGTTGCCATTGTTTCCGGCGCGCTCAACAACGCCGCTTCTAAGAAGTACGATCTGGAGGCTTGGTTCCCCTTCCAGGGCGAGTACAAGGAGCTGGTCTCCTGCTCCAACTGCCTGGACTACCAGACCCGTGAGCTGGAGATCCGTTACGGAACCAAGAAGCAGACCGCTGTCAAGAAGGAATATGTGCACGCTCTGGTATCTCAAACGCCAATACACTCCCTTCAGACATATTGATGCTAACTTTGCATTACAGAACTCCACTCTTGCCGCCACCGAGCGCGCCCTGTGCTGTGTCCTCGAGAACTACCAGACCCCCGAGGGCTTCAACGTCCCCGAGGTCCTGCGCAAGTACATCCCCGGGCAGCCCGAGTTCCTGCCCTTCGTCAGGGAGCTGCCCAAGGACACGACCTCCTCCAAGGCGGCGGGCAAGGCCCCCGGCCCCAAGCCCAAGGTTGCGGCGCCCGGCGAGGCGGCCGACAAGCTCAGGGACCTGAAGGTTTAGACGCAGGATTTAGCCGCAGAAGGTGCGCTTTCTTGCATACGCTGGCGTCACAAAAAATACTAGAGACACTGCTGCTCTCGAATATCCTATTGAATGGCTTAGCATAGAGTCGATGGAAAAGAAATTTAAAGATGATGTTCATGCCGTTTGTGCCGAGTGTGTGGTTACGTGTCGGTCGTCAGTGGTGTTGACGTGTCGTGCTCTGGCTGCGAGTACTGCAGTTGCAGGGGTAGATCCTGTTGTTCTTATCCCCCACTGTGACGGTACTTTGGAAGCGAAAGTGTCAAGTCGCTTCGAATGTAAAATCCGTCACCGCGAAGCGAGATCCACCCTCTAGCAAGACGGGGGACGATATAAGCAGTTCCTACGGATTACTCCTTGCCTAGCTCTAAGCCCGAGTCTCGGGTATAGGTGAAAAGATTTTAGAGCACATATAGACTAACTCTACGTACATACTTGATATACTACCTATAGTCTCGTAACGTCTATTACCGCTAACTAGGATCTAACGTCTAGTAAGACGGGGAACGATATAAGTAATCCCTATAGATTACTCTTTGCCTAGCTATATACCTAGGTCCTAAATATAGGTAAGGGGATCTTAGAATATATACGCCTATTTCTTAATATTCCTTACCGTCTACTATTTAGCGAGATAGGGAGTAATATAAGTAGTCCCTACGGATTACTCTTTATCTAGCTCTAAGCCTAAGTCCTAGGTATAGATAAAAAGGTCTTAGAACATATATAGACACTAATATCTTAACTAGGTCTCTTCTTCTACTCTGTACAAGTACTACCATCTTGTAAGACGATGAATCTCGCTTCACGGTGATGAAGTTAATGACGATGTGGAGGGGCGACAGGAATGATGGGCGATCGGCGGGAGCTTGTTCCTCAGGGCGATCCCTGCATTTGGAGCTACTCGTGACAGCCAGGCACCACCCCGTTCCCGGCCACCTCAACTCCCTCAGCTTGCACAACATCTTCCTCCCTTAATCCGTTCGAATTCCATCCAGCAGGAAGGGAGGAGCTGCAGCAAGTCGCATCATCACGCATTCTGCCACCATGACAAAGAACTATCCCGGATCTTGCCGGCCGCAGGCCTCAAACCGTCCCCAGCAGTCTGATGCCGAGGTTCCCATGAGCCTGCCGTACTCGCGGGGATGGCCCAGCCTCTTCCCGGAGACGGAGCACATGGCAACACCCGAGGCGCAGATGAGCGCAGACACGCTGTTCGGCAACTCGGTTTTCACGGAGCAGCAGCGCATGCGCGTGCAAGTCCCCCCGGTCCCGCCCAAGATTCTGGAGACGCATCAAGCACGCGAGCGCCGCGAGGTCAAGCCCGAGGACTACACAAAGCCCTTCTGCGACTTCCTGACCGATAACCCGACGGTTTTCCATGCCGTCGAGGCTGTGGCTAAGCAGCTCGAGAAGGCGAGCTTCTCGAAGCTGTCGGAGCGCGATTCGTGGAAGCTGCGCCAGGGCGGCAAATACTACTTGGAGAGGAATGGTAGCAGCTTGATCGCATTCGTCGTGGGTGATTCATACAAGGCTGGCAATGGAGCCTCTGTTATAGCTGGCCATATTGATGCGTTGACGGCGAAGCGTGAGTCGTAGCCTGTCAGTGCTGGGGGAGAAGCGCTTGCTGACGAATTATTGCAGTCAAGCCGATTCCGAAGCTGAACACCAAGGCTGGTTACGTGCAGCTGGGTGTTGCGCCATATGCAGGTGCCCTGAACAGCACGTGGTGGGACAGGGATCTCGGCGTCGGTGGCCGCGTGCTCGTGAAGGAGTCGTCGGGCAAGATTGTGACCAAGCTCGTGAAGCTTGGCTGGCCCAGTAAGACTGTTCTGATTTTGTTCTGAAGGCGCACATACTAATGGTTCGAAGTTGCTCGCATTCCTACCCTTGCTCCCCATTTCGGCGCCGCCGCCAATGGCCCCTTCAACCCGGAGACGCAGATGGTCCCCATCATTGGTCTTGACAACAGCGACATCTCCGGTAGTTCAGAGGAGAACTGGAAGCCTTCTCTGCTTGGTGGCGAGGGTTCCTTCACTTCGACCCAGCCGCAGCGCCTTGTCAGGGCCATCTCGAAGGAGCTTGACATCGACCCCAGCACCATTGTCAATTGGGAGCTGGAGCTCTTCGACACCCAGCCTGCCACCGTTGGCGGTATCGACAAGGAGTTCATCTTCGCTGGCCGTGTCGACGACAAGCTGTGCTCTTGGTCTGCCATCCAGGCCCTGCTCAACAGCACCGACGCTAGCACCAGCGCCACAGCCGAGTCTTCGACTCTCAAGATCGTCGGACTCTTCGACAACGAGGAAATCGGCAGCTTGCTCCGCCAAGGCGCACGCTCGAACTTCCTGCCCACCGTCGTCGAGCGCATCATCGACTCCTTCGGCACCTCGACTCCGTCCCTGGTGTCACAGACGTTCGCCAAGTCGTTCCTTGTTTCGGCAGACGTGATCCACGCCGTGAACCCCAACTTCCTGAACGCGTACCTGGAGAACCACTCGCCGCGGCTGAACGTCGGGCTGGTCGTGTCGGCCGACTCGAACGGGCACATGACGACCGACGCCGTCAGCACGGCGCTCCTGCAGCGCTGCGCCGACAAGTGCGGCCAGAAGCTCCAGGTTTTCCAGATCCGCAACGACTCGCGCAGCGGTGGCACCGTGGGCCCGATGCTGAGCTCGGCTACGGGCATCAGGGCTATTGACGCCGGTATCCCACAGCTTAGCATGCACTCGATTAGGGCCACGACGGGCAGCCTCGACCCCGGCCTTGGCGTCTTGATCTTCCAGGGCTTTTTGGACCACTATGAGAGCGTTGACCGCGAGTTTGCTGAGTAGTTGCTTGTTGCGCTGTTGGGCTGTATAGTAATGGGTGCGTGTGGGTGTGGGGGGATTGTACCATTTTCAGGCGCTTTTTGGCTGGCGCAAATCATCATGGCATAGAGCTCGCGAAGAATATATATATGCGTAAGGTTCGTCACCGTGAAGTGAGGTTCATTGTGATGCGAGATGGTGATGCTTATACGGAGGAGAAGAGGCCTGGTTATGGTGTGTAAAGCCTCTATGCGCTCTAAGTCATTTTCACCTATACCCGGGACTCGGGCTAGGAGCTAGGCAAGAAGTACTCTATAGGTACTGCTTATATTGCCCTCTGTCTCGCTAGATGGTGAATCACGGATCGCGGTGAACTATAATCTTGTACCACTTTGAATCTTGTCGTACCTATCACTTCACCCATGTCGAACCCGGAGCACGGCGAAGGCGGACCTCCGAGCGATGAAGCACGGACCCCGAAATTTAGAGACAGAGCCAAGAGCGTGGAAGCTGCCGACTTCAGCGTCGCCTGCTAGTCCCGCTCCAGACAACTCCTCCCCGCCCGCAATGAGCTTGACACAAAGGACCTGTCGCGCGGCGCTCCGCCACTCTGCGCGGCGGGCTTTCTCCACCACCAATGTCTGCCAGCGGCAGCGTAAGACCAAACGGAATGCCTCGGCCAATGCGCCTTTGCTAACATTGACTACGCAGACTTGCCTGCCTTCAATGAGTCCTCGACGCCCGAGCTCGGCGCGCTCCTGGACCAGGCATCGAAGCGGATTTTCGCGCCGGCGCACCTCAACAAGGCGCAACAGGACCTCGTCTACAAAACCAAGATGCGGGGACGGTTGGAAGCGGACCCGCTGACCATGTCGATCGGCCAGCAAGAGATCACGCTGGAGCACATTAACCGGCATAAGGAGGTGCCGAACCGGTGGGGGGTGTTGAAGGGGGCGATGGCGCAGTCGAAAACGCGCGAGGACTGGGAGAACGTGGAAAAGCTGGTCGAGGCGTTCCACGGCGCCGACATGACGCTCAAGAGCGCGTGGCAGGAAAAGTTTGTGCGCAGCGCGTTCGACGCCGGGTTCGGGGACGTGGTGCTGCTGGCGCTGCGGAGCGTGAAAAAGTCAGGCCTCAGTCTGAAGGACCTCTATGTCACCCAGCGCGTCATGTGGGGCATTCATGAGAACGCGCAGACGGGCGAGTGGGCCGAGGAGCCCACGGCCAAGGCGCTCAAGTACGCAGAGCAGGTCGTCGACCTCATGGAGGCGAGCGGCCACTGTGGAGATGATTTTTGCACGGTCGACGACACCAGGACGCAGCCCTTTGTTGTTGCGCTGCCCTTGGAGATGGCTGCTGTGCTGGCGTTGAAGCACAACAACGGCAAGGACGTCGATGGCAAGGTCAAGCTGTACGCGGCGCGGCTGATGCACAACATGAAGCACTGGGGCACACCGGTACGTTTGCCCTGCCTACCCAGCTACCCACTGATCCGCTCCGTCGAGCGGCAGCAGCAACACCGCTAACACATACATCCTCCACAGCAAGAGTCATATGAACTCGAGGACTTCCACAAGCCGCCACCTTCCAAGAACGAGTCGGCCTCCGAGACGCGGAGCCGGAAATTGGGCGACGCCAACGACAAGATCTCGCGCATGCTGCCCATGTGGCACGCGCTGACGCTGGCGCGCAAGGTCCTGCAGCTCGAGATGCCGTTGATCGAGGACGCGGAGCGTATGTCGGACCGGCTGGAGGCTGACATCGAGGCCCGGATCCGCATGGTTGAGGCGAACCTTCTTCCTACCATTGATAAGGAGGAGTATTGGTCTATCAAGGCGTGGCGGTCTTGCGTTCGGTAGTGCCGTGCGCTGTATAGATAGGGGTGGGGAGCTGTGTGGAATCGAACGCAAGGCGTCGCGTTTATGCGCCGCGCTGAATGTAAAAATATTCTGTGCTTTTTGTCACTGTCTCTCCCCGTTATTGCCTACGCTCTGATAACCGCACCCCACATTGACATTGGTGCAGAGCCTCGAAATCGACAATGACGATTCCGGCAACGAGTACCTACCACACGCTACTCATCCCACTGAAGTCAAACCCCCATTTCCCAGTAAAAATCTCCCTACTACTAACTCCACGTATATATAACTGTGCAGCAGTTCGTAAACAGCCCAGGCAGTGCAGCATCCCAAGCCCCAACAGTAAATAACAACAACAACACAACACAAGACACATACTCAAGCTCCAACGACACCACACGACATGCCCACGCCACTACTTCTATTCCTATTTCTATTCCACTCCAACCCGAAAAGATAAAGCATGCAAACGCAGCCCGCAGGACGCTTACCCAGAGCTCTCACCCAGGCAAAGAGGCACGCACTGCACAAAAGCATCCTCGTACATACCTGCACGCGTACGTGAACAGAATCAGAACATGCAGCGAGATACGAAGACACTTGCAAGCTTCAACGGCTCTGCCCTCGCCCATATTATATTGTGCCAGAAAGGCACGATTGCGATTAACAAGCTAGCCAATGGGTGCAGTTTGCGCCGGGGCGAAAGCGTGCCGTTTGCCATGTGTACTACATAACTACGGCTTTCGGGCACGGGATATATATAACATGACATAACATGGCCCTCATGCCCGCTTGCCGCGCCCGCGAGCCGTGTGCCATGCATGCGGTACGGATAACGGATTATCTGGTGCCGCGAAAGGGGGGAGCAGCGGGAAAGGCGTCCAGCCGTTCGTCGGCTCGGCGTGCCTGGCTAGCGGGTGCTGTTTGTAGCTGTGCTTTTGCATGGATGGCTGGGCCGGCCTTGGAGGTGCGCGGTGGGTAGGGTGGTTAATTATGCCGAGCAGCGCTTTTGTGGCGGCCCGCCGAAGATTGCGAGCTGACTACCTACCTACCTATTTGCGGTCGTGTCTGAGAGCTGTAGGCACGAGTAGGCTGCGTGTGTGTGTGCGTGCATGCATGGTCTTGGCCAGTGACGTGACGTGACGAGTGCCGCGGCGGCTGGGGGAGCGAGCGAGGCTTGAGTGTCGATCTTGTGCTTGTTTTGCGGCTTGGGCCCCTGGTTCTACCACCATGTATTGTACTCGATACACTATAGAAACATAGGCCCCCAATATACAATAACGAGCGATGGTGGCACGATTGGGGGGGATGGGGTGCAGGGATGTGGGGGCGCGTGTATGTGCGTGTGGGGGGAGAGTGGGCGCGGGCGTGGGCGCGAAACGGTGAGGGCTGCGGACTGAGGGACTGCTGGATGGTGATAGGAGAGAATGTGGGATTTGTTTGGAGAGACTGTTTGTTGTTTGTTATTTGTTCTTCGATTCGAGTGTTGATGCGTGTGAATGGATATACAAAAGGAAACATGGACGCCCTCGCATAGCATGACGCCGCGCGTCTTGTAGCGATCAGCAGGTGGTGATGGACTTGTCGAGTTACTCTTTGAAGCGGTCGAGAATAAGGTTGAGAAATTGAGCGAGGAGGGTTTAGAGTATACCTGCGACGGGATGTGCGACCAGATCGGCTCCAGACGGCGCCGCTAAACCCCCTTGAAACGTCCCCAAGCACCTCCTCGTCGGTCGTCTTGCCCTTTGCGGCCGCGCATCGTCCCCTGCCCCACGACTGTATCTCCCTTTCCGTCGGATCCTGCGCTTCGTTTATGCCGTCGACGGCCACTCTGCGGCCCGCAGCCCGGCTGTTCATGCGGCTACTGGCGTGTTTCCGAACATCGCAGCCTTGACCCCGTTTGATGTTTCCCCCGCCAAGGGGGGAGGGTTAAAGGTACATAGGTAGGCGCATCCGTTTCTGCTTTTCCAGAGTCAAGCACACTTTCTCTCTTTTTACTTTCGTTCTTTTTCGTGCTTGCCTCACCATGCGTTACTTTGCTTCCCTTGTTGCAGCTGCGGCGCTGGCGCCTACGCTGGTCGTGGGCCAGCTCTCTGGCTCTGTCGGCCCTCTCTCTTCTGCCTCGGACAAGGCCGCCACCAAGACGTGCGACGTGACCAAGTACGGCGCCAAGGCGGACAAGACGACGGACATTGGCCCCGCGCTGGCGTCTGCCCACGCCGACTGCAGCGAGGCGGGCGGTGTCATCGTCGTCCCCGAGGGTGACTACGCCATCGAGACGTGGGTGAAGCTCAGCGGCGGCAAGGGCTGGGCGCTGCAGATCGACGGCACCATCTACCGCACCGGCACGGATGGCGGCAACATGATCTTCATCGAGCACACGAGCGACGTCGAGGTCTTCAGCAGCACGGGCGCCGGCGCCTTCCAGGGCAATGGCTACGAGTTCCACAAGGACGGCAACATCAAGGGCCCCCGTATCCTGCGCCTGTACGAGGTCACCGACTTCTCGGTCCACGATCTTGCTCTTGTCGACTCCCCCGCCTTCCACTTCTCCATGGACACGTGCGAGAACGGCGAGGTTTACAACATGGCCATCCGCGGTGCTGAGATGGGCGGTCTGGACGGCATTGACGTCTGGAGCAACAACATCTGGGTCCACGACGTCATGGTCACCAACAAGGACGAGTGCGTCACGGTCAAGGTAAGAACATAGGTACACATTTATTATATAAGTGACGGATCAGCTGACACCCCCGCGCAGAGCCCCTCGAAGAACATCCTCGTTGAGAACATCTACTGCAACTGGAGCGGTGGCTGCGCCTTCGGCTCGCTGGCCGAGGACACGGACATCTCGGACGTCGTGTACCGCAACATCTACACGTACAAGTCGAACCAGATGATGATGATCAAGTCGTACGGCGGCAGCGGATCGGTCTCGAACGTGCTGTTCGAGAACTTCATCGGCCGTTCCAACTCGTACTCGCTGGACATCGACCAGTACTGGTCGTCGATGAGCGAGGCGGAAGGCGAGGGCGTGCAGCTCAACAACATCACGTTCAAGGGGTGGCGCGGAACCGAGGCCGACGGCCACTCCCGCGGCCCCGTCAAGGTCCTCTGCGCCGACGGCGCGCCCTGCACCGACATCACCATCACCGACTTCCAGATGTGGACCGAGTCGGGCGACGAGCAGACGTACTCGTGCCAGAGCGCGTACGGCAGCGGCTTCTGCCTCAAGGAAGCGTCCGGCTCCGACGCCGCCGCCTACTCCGCCACCACCTCCGTCGCCAAGTCCGCCCCGACGGGCTACAAGGCCGACACCATGCCTGACGACCTGGACGAGTCGTTCGGCTCCACCGCCTCCATCCCCATCCCCGAGATGCCGGCGTCCTTCTTCCCGGGCGTCGCGCCCATCAGCGCCCTCGCTGCCGGTGGTGGCGCCAGTGCCGCGACCCCCACCCCCGTCGCCGCTGTCGCTGCTGTTGTCAAGGTCTCCGCCTCCTCGGAGCCGGCCGCTTGGACCCCGTCTGTCGCCGCCCCGACCGCTGCTGCTACGACTGCTGCTGCTACGGCCGCAGCGGAGTCCCTCGATAAGGGCTCAGTGGACTCCGCGCTCGGCCAGCTCAAGCGCTACGAGCAGTGCGGTGGCTCCGGCTGGAAGGGCGCCGGCAAGTGCGCGAGTGGCACTAAGTGCCAGGAGCAGAACTCGTGGTACCACCAGTGCATCTAGATGCTGCGTGCGTGTGTGAGGGTGTGTGAATGGCTGCGCAGTGTGCCTGGGTTTTTTTATTGGGATATACTGTAGATATTTAGTACTGTTGATAAAATGTGTATAACTAGCATTGCTTTGCTGTCTGTATTTTTGAAAATTGAAATGCTGTGTGGTTTGCGTGCTGTGTGAGATGATACATGGGCACCTATTGTTACACAGAGAGGCATGCCCTTTCCTTTCAAAGAAAACCCCCCAGCGAAAGCTGCGCGGACGCTCTGACGCACTGTACTGTATTAGACAAGACGTACGGCACAGCCTATCCTAAGGCAGGACCAAGACCGGCGGACGGACAGTGGACTTGCGCATGCTGTTAGTGTTAGCTCCATCGTGCCGTGCAGTGTTCCAGGCTCAAACCTAACACTACCATCCAAGCACTCGAAGCCTGCCTAGGTAAATACCTTACCTACTTACTATTCACGGTTTCTCATAAAACCACCTCACGCCACCCTACCCTTCTTCTCTGCCGTCTCTGTAGCGGCGACGAAGCGCATGCGTATTAATGTTGGGAGTGGGATAGGGCGTGCCGTGCTCGGCGAATACTGCGGCGGGCCGGCGGCTTTTCGAGGTAGGGTGCTGATTGTTGATGGGATTGTATGTAGCGTGGTGTAGGGGGGATTGCCTAGCTTGTTTGGCTGCTGGCGTGTGGCGTAGTGATACTAATAGGCTGGTTACGAATAAGCGAGGGAGGGAGGAAGTGCGAGAGTGGGTGCTAGGGGTAGGTGGGAGGTGCGTTGCTGAAGGTAGGTGTTAGAGTCAGTACCGTTTACCTGCAGCTTAAGCCCGCACATGCACACCGCACAGCTCCTAACTACTGAGATATGAAGATGGGACTCGCGCTGGCGTTGTCTTGGGCGCTAAGCGCGAGAGCGTGAAGCCCGAGAGCGTGGTGTGTAAGAGTGTAGAGAAGATATCTACTATGTCGTAACTTATAAAACTAAGGTACCGGATAATTTACCTATCCCTTTCTAGATATTTTACCTACCCCTCGACTATATATTAAGTAAAATCTACGATACCTATAGAGTACTCCTTAGGAACGTATAGTAGACTATTATACTACGGCTAGTATATACTATATAACTACGTAAAAGTAAAAATATATAAGGTATAATTATACTTAAAAGGGTATAATAGTAAAGATATATACGAGTCCTAAGGTATACTCTAAAGATATAAAGGTAGAGGTATATACAAGCCCTAGAGTATACTCTAAGGGTATAAAAATAAAATATTAAAAAGGTTTAAAGGTACTTATAAGGGTATAGAGACGGAAAATTTCATAGAGTAGAAAACAAATTATATAATTCTATAGATGCTATTACGTAAGGTGGGCAAAATATCTAGAAGGGGTGGGCAAATCATCCGGTGCTAAAACCAAGCGTGCTTGTTAGCGGAACGTCTAGTGAAGTAGCGCGGTTAGAAGCTGCTTTATGTTCGAATTCCGTTACTAAGGGCGGGCTACCTAGTAAGCTGCCTATTTAAGTAGTAGAAGTAAAAGCTTGGTCCGAACTGGGGTTTCTCTTTGGGTTGGTGGTTGGTGGTTGGGGGTTGTGACTGTAGCGTGCTGTGGTTGATGTTGTCCTGGAAGGGGGTTTTTGTTTTGTGCGCTTGTGCATGTGTGTGTGTTGGTGTAGTTTCTGAAGACACGTCTTGGGGTCCGCTTCGGGTATTGATTAAGGTTATATTAAAGCTTAATGCCTTCGTTGTTATGTCAGTTACTTGAAGGGCAGCTACCTAAAACATTACTCTCCACCCTCCGACACAACCTGATATCAGCTACAACAGCTTCCGCTCATGCTCATGGAGTAGCACTAGACAATAACAGCGCCGCTTGAGAATATCGCTTCCTTGGTCATCGCTTTATAGCCGCCGGGCAGTGAAGTGAACGAAACAGGTTGCAAAGACGTCACTTCAGCCCAGCAAGCACCGGATCCTCAATACGACATACATACAGTCCACGACCTTGCCGTTACAGCGACCGCGCCGTCAAACCCAACTACACCAACCTCACTCTCAACGCCCACAACAACCAACCACCAACCCACGCCCACAATGTCACCCCAACCACAACCACCACAGCCAACATACCCCTCGCTCCCCGACCTCCCCTGGCCCCCAAAACCTCTCATCATCCTCCTCGTCCTCCTCGGCGCCCTCCTCGCCTCCGCCGCACTAATTGTCTACCTCATGCACGTCCCGCCCCCGCCCTTCAGCCACACTATCGCTGGGCGCGCTTGGAAGGGCTTTGTACGGTGCTACTACCGCTACTACCACAACAACAACTACTACTACTACCACGACATTAACTACTACGGCAACGGCGACGCCGACGAAAGTGCTGACGCCGACACCGTGGAACTAGCGCGCTTGCGCCCCGGTGTGGAGGGGGGACGCACCACGGCGCTGAGCTCGCCGTTCTTGGACAGCGCGGTAGCGTCGCCGGTGCTGCGTGGGCGTGGGGGTGGGGTGTCTACGCCTGCGACGGCATGCGAGGCTGGCATTGCGGCGTGGGATACTGGCATCGACACTCGCACCGGCAGTGACTTCGACACCAACTCCGACGCCGGCGCGCGCTTCAACTTCAGCTTCCGACGCGGGCCCAGGGACGCCGGCGCGTACACGGCCGTGCATGCCACTGGAGAGGACGACGACAGTACGTCCGACCACGACCGAGAGCAACACCAAGAACTCCCGCCCTGGCTCGCACGCATAGCGCGCGCCATGGACCGTGCAGCTGAGGAACTCGCGCGCCTGACGCAGGGGGATGGCGGAGAGGGGGAGCTGGTCATGAGGGTTACGGCGGAGGAGAGGGGGGGTGGGGTTGAGTAGGTGGTGAGGTTGTGTGGATGGGATGGGGATGGAGGTGGGGGTTTGTTTTTTCGGGCACAGTTGGGGCGGCCCGTTTTTTGTATCTTTTTTATTTTTGTTTTTGTTTTGGCGGAGGGGTTTGGGGTTCCGTACAGCGTGGGAGTGGAGTCCGCGACGTGATGAGGCGACAAAGCGCGCGATTGAGCTGCGGCCACGATCGGTGGCGGGAGGACAGAGTCACAAAAGATCGGTGGCGGCGGAGGAGGTAGGGCACGCCGTGTCCTGAGCGGGAGGAAAGTACATACATACATACACAAACGATCCTCGGTGTGGATAGGACAGGACAGGATAGCCTGGGGCATCACAGGCACGTCGCCGCTCTACGGCATGCGCGCATAGGTGTCAGCCTTAGCCGCAGGGCCGTGGAGCCGACGCTGGCAGTGCGACGGGCGGAGGAGGGTAGATAACTAGGTAATGCGGAGGCTGGCTGGATGGAAATAGATGCGTGGGGGAGGGCTGGGCCTAGGAGTATGTAATATCTTAGAAAGCACTAAGCAGCCACCCGTCGGACGGAGCGATGGCGATTAGCTTTTTGGGTTGCTGGGTTGGGCTGGGTCCCGGTGGAGTGGTAGAATTGTGTTTGTAGGGGGGTTGCTTGCTCTTGCGTGCCTTTGGGTGCGTACCTAGTGGTTGTCCAAAGAGTGCGTGGTGGGTACGGTAGACTTGACTGCACAGGCGGTCACGGAGAGGGGGAAACAGATAAGAGCGTGTGCAGACTGTACGGAGACAAAAACCATCGCGCCCGCTGAAGAAGAGGATGCACGAACCGACAATTGTTGTTCCTATTTCCATCCGATGCAGCATCGCCGGCGTAGAAAGTTTGTTTTTCGAATCTTCAGCGAAGTACAAGTACATGGACTGAAAGCGTGGCGGATGACGGTGGCTTGATCGGCTGGCTGGGGCTGAGGTGAGTGAGTGGTGGCGTGGCGTGGAGGTGGAGGATCGACGACGAGTCACTGGTGCTGCGGGGGGAAGGCGAAACTGTGCGACGCTGAGATATATTTATGCCTTCACGTGGACGTGGTTCCCATGACTTTGAGACCATCTGCTGACTGTTCCCACCGCTGGTGCCAAGGTTGATGGAGTGGTGATGTGGGTAGGTGGTATTCTACCTCGTTACAAGAGACACAAGCACGACGGGACAAACGGATTCAGACGGAGATGAAGGGTGGGTTGTTGTGTGTCCACCACGGCCGAGCGGACCGGACGCCGAGTCGCGCCTCCGAGCTGGATGTTCCGCTCTTGGCGTCGACGACGACATGTCCTCATTCCTCAACGCAAACGACTCCGCCTCCCGTCGTACACGCATACGCGCCTTGCTGACCCGCAGCGCCTTGCAGGGTTGTACCGCACCACCATCCCGACCTCATGCATATTGCCTTGAGTTTATGCTGCCGCCAGGCCCAGTCATTCCCTGCCACTGCCAGCCTTCTGTGTCGGCGAAGCACTGTCATACCAGTCGTATCCCATCCCTGCTCCGCCTGAAACAAGACTTGCAGTTGTCCACGGTACCTGTTCATTGTTGCTTTTGCTATTTCGTTTTAGCATGCCATTCTCCCCCATTGTGCATCACCACTTTTTTTGTTTTCCCCTCCGCGCCATGCTTTGCCGCCGGACTGTCTCTCTTTCGAGCACATACTACGTCCATGTCTCTGCGAATCGGGCGGTGCGTCCACATGGCCAGGCACCGGCGTCGACGATACCTAGTCACTGAACACGGTTCCTAGCCGCTCGGCCGATTCCGTCGGACGTGCTTGGATTAACCTACCGTTAAGCGCCTCCTAAGCGTGCATTGCCACAATCTTGATCTATGACCGGCTCTTTCTCTTGCTGGCGCGGAGGCTCATGCTGCCGACTTGTCGATGGTACTACTGCATCATCGCCGTGGCAATCAGGCCTGTGACCCTGCCCGACTTTTATAATGCGTTCGCGCCCACGTTGCTGAGGTGAAGTCAAGTCAGATGCACACTTTCACTTGGCCGCGCTTAAAGAAAGACTTGACACCCGCTTCTCTCGACACTTTTTTCCTCTCTTAAATTTTCCTTTCCCTTTCTACTGACACCATACCATTCTAATGTTTTGGTTACCGCTCTTCCTGGGCCTTTCGGGGCCGGCGCTCGCAAAGACCGTGAGTCTGGACTGGGAAATTGGCTGGGTCACGGCAGCTCCGGACGGCTACACGCGTCCTGTCATCGGCATCAACGGCGAATGGCCTCCGCCGGTGCTGGAGGCGGATGTCGGCGACACCATCACCGTCAACGTCAAGAACGCGCTGGGCAACGAGACGACGGGGATCCACTGGCATGGCATGTGGATGCGCGGGCAGAACGAACAGGACGGCGCAAACGGCGTCACGCAGTGCTCGATTCCTCCGGGCGACAGCCTGACCTACTCGTTCACCGCTTACCCGGCCGGCACCTTCTGGTACCATAGCCATGAAAAGGGCCAGTACCCAGACGGGATCCGCGCGCCCATGATCATCCACGACACGGAATCCAATTCCACGGACGGAGGTTTCGACTGCGAGGAGGAACATATCCTAACCGTTTCGGACTGGTAAAACGGGAACATGCTCCGACCGATCAGATTTGGGCATCGCTGACATGCAGCAAGGTACCACGAGGAGATGCCCATTCTGGCTAGCCAGTACCTGGATCCCTCCAACGTCGACGGCATCATGCCCAACCCAGACACGAGCCTGCTCAACGATGGCCAGCCCGCCGAATACAGCATCAGGCCCGGGCAGCAGCTGCTCTTCCGCATCATCAACCTGTCGGCCCTCGCCAACTACTTTATTGAGTTTGGTGCGTAGTGCGCACATGACATCAGACGGGCAAGGCTGACGAGGACAGAGGGTCACGACATGACCGTTGTGGAAGTCGACAGCGTTCCAGGTAAGCACCTTGTCGATTGTTGCCGTCCCCAGCCGCGACGCGCACCGCATCCGTGCCTGGTCCATCCCCTTTGGGCAAACCCGATCAAACGGGTTCGTCGTTGTTGCGCCCATGTTCCACCGTCTCGCCAATCACGCCGCCCAGTCTTCTGACTGTCACTGACTACTGACCGACCGTCACGACCGACTGACACTTACTGACCGTCGCACAGTGAACCCGCAAACACTGCAGACGCTGACCATCACGCCGGGGCAGCGCTACAATATCGTGATCACGGGGCTAGCCAACGCGTCGCGCAATTACGCCTTCACAACCAAGATGGACGTGCTAGGCTACGAGAACCACGGGATCCTGCGCTACAGCGACGCCTGGGCGGACCCGGCGCCCCACAGCATCGACACGTACAACCGCGGCGAAGAACAACAATTCATCCCCGCGGACGGCGAACCCCTCCTCGGCCCCGTCGCGCAGACCATCACCCTCGACGTCAACAACGTCTACATTGCCAACGTCGGCCACCGCATCACCCTCGGCAGCGAGCCGTACATCGGCCCGCCCGTGCCCTCGCTGTACACGGCGCTGACGACGGGCGCCGCGGCCGCCGATCCCGCGCTCTATGGCCAGGTCAACGCGTTCGTCCTCCAGGCCGGCGACGTCGTAGAGGTTATCGTCAATTCCCGCGATGGCGACGGCGCCCATGGCCACCCGATGCATCTGCATGGCCATGTCTTCCAGGTCCTGATGACCGAGGACACGGCCTATAATGGCAGCAAGGCTTTCGCGACTGTCCCCATGAAGCGCGATACTGTCAATACCGTCCCCGGAGGTAGCCTGGTCATCCGCTTCCGCGCCGACAACCCGGGCGTCTGGCTCTGTGAGTCCCCCATCCCATCATTCCCATTCCTCCCACCATCCCTTCACTAACACCAAAAGTCCACTGCCACCTCGAATGGCACCTCCTCGCCGGCATGTCGGCGACGTTCATCGAAGCCCCCGACAAGATCCAGCAGACCATCTCGGTCCCACAGGCGCATCGCGATCTCTGCAAACGGCAGAACAAGCCCACGGAGGGGAATTGCGCCGGCTGTACAAGAAATACGACGGATACGGCGTGCTGTCGGGTTTATGAGCGGGATCCGAAGGGGTGAGTTGTGTGTGTGTGCTGTGTTGTGTTGTGTTTGTGGGAGGGGGGAGGGGATGGTGGAGGGGTGGTTGTTGTTGTTGGCCAGGGAAAGGAGGGCTGTGCTGTGCTGATTTACGTTGCATTACACTGCACTGGATGACGCTGACTCCATGGTGTCGCGGTAGGGCGCTCGTCGACCCCAACAAGCCGGATGCGCGGTGCTGGCGCGGGCCCTCAGGGAAGCCGGGCAAGGGCGGTAGTGGCAGTGAGGCAAGGAGGAGCGTGAGGGGCTAGAAGGAGTTAGGCGGTGGGTGCGCAGCGCGCTGTGCTGTGCTGGTAGCAGAGTGCGGGGGTTGGGGGTTGGGGCTGAGGGTTGAGGACGGGGCGAGGTAATGCGCGGAGGATGAGGGGCATACATGTAGACGCGGCGTTTTTATTTTTTTGTTTTTTCGGGATGCGCGTACTGCGTGCTGGCTTGCGGCTGAAAATCCTATGTTTGCGTTTGCGTTTGCGCGCTTGCTCTAGAGGGCTTTTTTCTTTTTCTTTTTTGCTTTTGCCTTACTTTATTTCTTCACCTCTTCACTTCTTTGCGTCTTCATTGCTAGGCATGGCTACTACAACGACGACGACAATGACGACTAGTCTTTAGCATTCGGCAGAAGTAGGGGGTAGGGGTAATTAGCTCGTTTAGGCAGCTTAATGCACGTTCTTTATTCGGCTGTAGAGAGTATTTACTATAGTCTACCTTTTGTGCTTGGTTTTTATTACTATTAATTAATACTAGAGGACTCTTAAAGCGTGCGTCCGTACTATTATATACTTTCATTTAATATACTTATTTACGAGTTAGGCTGTTGCGTATACTGCGTAATAGTTTATAGGGGAGGTAGTTACCTACCTAGATAGCTAAACGTACTTATATATATCCTATACGTATAGGTCTATATATAGCCTTAACCTCACACCGTCTTCACGCGTACCGCATACTAAACTCTACAGAAAGCACTTCTACCTATCCCGCTCATAAACATCTACGTACCACCGCAGCCACACCAGCACCCCTCCCGCCCCTTACCACCTCACCACGGCAACAACGCCTCTAGCTATAGCTAGTTGCGGCAAGCACGCCTCGCTCATAACAGCGGACGGAAGGCTACTTGCATACATATACGCAGTACATATATACACGTGCGCACGAGGGAGCGAAGAAGTTACACTAGTAAGGCGTGCGGAGCGAGATCTAACCACGACTAAGCCTCGGATGAGGTCGAGGGCTTTGTTTCGTCCCTCCTATGGTAGACGGTACTGCGTGGAAGCGGAAGCGTGTCTTGTCGTTTTAACTTTGGATGTTTTAGATACTATACGCGTACCTATATGCTCCTGTAAGTAGTTGTGAGCGCTCCCTATAGATCACTCCTTATATAGACGTAGAGCTAGAATTCGTAGCTAAATACATCGTTCATGGGGGTACGCGCATTGTAGCAGCATCTTTCCCCCTCCGACCATCGTAGTACCGGTAACGGGTAGCTGCAGCGCGGGCAGAGAGACAACGGACACAAACACAAACAGACAGAGAAAAAGGACGTAAAAAGACATGAAGACGAACCAACTGCAAATCCAGTCATTACAACACAGGCTATCCCTTCCTTCCCCCCCTCCAGCCGCCCAAACCGCGCCGTTCATGCACATCGCACATCGCGCATCGCTCACCGCACACAGCAGCAGCACCGCAGCGCACCACCCCTCATCCCGCACGAAGCAGCGAAGCGGCGACACCGCAACCGACCTCGGGCCCGGCCTCAGACTAGACTCAGACTCACTCAGACTCAAGCTCAATCTCGGGCTCGGGCGCGGGCCTTACTGACACTATGACCCGTCCATTGCCCCAAACCATAGTTACTTACTTGTGTCTACCGCTCGTGTGCTCCGAATAGTAACAGTACGTACGAGCATGCGCTACCTACAGACGTGCCGCGCGTCGGGACGGCAACGGCGCGCTTCTCGGGCGGGTTCAGTTCAGTTCGTGCGCTTCGTGCATGCGGAGGGGATGGTTGGTTGCATAACGCAGCGCGCGTCTGCCCGTCCGCTCGCTCGCTTTCGCCGACCGCCGACTGTGCAGGCGGGACGTCGTTATGGCGACTCTGCTGTGGATTACATAGTCATGGATAGATAACTATGAACTGGGTTAGGTTGGGCTGTTGGGTGAGATAACTCACATCCATCTCGACCTTTTTCTCTCACTACCACTGCTACTGCTCCACTCTCACTCTCGTTGCCTTTCATGTCACTTGTCACTCACTTCTCACTTCTCACTTCTCACTTCTCACATCACATCGCAACCCCAACCCCAAAGTCCCCACTTCACTCCCCACAGCACCCCCAACACCCCCACCCCACCCCGGCCGAGCCGCACAAACCCCAGACACAACCCCCGCCGCGCACAAATCCGATCGTAGTAATTGCACCTAGCACAAACACGTCCACAACACAGCACACATCCCTCGCGTCGTCGTCGTCGTCGTCGTCGTCGTCGTCGTCGACGCCGTGTCACATCACCACCACCACGATCGATGACCCCTGTCCATGCCATTGCCCTGTCGGCCCCACGCACGCACGTACGGTATGCGTTCGTGTATGTATGTACTGTATGTTTGCTTTTCCCCCTTTGTCTCTTGCCTCGCGTGAGTCTGAGTGCTCGCGTGAGTGTGCTTGCTTGCTTGCTTGCTTGCTTGCTTAACGCCTCTTCTCATCTCCGCCATGCGTGCGTGCAATCTTCTCATCTCCGCCATGCATGGCGGGCTGCGCGCAGCCGAGTCGACGGCGTCATGACAGCGCGGGTGTGCGCCCGGGGCGCGCGGACGCCGACGAAGCCACTTCGCTTAGGAGTATTGCTGGGTATACGTAGGTAGGTACGAGGAGTGGACGGGAAGATGGCGGGGGTGTCGGGCCTGCGTGTAGGTTTGCCTTCCGAGACATAGGTGGCGGGGCGTGTGCGCCCGCGCGTGTGCGGACGCGACGTGATGCGATGAGATTGATGTGCGCGACCAGAGAAGCAGGAACAGCAAGCAGGCAGGTACGCCGTAGGAGCAGGGACGATGATAGATGGATGCTACGATGCTAGGTAGGTACAGTAGGTAGGAAGAAGAGAGGAGTCGGATAGTTTTTGGTCTACGGGCTGTCGAGAATGGAGAGTGGAACGTCTGCTACTGCTACTGCTGCAGCAAACAGGAGCTTTTCCTCCCCCACCACCCCCCCACTAGCAAAGAACCTTGGTATCCAATATCAAAAGCGCGCTTCCTTTCATCTCATCGAGAAAGAACCCGAAAACCATCCAAGCCTGCCTACTCGTGTCACCACCACCACCACCACCACCACCACCAAGCCAATGCCAACACCCAACTAACCCCCTTCTCAAACCCCCCATCAATCTAACCCATCGCCTGCCCTCAAAACTTGCGGGGCCGAGTTATCGGCGGCGGCGGGAACTCACCATAGGACCAAACCACTCCTCTAGGTTTGCGATTCGTCTCGAGTCTCCTGCCCAACGAATCCGAAATCACGGGGCGCACCACCAGCTCGTCGGCACCGGGCGGAGGCGCGAGGTTGGGGTCGGGTATGCTCCCCGAGTCGACAAAGTCCATGTCGTCCACGCCGTTGAAGTCGACGAGCGAGTCGAAGCTCGGCTTTTCGCTCGGGGGTGTTCGTATTCTTGGACCGGTGGGTTTGCCTGGCAGTTTGCGTGCCCGGTGAGCTATGGGGTTCGTGTGCTTGGACACGAACTCGAAGAGGTCAATGTGGCACAGATTCGCTACGCTCTCCAGTGTTTTCGTGCCGGGAATCTTCAACATCTCAGAACGTGCCTTGGGCTTGCGTTCTGCAATCGCGAGAAGCGTGCTGTCCGAGGCAACCACGTTCGGCGCCAGTTTGCTCAACATCGAGATACGATTGCGTAGGCCATGCAGAGCGTTGAGGAAAGGGCTTCGGTTTCCAGAGGACCCGCCACCAAGAAGTTCATCGAGTGGTGGCAAAGGTGTGTCATTTGACTGGGGTGTCGCCTCGTCAGTGCCCACATTGGCTCCAGCAGGGTCCACGTCGGGCATTGGCATGCACTCCGCAGCCTTCTCGCGGATGAGGCTGTAAAAGCCCCTTTCGTCGAGAACGGGAAGGTTGTAGGTAGCAATGGTCTCCAGCTTTCGCTCCGAGACGTCTTGGCCAGTGACCACATAAGTCGTAGTTTCGTCTGGTTCTGTCATGACCTCTCCACCGCACGCCCGGACCAATTCTTCTGCCTCGTCCCGACTGATGGCCTCGAGTATCCCGGTGAAGAGAAACTTCATGTCACAAAGCGCTTCCTCCGCTCCGGGTGGCAAGGTCTTGACTGTCAATGCTTCGCTGTCGAAGGAACGTACTGTTTCCAGCCATCCTTTGCCGTACCGCTCAATTTGACCTCCACTCATGCCATAGATGGTAAATAGTTCTTCGGTAGTCTTAGGTCGGCTGGATGCAATGGTTCGTAGCGTTATGTCGGTCGCAATCATCCATGCCGGCCTATTGTCGTGACGGTAGAAAAGCCGACGGCGCGCTTTCAGAGCCTCGAAAAGAAGTGAATCTTCACGGTTAAGCTCACCTGCACACTTCACGGCAGCCTTTGCGGATTCTTTTTCTCGCTTTTTCGCTCTTTTCTCGATTTCCTTGTCCTCCTCGGCTCCCAAACTTGGTGTGCTGCCTGGGTACGCGGCCCGAACGGGCATGTTGAGTTCTGCAAAAGGAGGATGCGGTGCCGGCGGGTCCATTGCGATCCTTTTGTTGTTCAGAACCTGATAAAGCACGAAGCTCGCATAGGCGTCAGCAGCAGCATAATCTATCTGCGACTGGTTCAGCGACCTGGTCCAGTCGCTCGTCCGAACATCGCCCTTGTGTAAAGGCCATCCCAAATGCATCTCTGTGAGCTCCGCAAGAGCTACTGCAGCTTTTCTAACCGTGCCATTGGGCAATCGCTTGCCCTCAACCAAATTGTGTAGATGGCTGGCTTCAACAAATCCTTGGGGCCTCAGGAGAAAAAACTTTCTCAGTCGTAGACCGTCCGCACGCCAAACCATCACTCCGGTCTTTATGATTTTGGGTGACTCAATTAGTTTTTTCAGCGAGGGTGCTATGATGTCTCGAACAGTATTCCCCTTGTGACGGGCGACATGGAACAGAGCGACCCGATCACCAGTAGCGACTTGAATAAGAGAGACGTTCTCCTTGAGAGTATATGCGTCTTGCGCCTTCCATTCCATGTCGAAGCCCACAACTTTTTCGCCCAAGAACTCTTTAGCAACGCTCTCAGACTCTTCGAGGGTGCGGCAGTAGTCGACCTTGATACTCTGACCTTCAGGTCCGCGGAACAATGTGTGGCTGAAAAAGGTCGGAGGAGGCGGCTCAGTCCTGATCTCATTCGAGGGCAGATCGGGATATGGTGATGTGGGGGGAATGGTGTAGGTGAACTCGTATGGGTCCTCGACTGGCGGTTCCACGACTGCCGTCTCTACTGCTTCTGTGAGCTCGCCAGCCTCGGGCTCAGCCTGAACTTCAACCATTCCTGCGTCTGCGGGTTCTAGTGAGATTTCGGCGCCCGACCCGTCGTGGTCATGTTGTCCCAGTTCCTGACGACCGAACTCGGTGCTTTCGGGCGCGACATGGTCGGCAAGGATGGACTCGTCAGCGGGCATGCCGTTGTCGAAGTTGCGATCGTTCTCGAAGGTGCGCAAGGCGGGCTGAGGGTGAAAGGCGCGGAAGAGGGCGGGCGTATAGGTAGTGGCGCGGTACGACATACTGGCGCGTGGGAGAGGACATGTGTAGAGTCGCGCTCTGAGCGTGGCATGCAATCCACGGACGTGTACCGGCCTCATAGTCTTGGAGAGTGTGGTGGCTACCTAGAAGCCAGCCATACCAGATGCGGCGTCGCAATGAAGTGTCAGAGAGTAGCGCAGGAAGCGAGACGCCAGGGCGCGTCGCGCCTTCACGTGTAGGGGTCTGTGCGACGAGTGTGTAGGTATGTGCGAGTCTACCACCGTCGAGGAGTGAGTGGTTATAGTATTGAGTTTTGCATCTATTTAAATCGTCGTAGTTTGGAGCTTGCGAATCTGTTTGAAATACACGTGTCGTGTTTGTCTGTCAGTGTGCCAGCCCAGTCACCAGTGTGCCGCGATCCAGCTGCCGCGCTCGGTCCATCACGTGCCCAAAGCTCCATCTGTCAAGGTCCCCACCATTGACTGCTCTTCCATCTTCCATCCGTCTCTCCACTCTCTCCACTACCTGGACATGTTAGCATAATGGACGACCCAAAGTCTCCCAAAGACAACTCCAACGCACCCGACCGCTCTCAGAAGCCCGACGACCCCAGCCGCTTCGATCCCTTCGTCGCTTTCCGTCGCTACGCCGATGACCAAGTTTCCGCACTCGTGAACACCCTGGTCGGCCTGCCCGCCACCTTCCGTGACCACGCTCCCGCTGCCGCAAATGATGACAAGGAGGTCGCAAGTGGCAGCGTAGATGTCTGGTCCAAGGAGTGGTCCACCTCTAAGCGGGACGGTGACAACGATGACGAAAAAGACGTCGCCCGCACGCCGAAATGGTCCAAGAGCTGGTCTTTCGGCGGAAAGAAGGTAGAGCCCGAGGTCATCGAGGACAAGGATGGGAACAAGACCTACCACTGGTCTGGATCCTGGAGCTGGCCGCCAAAAGACGACGACAGGAAGGCGCAGGAAGATGCGGACAAAGAAGACGCTCGGCAGCGGGATGCTCTTCAGGAAGCCAGACGTCGCGCAGATGAGGAGCTGGAGCAAATGTCCGAGCTTTTCAAGTCATGGTTTGGTCCAGACAACCCCGAAGAAGAGAAGCGGCCGTCCCGCGGGCGGAACCTGCTGGACTGGATCTGGCCCGATAACAATGAGAGCGACAGCCCACACCGGAAGCAGGACATAGTGCAAGACATGGAAGACCGGATTAAGCAGCTGGAGAGTGAGTTCCGCGGCGTCCACAACAGTTTCTGGGGACCCCGCCGCGGCGACGGCAAAGAGAATGACCAGGATCGGGAAACCGATTCGTTCCCTTGGGATGCTTTCCGCCATCCTTTTACCTCGTTATCACGTCTCCACTCTGCGCTTCCACCCAACCAGGTCGAGGACAGGCTCTTATGGCTCCATTCACACCCCTACTCTCCGGTGAGGCTGGAAGCCGAAGCCGAAGAGCAGGGCGTTGATAGCCCAGCGTACATTGACGCCTTCAACGACCTGATGGCCGTCACCCAGGGCCGGCGGCCGATGGGCTGGCACTCCATGTGGGTTTCCCCCGGCTTCTCCTTCGCGAGGAACGCTTACGTCTACGCTCATCTCTATGATACCCACCCCTGGACCAGAGAATTCTGGCAGAACGTTGAGGAGGGTGGTGAATGGCACGTCCCCAAAAAGCAGTTGAAAATCGAAGACAACAGCAACAGCAACCAGACCGAGCATCGCTACCCTGGCGTCCGCGAATCCGACTACCCGACATCTTCGCGCGGAAACGGCTCCTCCTCTTCGACCAACGCACAGGACCGCGCCGCGAGCGACGATGCTCCGCAGACCGAGCTAGACATGTACGAGCGCTTCCTCGACTCCCCCAACACGCACCCCCCACAAGCGCCCAGCGGTGGTGATGCGCCACCATCAACCCCTCCGTCCTCGACGCCACAGCAGCAACAGCCTGCCTCGACCAACACCGGCATCGTCAACCCCGCCAACTCGCGCATCCTGTCCACGCTCACCACAACCGAGCGCAACACCGCCCCCGACGGCACCGTGACGACGCGCGTGGTGCTGAAGAAGCGCTTCGCCGACGGCCGCGAAGAGTGCTCCGAGACGGTCAACACGGCCAGGGGCGACGGCTCGGGCTCTCTCGGCGGTGGAGGCGGCGAGAATAACAACGGCAGTGGCAGTGCTGCTGTCGCGGACTATGATGGTGAGCGTGCTGCGCAGAATGGCAGCCGTGGCGGCTGGTTCTGGTCGCGTTGACCGGGCTGGGCTGAACGGCTTGGGGAAGGTCGGTGTGGGTTCTAGGCGCTTTTCTTTTTTTTTTTTTTTAAAGTGGGCTTTGCTTTTGGGAAAGTGGCGCTTTAGGTATACCATTCTCTCTTCTCTCCTCCTCCTCGTGGTGGCGTTTCCCTGGCTTGTTTCCTTCGTTGGTTAAACCACTATTACCTACTTACCTACCTACCTACTTGCCTACCTACGTGTGTTTAAGCTCCGCTCTCTGCTCCGGCTGTCGTGTTTGTAGCTCGCAATACAGATTGGTATTTCTGGTTTGCTTGTGCTCTTTTTAGTGAGGTGGTGTGGCACATATCTACGTTTGCGTACGTGGATATGTATGTATGGGTGCGAACGGCTTGCGGATACTGGTGCTGTGTGGAGTATGCGGGGACGTGAAGCGCACCGGGCGAGAATACTTGGTTGCTTCCATGGGGATAGGGCCGGATGCAACACGTCCATACAGAGACAAATGTTTCATTCTAGTACTATACAATTACTCAAGGTCGTATCACCGTGCAAGGGTAGGGAATGGGAGGAAGGCAGCGGAGGCGAGGAACGTGGCAGTGGAGAAGCGGAAGGAGAAGCGGTGGAATCGACAGCGTCGAAAATATGAAAGACGAAACTTTCTTTTTCTTAGGCAATGTAGTATAGCAGTCAATTTATGTACTGTATCTGTTTTCCAGTCTTATATCAAGGTTCTTTGTAGACACTGATATGTTCTTATGCTGTTGTAGGACGTCGATTCGGGTGGGTTTAAATAGGTCTATAGCTGGATAAGGATAAATAGTTAAGAGTTTAGCTTTTAGTCTTTAGAGCTATATAGGAGATTTGTTTCTCGGGATGATAGTTTACTTCCTAGCTTGTTAAAAGCCGTAGAGTTCGGGGGATATATTATAGTTAAGGTGGATTAACCGTAGGTTTTCTGTAATAGTATAAATAGCTTCGTGTGAAGATAGTAGTAGAATTCTACGATATTATCTTGAAACCTCTAGGGTTATATAATACCTACTTTCTTAGGGTGACGGGTTCCTTCCTATTCTTCTTAATATTATGAAGTCGGGGGATTATATCTTGGTCTAAATATATTAAGTATAGGATTTTTCGTAATTGTATAAACAGCTTCGTATAGATATAGGGATAATATCTTACGATATAATCCTCGCCGTTTCCTCCTAATAATAGCTTTTATTATTATAATATATAAGATAGCTTCTATCTAGTTAGTACCGTGTTACTTTAGACGACTTAAGGTAACTTGTATTATAGTGGTTTGAACTTCCTTCTAACGGCATAGCATAATTCATATGTATTTGGTTCTCGCTTACTATAAATGGCCGTAGATGTGTTTTCTATAGCTAGCTCTAACCCCTACGCGACTTCAGTCAACTTCTGTCTAGTTTCTGTTTAGTAGTATTAGTCCGTCTCAGTATACGTGTATATATATACTGACGCTAATTACCACTAGATAGAAGATGGCTTTAGAGCACATAAACCTTCCATCAACTTCTCGTATATGACAATCTTTAACATGGTCGGATTCGTAGATTCGGTCTGCGGTGCGAATTCTAGCGTAGGTGGAGCAGTAGTAGCGATATTGTGGCACCATGAGTGGCTTCGTGAGGTCCGACGTAATTGTTCGAAAATGGTACTGCTCACTCATGCTAGCAGCGAGATTGACAGTGCTGATGTTGGTCTTCACCGAATATATGGACGTACTTCGCTGCTGCTAGCCTTAGACATGGGACAGATGCGTCAAGGATGGTCATGTACTGCGCAGTAAATGCTCTCGTCATCTTTTCGGCCTCGTGCAACTCGTGAAATATGATAATTGTAAGAATCGTGAGCCTCGATTTTGTTGCACAGGATGTGTTATCCGTTCGTAAGACAGATGGGAATTGTAAATCGTCGGCCTCGATTTCAGCACCTTGGCGAGGTGTGCTTGGGACAGCTTGGTGCTTATGAACCCAAGGAATGGCGCCTTTGTCCCTCATATGCACAAGGTAATTGCAATCATGACAAGCAACAGCCCTGAAATGGACATCAGTCACGACTCGTAGCAAACAAATGGTTGTCACTGAGGAGTCAAGCTTGTGTGGCCGAAAGTTCCCGGCTGTGGAAGTTTGTTTTTTATATTCAGTTCTATGGAGCCGTCATCTCATGCTAGTTGCCATATTAATGGCACATCAGGGTCAATCTCCCCGAGCGTTCAGGCCTTCTCGTAGATCTACGGCGATGTTAGCACTGCAAACTCACTGACAGAACCCCATCAAACTTACCCAGTCGAAGGCGTTCTGCTTCCAGCTCTGAACCTCCTCAGGCTTGAACCAGAGGTCAATCTCCTTCTTGGCGTTCTCGACGGAGTCGGAGCCGTGGCAGACGTTGCGGCCGACGTCGATAGCGAAGTCGCCACGGATGGTGCCGGGGGCGGAGGCAAGGGGGTTGGTGGCACCGAGGATGGTACGGCCGGTCTTGACGGCGTCACGGCCCTCCCAGACCATGGCGCAGACGGGGCCGGAGCGCATGTCTGCGGGTTGTTGTCAGTGAGCATTCAGTAGTAGAAGTGAAGCTCGGAGGTTAGCCCTCCGAGCCGAAAGGGGAGGCGGCCATACAGGTGATCAGACCCTTGAAGAAGGGCTTGTCGCTGAGGTCGGCATAGTGCTTCTCGAGGTGCTCCTGGGAAGGAGAGACAAGCTTGATGGCGGCAAGCTTGAAGCCACGGTTCTCGAAGCGAGAGATGATGGGACCGACCAGGCCGCGCTGGTGAAAGTTAGCAAAGTGTCGGGCCCCTGGGCGGCGAGCGGGGTGTTTGGGCGATGATTGCAGCTCCGAAAAGCACGCGGCTCACGGGGCTTGCAATCTCGGGGTGAAACCAGGTTCCTCGGATGTGAGGAGAGAGGCGGAAGAGGCTATCTTACCTGGACACCGTCGGGCTTGATGGCAATGAAGCTGTTCGGAGTTAGCTTCGCTGGCAACAACAACCCCTCACTTGGTAGAAGGCGGTCAACGTACGTCTGCTCGGTAGTCATGTTGTCGGTGTTTGATTGAGCTTTGGCTTGATTGACTTTGGTGAGAAGAGCGCGGTCTTTGGGTCGGAGGTGCTGGAAGATAGGAGGAGAAGCGGGAGGGTTTTCCATTGAGGGGCGGGATCTTTTCGTCAACATGGTGGGGCTTAAGGGCCGCCAGTCACGTGCCCGTCGCCGGGGCATCCTGGGGAAAGCTAGCTGTCCATAGCGCCCATCATCTACACGACAAGTCCTCCACTGTCACTGCTCCACGGACGGCAGCTCGACACTCTCTCGAATCATGTCCGCGGGCATCCTGTCCTCGAGATTGGCTTTTGCCTTTCTCCTGCTCGCGACCCTCTGCGCCCTGCTCACACCGGTCGGTACGTCCATCGCTCTCAGACCACGTTGAGCTTGTCGAAGCTCCATCGAACCTGCTAACGCTGCCCACCAGAGTCGGTGAAGCACGGAAACTTCAAAACATGCGATCAATCAGGCTTCTGCAAGCGCAACAGAGCCTACGCTGACACTGCATCCCACCTTGCCCACAACTGGGAATCCCCCTACAAGCTCGATTCTAGCTCCATCACCTTCCACAACGGCCAATTGTCTGCCGTGGTCCTCAAGAAGATCGCCACTAGCGGTGAGGAGGTCCGCCTCCCACTCACCGTAACGTTCCTCGAGTCCGGCACCGCCCGTGTTACCCTCGACGAGGAGAAGAGACAGAAGGGCGAAATTGAGCTACGTCACGATAGCCAGGCACGCAAGGAGAGATACAACGAAGCGGAAAAATGGGCCATTGTTGGCGGACTCGACGTCAGCATGGGCGCTGCGGTCAGTGCCGACGCTCCAGAGGGCACCACCAAGGTGGTTTACGGCCCTGGGGGCAAGTTCGAAGCTGTCATTACCCACGCTCCTCTCAGCCTTGAGTTCAAACGTGATGGCACGAGCCACATCAAGTTCAACGAGCGCGGCTTGCTGAACCTGGAGCACTGGAGGCCGAAGATTGAGAAGGAGAAGAAAGAGGGCGAAGAGGCGGCGACCGAGGAAGCCGACAAGGACGCAGGTGAGGACGAGAGCACCTGGTGGGAAGAGTCGTTTGGTGGCAACACCGACAGCAAGCCCAGAGGTCCTGAGAGCGTTGCCCTTGATATCAGCTTCCCCGGTTACGAACACGTCTATGGTATTCCGGAGCACGCTGGCTCCTTGTCGCTCAAGGAGACTCGGTATGATTTCCATCTCGCCGTCCATTTATTGAACCACTACTGACACTTTCAAAGCGGCGGAGAAGGAGCTCACTCTGAGCCCTACCGTCTCTACAACGCCGACGTCTTCGAGTACGAGATGGACAGCCCCATGACCCTCTATGGCGCTATCCCCTTCATGCAGGCCCACCGGAAGGATTCGACCGTCGGTGTTTTCTGGTTGAACGGTGCCGAAACGTGGATTGATGTCGTGAAGTCCAAGAGTGCAGCCAACGCTCTGAGCCTTGGTGTTGCCGGCCACACTGATACCCAGACTCACTGGTTCTCCGAAAGTGGTCTCTTGGACGTTTTCGTCTTCCTCGGTCCCGAGCCAAAGGACGTCATCAAGAGCTACAGTGAGCTGACTGGCTTCACTCAGCTCCCCCAGCAATTTGCTATTGCCTACCACCAGTGCAGGTGGAACTACGTCACTGACGAAGACGTTATGGATGTCGACCGCAAGTTCGATAAGCACGACATTCCTTACGACGTCATTTGGCTTGACATTGAGTACACACATGAGAAGAAGTACTTCACGTGGGATCCTTTGACCTTTCCGAAGCCAAAGGAGATGCACGCCCAGCTTGATCAGCACGACCGTAAACTTGTGGCTATCATTGATCCCCACATCAAGAACACTGCCGATTATCCCATCATTGATGAGTTGAAGGGCAAGGATCTTGTGGCGAAGACCAAGGAAGGCAAGCAGTACGAGGGCTGGTGCTGGCCGGGTTCCTCTTACTGGGTCGACTGCTTCAACCCCGCGGCCATTACCTGGTGGAAGTCTCTCTTCAAGTACGACAAGTTTGTTGGCTCCTTCCCTAACACCTTCATCTGGAACGACATGAACGAGCCGTCCGTTTTCAACGGCCCCGAGACCACCATGCCGAAGGATAACATGCACTACGGCAACTGGGAGCACCGCGACGTTCACAACATCAACGGCTTGACCTTCCACAATGCCACTTACGAAGCGATGCTTGAGCGCAAGTCTGGAGAAGTCCGTCGTCCGTTCGTCTTGACCCGTTCTTTCTTCTCTGGCAGTCAGCGTCTCGGCCCCATGTGGACTGGTGACAACCAGGCCAAGTGGGACCATCTTGCTGCTTCTATCCCCATGGTTCTGAACCAGAACATTGCTGGCTATCCCTTTGCCGGTGCCGATGTCGGTGGTTTCTTCGGCAACCCCGAAAAGGACCTGTTGACGCGCTGGTACCAAGCCGGTATCTGGTACCCGTTCTTTAGAGGCCATGCTCACATTGACACGCGCCGCCGCGAGCCCTTCCTTGTTGGCTCGCCCTACAAGGAACTCATCACGCAGGCCCTGCGTCTCAGATACGCCCTCATGCCGGCTTGGTACACTGCCTTCCACGAGGCTAGCGTTACTGGCGCTCCCATCGTCCGGCCAAACTACTATGTTCACCCGGGCGACGAGAAGGGCTTTGCCGTTGACGACCAGCTGTACTTTGGCTCGACTGGTCTCCTCGCCAAGCCCGTCACCACGGCTGGAGCCGAGAGCGTGGACATCTACATCGCCGATGACGAGACCTACTTTGACTACTTTGACTACACCACCTACTCTGGTAAGGGTATGCACACGATCAAGGCGCCCCTCGAGAAGATGCCTCTTCTCATGCAGGGTGGCCACATCATCCCTCGCCGTGACCGCCCTCGCCGCAGCAGCGGTCTGATGAAGTTTGATCCGTTCACGCTCGTCGTGGTCCTGGACCGCGCCGGCAGCGCCGAGGGCTCGCTGTACCTCGACGACGGCGAGACGTTCGACTATCAGCAGGGCGCGTACATCCACCGGCGCTTCCTGTTCGACACGACGACGAACGCGCTGACGTCGGTGGACATTGCGACCAGCGGGTCCAAGACGGCGGCATATCTCAAGGCCATTGCCAAGGTGCGCGTCGAGAAGGTCATCTTTGTGGGCGCGCCGGACGCGTGGGCGGACAAGACGGAGGTCTATGTCAGCGAGGAGGGCGCCAAGGAGAGCCAGCGCAGAAAGAAGGCCGGCATTGCCTTCCACAAGGGCGAGAATGGCAAGACGAACTACGCCATTGTTCGGGACCCAAAGGTGGGTATTGGTAAGGGATGGAAGATTGACCTTTCGTAGATCGTTGCGAGAGGGGTTTTTGGGCAAGCCTTAGCGAAACAGATATGATAGATGTTGGAATGTGGTCACGAATGTTCTAGGTAAATAAAATGCTTGCGACTGGGTGATGTGGTGGGTCGGTTGCGTTCTGGTGTCTATATGGGAAAGTGAAGTGGGGCTTGATGATAGGGTGAATTGAGTGTGGTGATATATTTTGGTGAGGTTAAGGAAGCTGTCTTATGTATATACATGAGCAGAATCGAGTTATGTACGGACTCTTTCAAGTACCACTGGCGGCTTCTCCAAGTGGTAGTGATGGCTTCCGCTTTACAAGGATGCAAATTATGCATATGGCTTCGTTTGAAAAGCCTCTCACGCAGAGCTCGCCCATCACTACCATTCGCTGTCCACGCCTCCACCTCCCCCCGTCACTGTCTCTTCTCCATACCGACAACACGCCACAACCCCCCGCAAAACTAATCAAAGAACTCACTTAACGAATCCAGCCAGCCGCCGCCCTCTCCACCACCATCCCCACCCGCACGAGCCAGATCTTC